CTGACCATTCCAAGACAAGCAACTAAACAGAGTTCCTAAGTCGCACGAGTCAGAAGCGTTTAGAATGCTGGTGTGACTGGTCGCAACCTTCGCTAACTATTGGACGTTACGAGGACAGCGTTGAAGGTTGGCATCTCGTGAGGTCCGACTGGTTCTGGAACGCGAAAGTCGAGGGGTGGATGCTCGTGTTCACGAAACAGAAGAACGATCTGCAAGACTTCCCCCCAATGGGGCTTGTCAGGCACGATCCAGAGGAGGAGGCGATGTGGCGTTAGGAGCTCCAGCGCTGGTAGGAAGACGCAAGGCCGAAGGGGCCCATCTAGACCTAACGGAAGGGTGCTCCGAACCAGCCAGAGTCCCGACCTTTGGGTGTCAGGAGACTTTTGTCCGTGCTTGAAAAAAGTCATACTAATCGCTGTAACTAGCCCTGCTTCAACTTTTGGGGAGTGCCACATGGAAACGCGCCATCTCTCTGGGTACACTGTTCAGTGGTCCCAGCGGAAAAGGCTAGCTGGAAACCTAGAATATCACTTTGCGTTCCTAAGAAATGGTACTGCAACCTCCGTGCTTGCAGGGCAGAGGCCTTCTCACTAACCACAACCACTAAGCTGGATGATTTCTTGGACTCAGCCATGTGGCAGGTTCCAGGTCCCACGTGGGGCAAAGCCCGCGATAGCCATCCATGCTTGACGCCGGCAATTAAGACTGACTAATTGATGACTGACTAACTGTTACGAACACGGTGGACGCGTTAAGGACGCCGCAACAGAACCGTGGTTGAGGTTGAAATTTACCAGCCGCATTGTCGGTTGGTACTAGATAACCGCTTTGAACGTTGAGTTGTATCGGATCGGCTGTGGTATAATCGAAATCAGAGCCGGAAGCATTGCGAAATAGCGATGAACCCCTCATCACCCGGTATCGAGCTTGATCAATAGGACAAAATTCCCAGACTATGCGCCACCTCTTGCATTAAGCCACTCGTATCCACAAGTTACTAGGAAGCTAATAATAACTGGATATCATTCTCGCGAGATTCTTCTGCATGTTCTAGAGCAATCGAACTAGCACGGTTTTTTCATGATACTGCGTACGGATACGGAACAGACACTGCAATTAGCTACTTCCAGCATCTTGCTTAAACAAGCATCATGGACTGTAGCATACTTATGATCATACTGCCCTGAATCGAGCAAGCTTGGGTGTGCAAAGGTCCTTCGGACCGTGGCCTGTGGGCTAGTCTAGGGGAATTCTGCACTTATCGAAACCGTTCCTCTTGGATCTTCTCCGCTCACTATTGCGCCTTTTCTGAGAGCTACCACGAATGCTCCTGGGGGCCCATATGGGTAACTTATAGTCACTTTATGAACTTCAGTAACGCAGAAAGAACCACGCCCTAGTAATCAGACTCATGATGCGCCCATGTTCGCTCAAAGGAAACCTCTCCCTGCCCGATCATATTTTAAGTCGCCATTCACCCTCCCCACATGACTTGAGAGGTAGATCGCTGGCCTGGCCAAAATGCTCCGTTGTTTCAAACTACTGCAAGTTGCCTGCCAGCGGAGTACGAGTAAAGTGAGTGCTCAGAGCCTCATCGACCACGGCAACAACTGCAGATTCGAGGCAAAAGAACCTTCGTAAACATTAGTGTCCTTCCTGCAGGGAGCTTGCGTGGCTCAGCGTGTGGAAGAGGCTACGAGATGGGTGATCAGAGTCAATGAAGCATAGTTCTGCCGATCTGGTACTTCATATCTTGCTCTGATCGGTAGGCATCTGATCAAGGGCTGATGACGGCTATGCTATCTAGTGTTTCGTTGTGGCATGTGAGGTGGATGATGCTGTGTATCCATACAAAACTCTGTACTGAGTACTACACGAAGAGGTAACCAGTATCCTTGCTTCCAGGAATTTGAAAGCTGTCACAGACTTCGTCTTGGTGCTTGTAAGCATAATCCATGGATGCTGGTACTACGGGTTTATTTCTGTCTATGATGTTAATCGGAGAAAGGGTCTGCATCGGATTCAAAGAGTTGCACCTTCCCACTGCAGGCTTTGGGACTATCAGCATCCCAATGCGATAAGGCCTGTCGGGGAACTATAGCTGTGACAGGCTTGCCACCGACGGGGCCTAACCTAAAATCGACATTTCCTGGTCAGGATCCTCTTTCAGTTAGGTCCTCAGGTGGTGGTTGATTGCATTTCTCAATTCTGAGTATCCGCAACTTACTCGTAGACTCAGTTATAGTTCGGCATAATGTTTCCGTGAACTATGGATCAGCATTCAGAACGGTTTCAACGAGAGTGTCTTGGCCCTGGTCGTGACTACCTGCTCCAGAGATTCTCCGCTGTCGCCGTCTGTCGTATCCACTGGATTGTATGTCGTGTCTACCCAAGTACTCCGTAGATGACCACAATGCCACTTCCAGAGAGTAATAACGGGAGCCCAAGAAGGGGGCTCTGTTGTGCGTTGAGCTAATGTAGATTAGAGCTAGCACCGACCGCTCCAAGCAGCCCCCTGGCATTTCACCGGTACCAAGCTAATGAATTATTGGGCTTCTTGCGTTCATTATCCTTCATTCCAGGCATCAATTCCGAAGTCTATCACCAGCGGCATCATGCAAGACGCGGTCTTTGCTCGTCACCCAGTCACCTACCTAATGTAAGCTGCATCGCAGCCGAATGCAGGCCTTTACGCAATATAGATTCTCCAAATAGAAGCTGCTTCTTCACATCTATCAGTCAAACTGCGCGAGTCGCCCACGATCGGACTAAGCGCTGCTATTGATCTTCAATGATGCAGAACATTAATCATTTTTCAACTGCAGATCGTGTGTGGTTTCTGAAGCCGTCAAAGCTTCTGTTGGTGCGTGCTTTCGACCTGTGACCATCAAAATGCACGATCTACAAAACAATCGTCCTGGTAAACCATGACGTGCATTCAAGTTTGTCTACTTCTGCCGGTCTTGAGCCTTAACCAGTACGATCCACGGGACTCGTGAACTTACTTGGGAGGGGAAGGGGGGGGAGAGGCTGAGCCGAAGCATAGCCTATTGCAGAGTTCCCCCACAATTGGTGTCTTCAATGATGAAAACTACGTCGTATGCTTCTTGGATTCGGAGACGCCGACACCGTCTTTTACCACCGAGCGTGAGTTTAGATATCGTACGACTGAGCGTCCTAGACCACATGAAATAGCGTGCCTTGCACTTCATTCGCGAGAACGTACGAGTAGGAAAGCGTGCGCTCTCGGCTATTAGAGTTTGCACCTCCATTTTCGGGCTATCGTCTAGCTATCGAAAGATCTACAGGGCCGGATGGTGCGCCTCCGTTCAGCGAAAATCGGGCCCAGATTCGCCTTCGTTCTTAGTGGGCCATAGCGCACAGCAATGGCGATGACTCGCGGTCTGGATGATTCTTAAATGTATAGAAGGGACTGAGCGTGAAGTACCTGAAGATTGTTGCACCAATTCATCTCGACCATTCAGCAACACTTCACTGCCTCGATACGTCGAGCTGTTGATCCTTTGCACTCGTGGATTTGGATACCCAAGACACTCGTGATGGCAATGAGGGTTCTGCCCCTCAAGTGACATGGGTGGTGTCACTCTTCCAGCTCACAAACTTTGACTCTCGTCTAAGCAGTCCGCATATTATCCAGATCTGAAGATCAACTTGCGTATCAGTCTCAACAGGCTAAAGATTGCGCTGCCGCTGTCCATGGAGAGATCCATAAGCAATAGCCTGGATGTTTGTCGTGATTGAACTGACTCTCTACCAAGTCTAGATGATACATCATTCTTTCATATAGGGCTCAGAGTTTTCCTTTCTAGATACACGATTTTCTGGTGTACTATTGGCTCTAGCTGTATCCGGTGGAAAATTGAGAGACTGTCACCCAAGATCAGGTTGTGCAAGCGACGAGCATCCAGATGATTGAACAAATCAACCTTGGTAAGTTTCAGGGCGCCGCAAACAGAGGACATTCAAGTCATTTCTATAGACAGGACACAAGATTGTGGGATCCTCGCCACTTCGTGGTCAGATAGTTTGTTCTCCAATAATTCTACTCGCCAACAGGTGGTGAGACTTCGTTTTGCTTGCTGGGATTTCCAGTAACCCATGATTGCCCAGCCGCCAATTGGTCTTGCCCTGTTAACCGCCTGGCAGTCACAATATAATGCTCATTCTCAGGGAAAAGCAATTACTTAACTTCATTCGCAGTCTAGCTCACTTACTGGCCTCGTCTCCATAGAGCTGGAGGCAATCATGGAGCGGCAAGAATTGGGTGCGGATTAATTCTCCGCCTACAAACCACTGTCATCAGATCACACAAACTCGCCTCCCCGTTGTGGCGTTGCCATCAGATGGCAACCTCACTTTATCTTTGAAACAGCTCTGTGAAAGCCAGTCTAACTGCGTTGCGTCCCTAACGGCCCTAACGGTCGTCGATTTTTGGCAAGCAGTACCTAGCCCCTGTGTGAGTTGAGCTCTGAAGCCTAACTGGAAAGAACCATTACTTTTAGGAGTAGTGTTACGCAGCGGAATTATTTTCCGGCCTAATCTGAGTGACTGCATCTTGCAGGCATTCCTTGCTGATCTCGTCCACGTTCTTTCCTCTGAGGATTTCCCTCCATCTTTGATTATTATTGAGTATTCTCTCTGTCCTACTCTTTACATCTTTACGCTCGGATTGCCTGATGGTACTCCTTGATTGCCTGAAATGCTTCGTCATTGCCAGCGACACGCTGCATCCATCAACTCTATGTTGTGCCTCAACTCCCCCAATCTGTGCCACGGCTGGTGGAAACAGTTATCTCGCATATCATCTCAGTGAAAATCTCACGCTGCTTGAGACAATTGTCTTTGGACTTCCTCTTCGTCGACTCTGGCCTCAGTTCAGATCATGATTAGCATTGACAGCCCTCACACCGCACACATGACCAGAGAAGTGGGTACAACAACTTTTCGATCCCAAGACCAATAGTTCAACATTCAGGTCTTCATTGATTTGGTGGTGGTTGGAAGCCACTACGTGTGCCCCCCTTCTTATCGCGAGATACGGCCGCCAGTGTCCCTGGCCATGGTAACGTCTCGCTCGATTTCGGTACAGCATCGCTTTCCCAATTCGCATTCTCACGACCCTTTCTAGAATTATCCCTTCGCACCATGGACTCCTGATATTCATTATTCGATTCCCTCGACCTATAACCGTATCTCTGGCTCCATTGAGTCCTCGAATGGAGGTCGAGATTGCTCACGTCGGCGGACTCGACATGACCGAGATCCATCGTCCCATCATTGTCATGATGGAAAATATCAGGATCAAAGTCGCCGTCCAACAGAACCCTAAACCGTGGATCAAGACTATCTGGTACCAGGTCATGATTTGGAGCGACTCGTTCCCTTGCGTTCAAGGGTTTGTATTCTTGCTGACCAATTCCACCATCGACAGCAGGGTTGTCCGGTCTATCTGATGGTTGCATTTGTCTCACGGAATTTTCATTCATGGACCGATAATCGGAAGGTATATCGGGTGGATGATACGATCTCTCTGGCGCGCCGTCGGACTCGTCTGCGACTCTCTTCGACGCAGAACTACCGGCTCCTATTCGTTCCACAACTGGAGGCGTGAGCCCCAAACCACGAAGGATAGCGTCCGTGGAAACTTGACCACTACTCTCATCAGGTACTGTTCCGGGGAATCCCCGACCCTCCCTACAAGCCCAGTAAAGAGTTTGTAACGCTTCGTCGATGACTTCACGCATCTCCCAGTACCTACAAGAGATGTACTGATCAGATCACGAACATATAAGCCAAGGTCTCAAGTTTGCCGGGCGAAATTCGCAACGTAGCCCGTCTTTCAGTGCACTCACCAATCCCTCGCTTCTCTCCTTCTCCGAGCACTATACTCACAGACACTCTCACTTGACGTGCAGCCGAGGCATGGACTATTACCATCACACTAACGACCAGTTAGTGGGTTTGACTCACAACAGTGAGATCAAGAAGTTCTAGGCGAGTTATACCTTCGACTTTTTGAGCTTACAACGATCGCAAGCACGGCCTATTCTGATGCGAGTTTTTGGCTCTTCAGGAGTGTCCTGTTTTTGGGGAGACTTTCCCGGCAAGATTTCTTTGGTATTGGGCATCCTGAGTGACGAATCTTGGGCGCCGACTTGTTCAATGCTCTGTAACAGATGCAGCGAACAAGCAAGAGTGTTGACACCTATTGTTAGATGGAATTCTCAATGAAACAATTGAACAGGCTCTCAACAAGCGGACTTCATCGCTTTGTGGCCTGGGGATCGATGTCTCGACTTGTGGTAATGATCAGAGCCTCAAAACTTTGTGCCAGTTTCCTCCAGCCTCATAAATATTTGGAACTAGGTGCCGACCACTAGCAAGTCGTTGTGGAACAGTGAGAAGAATCGTCGACTCGAGCAATAGGTACGCAACGGGTTTGAGGAAGACAGGCTGTGCTTGTGAGGAGTACGCTGGATAAACGGCGTTTGTTGTGCACAAGTCAAACTTGGCGATCGCCTGCTCATTTACCAGAGCGCATCGGCGACAACGAATAAAGCGTTGCAATCGGTCAGGCGTGGGTCCAACCCCTCTCAAGGTTAGTAAGAAAGCCTTTTCAAACAGCGGTGGCGTTTCCAGATATCTTTTCGCATTAAATCATGCGATCTTGGAAATACGGGTATCGTTTTGAGCTAATATCGAAGGTAAACCTCACACAGGGACCCCTAGCTTGGTGTCTTGACATAAGCATAAGCCTTGTGCTTGGAGTCTGGTAGAATCATGAACCAGTGAAGATAATGAAATCTCCCTACAAAGGGGCATACTACACTACAGCGAAATGACATCCCGGAAACAACAGCCAGAACCAATCAACCATTACCGAGTCGTTCCTTCACCAACCTGACTTCTCTCAAACCCATCAGCAATCCGTACCGTGCGGTAACAAATTCCCCAATGCTTGTGAATAGTACATTCATTCTTCATCATATCAGAACCAAAAACTCATTGACTCAGCTCCGATATTGCGAACTCTGGCAGTGTTCTCGCGCAAGCATTGTTGATGACGCCCGATGTGCTTGGATCGCATACCGAATACCCAATGCAATGTGGTGTCTTTCAACACAGACCCTGAGCGTTGCCAGTGCCGAGATCTGCCACGTCTATCGTCCGAAGGGTATCCTTTGCATCTAATGATAAAATGCGTTCAATCTGCTTGGGTCTGAGAGGTCTCCTGCACGCTAGTGGTCTTCAGAGAAAAACAATTAGATGAGCAAGCCGGATGAAAGCTCCGGGCAGCAAGACCAGCACAGGAGATAAGTTCCGGTTAATGGCGTCTGGTTGAGCGACTGTGGATCATGTCCCTCAAACAACACCTTTCAGCGGTTCTGGAAATGGCTGATCGGAAGCCAACTCAACACTTCGCGCACCTGGTGTGGGAGGCATTAAATGCCGTCCTGTTTAAAGACTCCTCGCGGGGGCTTACGCCCGAAAACTGCAGCTAGAAGTCCCACGACCTGCCTAAATCGTCAACAGTTCAGATCTTGTTCCTTGCGCTCAAAATGCCTCTTTGAAGAGAAGCACAAGCACTATTCCTCGAGCCAAAGCCTTCCCCATCGACCGATCGATTCCCAACCTGCGATTCGAGCCCGTTATCTACTCACTTCAAGAAAGGAGTTCTCCAAAACAGCCATTTTCTTCGTTCCACAGTCCGCCTGCGAAGAAGAGTAATGTCAGAGGGACATAGTCGTTAGAACTCTCCTGGTCCTCTGGTGTCACCAAACCTCCTGGTCCACAGTCACTATTGGTCCGATCATCTACTCTTGAAACTGCAGGGGAATTCAAAAAGGAAGAGCTCTACCTGACATGTGTGTCGCGGACCGAGAGCCCAGGAGAAACCCTGATGGAAACAATTCGGACGGAGGACCGTCAAGAGCATTGATTGAAGACGAGTCGAGGAAAGGTCTGAGAGATACGAGCGTATGTAAGATCAAAGGAGAATTCTACTGCTCAACCTTGAGCCGACTTCACTGGTCGATACAATGGAACTTGTGACTCGAAAGTCTGGCGCATCGGATACCACTTCAGGCTGCAGGACTACCCAAACCAGCACACATAGGTAAGTGTCAGCTGAGATCCCCTTATCGTACACAACGGCAACAAAGTCACGTAGATTCGCAACCTGAACTCAATCAGCCCTGGATCGTGAGCTACAGATCACCTATACGATCCAAGACATGTCCCCCTAACGCCTACCTGTGGATTCTAAAATCCTGCACAGCTAGTGGCCCGCTATCTTTGACATCCTTCCTGTGGCAAATCCGGTGAGACAGCACATATATTTCCAGGAGCGTCGCATTCGAAGGCCACAGCATCGGAAACACCACTGACGAAGTCGCAGAGAAAGAGCCAAATCAACGTTCTGGGAAGCGATCCACATCGTCAAAGAGATCATACCAGAGGAACACGAGCGTGATCCTTTTCGTCACTTGCCAGATAGTCTAACTATCTCATCAGTGCCCCAAAAGTCTGCCTGTCCTCGTCAAATTAGAGACGGACGATGAGCGGCTCCACAGCCATGCACGTTTCCCCCCCCCCCTAGATCGGGTCCGCAATGGACAAACCCTGTTCAGTACACACGAGACATGACTTCAGTACATACAAGATATGACTTCAGTAAATACAAGACATGACGTCCTTCGGTACGGGGCGCAGCAAGTTTGGGGTAGAAAATGTTTCTAGGAACCGGTGTCTCCTTTTCGTTGCCAGTACTCATTGGGTGCTCAGACTATGAAGTCGATATGGAGACGAAGAGCTAGACGACACCATTGAACATCTTCAGCGCAAAAGTTGATCTGTATTCGTACTAAGCAAGGAACTCTAGTGTCGCACAGCACACAAAGAACAACCGGTGTCACGTCTCCAGCGTGACTAGCGACAGCAGGGCGAAAGATCCTAGACATTTCCATCCGTCCAATCACAACAACCTCTCTTTCCTGAATGAACGTGCAGTCATGCTCCACCTTGCCATTCCTTGACCCTCAGGACCATCAACACCATACCTTCCCTTCCCCAGCACGGCACCCTCAAGGATTTTCGCAATCCGCCATCCATCCAGATTCGAAATCGGCGCTTTGAACGGCACGAAGAACCAAATGGCAAAGGGCGGCAAGATGAAGAGCCACAGAATCACCGGCCAGAACATGTTCATCGCCCATCTCAGCTGATCGACATCCTGGCTGACCTGCTCAGGCACGGTTTTATGCACCGAAAGCAGCCAGATGTAGACGAACAGCACGAGGCGGACCGTAATGGCGTGCAACCAAAAGAGCAGGTAGAGAAAGAAAACTCGGACAGGTCGACGCTGTCGCAATGCTTTGACGAGCAGCATGAGGCCCGACGTGCTACCCAGGCGGTTCGTGTCGCTGCGGGGAGTGCCGGTGATGCCTTCGAGGCCAAGTGTCCAGATGACAAAGTTTTGAGATAGCGTGTAGCCGATCCCGAACAGGCTAAGGCCGAGCGAGTAGGTGAATCGTGCGACGGCGAAACCGTCTTTGTCGGCATAGTGTTGGTAGATGTACAAGAGAGACGGGAGGCCGATGATGATCAGTGTCCCCGTCAATGTTCCTTTGAGTTTCTTGCCGGCTTGAAGGCCTGGTCTGTGATCGAGGGCCAGGGAGGAGAAGTCTCTTGGTTGCAGTGCTGTGTCATCGAGCAATTGTGCGACTTGGTCGGCCGTGGCTACTGAGCCGTATGGCACGATGTCGAGGTAAGGACGGTATGCCGCGAGGATCACTTTTTCGTTCCACTTGTTGAAAAACAAGGACCATGGTGGGAGACCACTGAATGCAAGAGCAGCGAATATCGAGAAGATATGCAGCGCCAAGGGAACTGGAACCCAAGGTGTCCGGATCTGGGTGAGGAATAGTGCTGGGTTATTGGGGTTTCTTCCAATCTGAACCGTGAGTTGAAGAGAGGAGAATGCTGCTGCAGGACCCAATCTCAACAACATAGTGCTGACCAAGACTCCAAATTCTCTGCGAGATATCTTTCCCGTGACCAATCTCTTCAGGCAATCCACCATTTGGAAGTTAGCTGCGCGCAGATGGTGTCCCGATACATGGCCACGCAACGCATGGGCTTTGATCCTCCTATACACCCGATCGACAAGTGCTTCATTGAGTGTTGCAGCGATGGCGCTGAATCCCAATAACAGACCGAACGCTCCAGCAACAGTTTGTCCATCAATCCAGCCTGCATCGTTCTTCTTGGCCCTCGTAACGAAGATGAGGCTGGCCACTGATCCAGCAATCAATAGCCAGACAAGAACACAGAGCGTTATGGTAGCGCAATCGCATCGGCATTTCCTACTCGTATCTTTGTACTCTTGGATGCTTTTATCGAGTGAGCGAGGCTGTAGTGCCACCAGGGGTATATTGTCCGTGGTTGACGTCTTCCCTTGATAGGGATGGTGTGTCGTGGAATAATATGTTGATTTGGCATCTTGTGGTACGAATGGTTGGTACTGGTTAGGTTCGTGATTGTGCTCCCATGGGGGACCTCGTTCTTCCTGTAGAGGCCGATAACCATGCTGATGAGTGAATGCCTGCATATTGCGAAGGATGAGAAGAAGCGGATGGTCTTGCAGTCTACTAGACCCAGGATTGGCGTGGATTCATTATATAGAGGTCTTCACTTTGCTGGAAATAACGATTAGCCATGCTGTTACAGCGTTGGTCAACCTAATGCAAGTTTTGACCCAGGGTCATATTGCGTTGGTGGCAACCCCTGATACAAGCCACTCTCGATTAGGCAAACACTTCTGCCATTTGACCCACTGATTTTGCCGACGACGAAACTGGACCCAAAGGACCATGTGTCGATTGTGGCGATTCGCATTCAAACACTGCGATTTCGAAACAAACCAGTGCAATACTAGAATTGTATAGGGCTGGACTTCGTAGACAAGCATTCGGCCCCATCGGCCCGCGTGCATGCAGGCTTATGAAGCCATTGCGGCTCTAACGAACTTCGAAAAGGCGAAGACATCCAAAGGCTCAAACGCACAGTTGTCGCCTGAATTTGATTGAATGATGCAACTCACCCACCTAGTTTATTTATCTGCATGGGTACCTTTTGCCAAATCTGGACTGGTGCGGTCGGCTTGTTTCCAAGACACTGTTCTCGAAGCAATACTGGCAGATCCCAACATGAATGGGAGTGCTGGGGAAATGTATTTCTGACCAAGACACTCGGGATATACATAGTGGAACAGTGCCAGCCCCGGTTTCAAGGTCAGGGAGATGATAGGTTTGTGCATGGTGTACCGAAGGGGTTATAATAGTCATAAAGAGGTTATGGACAAGAAGGGTTTCTTAGACTCAAAGGACGGCTACGGTGGATCACTGGCACCAGCATGAAATGGCACCATCTCTGGTTTCGCCCACTGTGCTAGTCAGGTGACCGCGCGTAAGCCGAACTCATCCCGCTCGTCACTACACCCGTCAACAAACCCCAGTTGCAAGAAAGTGGCGAACAGCATTGACGCCTTGAAGAGGCGCAAGCCACCACAGATATGGGTATACCCGGGTATGAGTAGAGCACAAAGTTCGAAGACCAATTGACTGACATCTCTAGCATACTCAAAGAAATCGGCAAGGGAGAACGTGTAGCGCTTGCCAAGCTCGCCGTAGAACACTTCGAAAGATCACGTCGTCCATATCGAATCGCCATAGATGCAGCGATATGGAATTTTCAAAATCAAGCAGGTCAAGGTGGGAAGAACCCGGCCTTGAGGACTTTGTTTTATCGGCTCTTAAAGCTGCTCGCTCTACCCATCCAGCCAGTCTTTGTTTTTGATGGCAAAAACAAGCCTCTTACCAAGAGAGGTAAGACAGTTTCGAGGTACGGGACGTGTATCTCAAATGAGATGTCGAAGAAACTCATCGATGCCTTCCGCTTTCCTTGCCATACAGCACCGGGTGAGGCGGAAGCAGAGTGTGCCATGCTTCAAAGCTCTGGACTTGTTGATGCTGTAATGAGTCAAGATGTTGATGCTATCATGTTTGGTTCGACTGTGACACTCAGAGATTGGTCGAAAGAGTCTAAACATAACAAGACAGCAACTCATGTCAGTATCCTCGATCAAAATCGAGTCAAAGATATATCTGGACTGGATCCGGACGGGATGATTCTGGTTGCATTACTCAGTGGAGGCGACTACGATGAATCCGGAATTGCTGGTTTCGGTGTTGGTCTTGCATGTGAAGCTGCGCGAGCAGGTTTCGGTGAGGATTTGCTAAATCTTTGCCGGGCTGGTGATGAAGCTGGACTTGTTGAGTGGCGAGAACGACTTCAGTATGAACTTGAAAGCAACGAGAGTGGTCACTTCAGATCCAGGCACAAGACTGTCAAGATCCCTGAAACATTTCCAGAGAAACAAATACTGAGCTATTATATGAGTCCAGCAGTGAGCCCCCAGAACCAATTGCCGGCTTTGGAGAGTAAGTGGCGAACAGTTTGGGAAAGCAAAATTGATGTGAATGCTCTGAGGCAGTACGTGGCTGACACTTTTGACTGGTGCTACAAGCCCGGGGCATGGAAATTTGTGAGGGTTATGGCTCCTGCGCTTTTGGCGAATGATTTGATCTGTGGCTCGACCAGCGCCATCACATCGGCAAACCAGATCACTGAACGGCGGCGGCATTTCACAAGTGATGGGATCCTAGAGCTCAGAATAACTGTGGTTCCAACCGACATCGTTGCACTAGACCTGGAAGCCGAAGAAGACAGTCTGGAATATCTGGCAAGCGTCGTTGACGGAGAAGATGGAGAGCTCGGTGTAGATGCTACGGAGGGGGCTCCAGAAGGTAGTGTGCCCCCAAGTCCTTCAAAATCTCGCAAAACCCCGACCTGGAAACCGTACAGCGCAGAAAAAATGTGGGTAGCAGAAATCATTGTGATGAATGGTGCACGATCCCATGTCGAAGAATGGGACAAGATCCAGCAGGATATTGTGAATGCAAGGTTGAAGAGACCAACGACTCGTGCGAATCGGACACAGCAGCGTCCAGCCAAAGACACGTTGGTTGGTGGCATGCGCACAGGAGCCATACTAAGCTATACCATCTCGTCAACCCATTCCCACAAAGAGAGCCGCCAACTCGCAGAGATTTCCATGAACATCTCGGGTGACACCAAAAGTACAGTCAAAGGACCATCCAAGTTGGCAACACCCACGAAACAAAGGACCCGACGGCATGTCCTTGACACTTCTCCTAGCATGCAAAACTATTTCAAAAGTGTCAAGAATGTCTCGCCGAATCAGAGTGTACAAGAAGAGTCAGACCCTGTCGAAAAGCTCTCCCAGGAGTTTGAGGAAGTACTCGGGTTTAGTGACAGTCTTGTAGGCGAAAAACACTCCCGACCCTCGACTTCGAATTCTTCAGAGATTGCACAAAAGATCGCAACTAAGCCAACTAAAAAGCTTCGAAAAGAAAGAGGTAACGCTACTAGAACAACATCACCTCGTCCCACTATCTTAACACAGATATCGCCAGCAAAGCCCTCGACCAGGGCCGGCGCGGTATTCGGTGGACAAGACGCAGAGAGTGCAATTGTGATTGCCTCATCACCAGCCGATGCAGAAGCAACAATGGTTGAAGCGCGTGGCATGGAAGACAACCTAACCCATGATGAGATCACTAACCACATCACCCCAAGAACAGGTGATCGGAAAAAGCGGGTGCTCAAGACATCGAAATCCACAAGCACGGCGAACGGGAGCCCAGTGCGTGTTCGACGACCTATTGAAGAGTTTTTCGCCCCGTACATAGCCGCGGCGCAGCGAGAAAAGGCTGCTCGAGCACAGGCTGTCCACGTGGAAGACGATTCAACTCTTGGCCACTCCTTGGGCCCTACAGAACGAGGGACCGGTTTGTCAACAGCCCTTTCGCCCACGCATATCAACGTAACATCACGTTCAAGCCTCCCAGGGACCTGGAGGGAAGTCCCACACGACCCTGGTGCAGCGTCCCAGAATCTAGCGATGGCTGGCACGTCCGCATCGCGTTTGAGCATAATTGATTTGACCGAAATTTGAACGACGGTCATGGGAGCTTGACCTTCCAGAAGTCTTTGTTATCAAAAAAACTTCTGCTCCGAGTGATCTCCACAGCAGCCGCCTCGATGGTAGCGATTGCACTTGGTTTCTCAACACGGATCTTGGCGACAGTATGGTCATAATTCATGGTCACGATCTGTGCCACTGCAGTTGCCAGAGCCTCGACTGTCAAATATGAAGAGCCTTCAACACGCTACGAAAGATAGCGCGTCAGCATGATTAAATGAAGACATGATGCAACACTTACTGCAATGACTTCTTGGGCCATGTTATGCAGCTTCTCTGAATCCTCAGAATTATCCGCATTTGACGTCACTGGTCCGATGAATGGGACGCTGATGTCGAAGAATAATGATTGTTTATAAATCCTCTCATGTGGATTGACGCCGATGATGCAGTCGCAAGCTATTTCTTTGATAGTCATACTTAGACTAAAAGCCGGGAGATCCGATGAAGACCTGTCGAATTGCGAGCGATACAGAACACCAGCTCTTGACTGTAAGATTGCTTTTGGTAGCAAGATGTCGATGTCAAGAACTAGATAGTCGGTGACAAGCTCTGAAATCTGGGCGATGAGCATCTGGACTGTTGCAAACTGGGGGACCAAGGCCAAGCCAGCAGAGATTTTCTTATAGAGCTTTCCATAATCCATTGTCAAGCTCACGTCGTCCTTTGCCGCAGCAGCCTCGAAATTCGAGATAGGCTGAACCTCAAGGGAAATGAAGACTGGTTGAGGCTTGTTCCACCGCCGCCATGCATCCAGTCCCACAACCAGGTCGAACCTGAGGTTCTTCAAGATTACCTTGTCCATATCTGATGAACAAGCCAAGGTCTACGCCTGAATTTCATGAAAAGTGCAGATGGGTGACTCCAAGGCACTGACTGCTACAAACAGCCTGAGAAAGGACAATTCTGCCCCTCCACATTTTCCAACTTGAAGTGCGGAGATGGAGAAGCTTGGAGCACAGCACGTGACAGATCCGGGGCAATCTGGTGGCTGGTTTCAATCAGATTTATTTTGTGCATCTTTTCCTGGGTTTCTGGCTGACCAAGGCACGGGCCTTCTCCTTCGCCTCCACAATTCCACCGTCTGCGGCCTGGCCTCCTCGAAACGTCGACCTCACTTTCTTTTCTCACTTCAGTCCCCTTTCCTCTTACAGTCATCGTCACCAACATCACGATCACCATCGTCGCCAATTTTTATATTCTTCTATATCCCCTCTATTCCCAGTTGACTCATCGACAATCAATGGGTCGATCAGCCGCGACTGCCTCACATCACCAAAGTTCAACTCTCGAGTCCCTGCTTAGCCGCGCCTGCTTCACCTGCGCCGCTGCTTATTCTCGCTCACCCGTCCCATCCTCGTCCTACATGCAATCGGTGCAATCCTCATCTTCCCACATTTCAAACAAGGTGATTTGGCTACCGGTGCACGGTCCGTCCTGAAACGGGCGGACGGTAATAGGAAACATCGTCTACAATATCCATTAGTGCGCTCCCATAAGAGCGCCCACCGTGCAATATTATTCAACTGCACCACCAAGCACCGCCATCATGAGTGTCGGGACCACCTTAGCTGCCGTGACACAGACTCAGGACACACCCACCAGAGTCCCGTCTCAGCCTGACACTCTGACAGACCTCCAACTCCCAATGGGTGCAATCGACCTCACGAATGACTCTACTGAACCCGAGATCATTCCTTTTCGCACCAAGAGCCCTCCCACCACCCCGACCAAGGCGATTCCTCTCAGTGATCGAATGAATGGCTCTGTGTCAGACTTGGATCAGGGACGAGGAAGGCAAGAGGTCAAAGGGAGCGTTATCCTCTCCACCACCGCCGCAAAGAGGAAGAAGAAAAGACAAAACAAGACGAAGGCTGCCCAAGCTTTGAACACAGTTCGTGGCTTCAATGCCCTTGACTCGGGAGCAGAAGACTCCGATGCCTCGTATAGTGACAGCCCTCGCATTATGTCACCCATTCCGCGCTTCCCAGCCTTGGCAGGCGCCAGTCCTGGACTCAGACCCCAGTCTCCAGGGATCAGTAGTCTCAAAGCTCAATTGGACGCTCTCAATTCACGAAGTCAGAGCCGCGAAACCTCTCGGGTCAGAAACAACTTGGATTCTGAAGTCACAAGTAGCGCTGCTAGTGCCGGCTCAGATACTCCGGTTGAAGAGGCGACTGAGGATATGGTTAGCTACAATATCCATATCGATCAGGACTTTATCAGCCACTCTCTAGCTGATACCGACCCAAGCACTGGCTCTGTCTCAACGTTGGATGCCGATCAGCGAGCAAGCTCAATAATAGTGCGAAAGATGGCGGCATCAGATTTCACTCCCATTCGCTGTCTTGGTGATGGTGCATTCGGAACTGTGCTACTTGTGCGTCAGAATGCTACCGGTCGGCTTTTTGCCCAGAAGCAATTGACAAAGGCGTTTCTAAAGATCCACAAGAAAAGAATTGAATCCACAAAATCGGAGCGATCTATTCTGGAACTCGTCAATCGTCACCCTTTCATTGTCAATCTCTACTATGCATTCCAAGATCATGAGAAACTCTATCTCATTCTGCAGTATGCTTCGGGTGGAGAACTCTTTCGACACCTTGAAATGGAAAAGTTCTTTTCCGAGGAAGTTGCTGCATTTTATATCGCAGAGATCGTCTTGGCATTGGACTATCTGCACAACACTGTCGGTGTCATATATCGTGACCTGAAGCCAGAGAATTGTCTCTTGGATGCCGAAGGGCATTTGCTACTCACAGATTTCGGTCTAAGCAAGGTTGCCATTCAAGATGCAAGTACTCCGGGAGGAAGTCGCTGCAACAGCTTGGGAGTCGGAACAATTGAGTACATGGCGCCCGAGATCATTCGAGGTTCTGATGAATCCGACTGGGGTCCGGGGTATGGTAAGGCATGTGATTGGTGGTCACTTGGTGCCATGGCTTGTGACTTAATGACCGGAAAGCCGCCCTTCGGCGGTGGGAACTGGACAAAGATACAGCAAAACATTATGCACCAGAAACTCAGTCTCCCATACTTTCTGTCACCAGATGCCAAAGATCTTCTCACTAGGTTGTTGCGCAAGGAGCCAAGAAAGCGCCTTGGGGTTGGACCGAACGACATCAACATTATCAAGAAGCACCGCTTTTTTAGGAAAATCGACTGGAAGAAGCTTGAGGCAAGAGAACTCGATCCTCCGATAGTACCGCTGGTTACCAATCCAGAGTTGGCAGAGAACTTTTCTAAAGACTTTACCGGTCGATCCTTGGACACCTTAACACGGCGTCACAGCAGAACATTGAGCAAATCGGATCCTTTTGGGGGCTTCAGCTATGTGGCGAGCCACAGCTTACTCGAGGAGTCCATGTTGTCGGAATTGGATGAGGCTATCATAGATGAGTAGAACCGAAGCGGGTGGTCAACTCACCGGGGCATACAAAAGACGTTTCATACAGCATACAGCGAGCAACAGTAACATACACACGACTAGATTTACGGACATTTATTTGGCTACGTTGAGTCACGCGTATTGTTTGACGCGCCGAACTCAAAGGTACCTGCCTGTTACGCAGCCGATAGATATGAGACACTTGGAGCAAGACCTTTAGAGTATAGTATATCAAAGACTCATTGCTTTCACTCCTGCCTGTTCCTTCCAATCTCGTGAACCTCGAGTCGGGCCCTCAATTGTGAAGGATTTCACACCTCATCATTACCATTACTTCATTTTGCCAAGCCACAACCGCCTTCTCATCGCACCCACTCGCGAATTGTTACCTCATCACACAGCCCTTCCTAAATGCCTGCCAAATCCCGCCCAAAAAAACAAGCCGCCAAAAATGCCAAAAACTTTCCACTTCGAGACCCCAAAGTATCCCTTTCAGGCTACAATATGGATCTGGAAGATGGCTGAGAACCCCCCCCCCCCCCCTTTCAGGTTTCTTTCCGTTTGGTGACTTCATGGCCGAGTAGTGTCGAACAGCCAACCTTCACAGGTGAAAGAAGATGTGGAAAGCTGGTGTTGTCTTGACCGCTCGGCGAAAGGGCAGGCCCGGACCTCAGATTGACTTGCTTTTGCGTGTCAGGCTGAGGTGGGTTGGTGACCGAATTTCTGGGACCGAAAGATATATGGCGGAATGGTGAGAAATGAATTTGGTGGTGAGTTGCTAGTGAATATCTGGGGGGTTGCGCTGCACTGGCACGATGACCTGGAGGAGTGTCGGGGTAGGCTGTGGGTTTTTAGCCTGGATGCGACCTACCCTAGGAACATATCGCCCACTTCCCTATAACTGCCTCCTCACTACTCTATGGGAACTACTGGAATTGACTTGATCGTTAAAAGGCTTCACGATCTACATTTCACCACAAGGCTGAGGTGCGAGGGTATTCGAAGTCCACAACCACTTAAGGTCACGGGATATCGTGTTGCCTAGCCTAGCTCGACGCGACTTGTGACGCGACTGCCAAGACTTTTGTTGCCAAATCATCTGCCGTACCTCATTTTAGCCCCCTCCTGCCTGTCACTCAGCCTGCTTACCGACATGGGGCTTCTCAAACGTCGTTCCTCCCTGTTGATCAACCTGGGATATAATTCATTCCACTATCCTCTCGTTTTGATGGTCACATCAATCTCACACACCTTTCACCTCATTTGATTTTCCACAATTTTGACCAGAATGGCTACCGAAACCCAACAGCCCACTCTCCGGATCACAGATCTCGAATTGGAGATCGTCTCAGAGATCTTCCACTATGTCAACGATGAATCTCCAAGAACTCTTTCATCTTTAGCCCTGGTCAACAGTTACTTTCACTCGGCTGTAAAATTAGTCAAGTACCACCGCACCAGTATCAACTGGTCCGATGACCAGAGCACCTGGTTTGTCGCACGCAAGAAATTTGTTCCCGCTCAGCCTAACCAGCCCGCATCTTTCAAGCTTCTCCAGTCCAACGTTAGTTGCAAAGATCCCGTACTTCTCAAGCGGGTCCGAGTGTTGACAGTCGAGTCTCGCACACATGATTTGTGGGAGTGGAAATTCCTTCCAGAAGCTGATAGGGAACTCATCGACATCTTGAGTAAAGCTGCAAATATCAAGGTACTGATATGGAAGTGGGTCGTGGCACCTTCAGCGGGTATCGTCGAAGCCCTAGAGAAATATCATCCCAAAGCGCAGCTGAGAATCTCTCGTATCAACGTTCCTCAGATCGCACACGATGGAGATACAGTACGAGCTGAGCTCGCAGCAAAGGCATTGAGGAAGGCAACCTGCCTACAGACCTTTGCAGTGAGGAGATATGGAACGGATGATGTCTTGAGCACTTTCGACTACAGACTCATTATCTCTCAAGCACCTAACTTGGAGTATGTCTCCCTCATAGGTGAACACCGCGAACCTGAATCAGGGGATGTTCCGCGGAAACCAAAGCATTCCAAACTTCGACATCTGACATTGGATGGTTGGGAATTGTCACAAGCTACGGTCGAATACTGGTCAAAATATGTTGATTGTGCATCGCTTGTGAGTTTCAAGTGCAGCCGTGGGGCTCTCTCGTCCTCATATTTTGAGTGTGCAGCGAATCTTCTTCCCAGTCTCGAGCATGTCAGCCTAAATTTGTCACCACATACATGTCCGCCAGAAACTGCTGCAGCAGTGCAGAGATATATTGCCAACTGCGCACCTCTTACAAAGTTGAGTCTTTGGTCATGGATGGGCAAGGTCTCCTTGCAAACGATTTTGGACCATCACGGACGCTCATTGGTCTCGTTGCAACTCCATGAGCGTGAAGAAATGATGGACCCATCAGGGCCGAAAGTCATGTCTTTAGAAGATCTTCGCTCAATTAGGACAAACTGTCCTAATCTCAAGTCGCTGACTTTTGACCTCAAGCGCAAATCAAAGAAACCCAGCGTCAATGATTATCTGCCAATCCTGGAAGAGATAGTCAAAATGAACTTGGACACTTTGGAGATCTACCTCGACAGTGGTTTGCCTTTCTTGTCGGTAGTGAATAGGTTCACTCAATTTCCTGAAGACGAGGCTGAAGATGACGAGGACTACGAAGATGACGAAGAATATGACGAGGATGACGAGGATGACAATGAAGAAAGGACTCTAAACAAGAACAAAAACAAAGAGAAAGATACCAACTTCACCACAAGAGCCGTAATATACGAAAAGTGTGATGCCATGGCTCGGAATTCCTGCGGCGGGGCTTTTGACTCTAGGGAGCTGGATTCCCTTCCAGACACAAAATACGTGCTGAATTCGTACTTCTGGGATCGCGACCCTGAATCTGACAAAGAGGTCAGCTTCCACCCTCCGACATCGGCTGACGATATCTCTACCTTTACAGGTGAAATGTGGAAATTCATCTATGGAGCAAGAGTGATTGGCCCAAGGACGCTAGATCTCAAATTTGGAGAGTGGGAGAGAAAATCCATGCCCAATCTATCTAGCCTGGATGATGGCGCCGCTTACAGGGATATCCGTGTTTGGACTCGCGCAAGACCTCATGAGAGAGACGACAAAGCAGGTCAATGTTTTGCTGAAATGAAGTGTTGTGGTGGGAAACATTGGAAGAAATGGACGACTAGCTGACGAAGAGTCTTGAGGGCTTGTGGCTGCTTCTTCCCAACGGCTCTTCTATGATTCATTGGGAGAATGCGCTGGGTGCTGAATTGATAAGTCTCATGACCAGTTTGGATTCACATCTCACACGACATGGCTAGCAAACGATTGACATAGATGGATACCTTATCAATTCTCGTGTCCTTGCAAAGATACGCCATCAGACGAAGCCATTATGAGTGCACGATAGACATCACTTCAAGTCGTTGATTTAGGCATGAGCTCTAAACTACGGGTATGTTTTCAGATAGGTCGTTCACTGAGTGGACAATATCAAAGTCTCAACGGCCATTGACCCCCGACTACGCCTTCTTCTGCTGAGATCTAAGCAACCACACCGCACTCCCCAGCTTGTAAGCTGTGCTGTGTCTCTACCTGTTCTTTCTCCCCACATTCTTTTCAGCACCTGCCTGGCCTATCAAGCAGGCAGCCAAGCCCTCCCTCTGGAGTATGCTCCCGTAGTCGTTGACGAAGAAACCGTATGGAGGCTCCTTGCTGACCGTTCCCTGTACCGAATCAGAGCTAAATCAGATCCAGATCTTCTTGTGAGAAGAAACATGTCGATCGGCACTAGCTTGAGCAGTTAAGTATCTGGCTATGCCCGCCCACTACTCCCGATAATATCCATCCACATCTCCACGTCCGCCTGTAGCACTCGGATTCCTTCGTCGATCAACTGTGTCAGAGTCCTTTCCTTCGCATGGTCCCGTAAATACACATTCCAAGTCTCCAATAGCAATTTATTAACGTTGACCTTCGTGACCCCAGCTCGGATACAGTCTCTCATCAACTCGGGCGAGAAATCATTGGTCCCATGCAACACCAAGCTAGCCCGGCCGTCAAGCTGTTTCGCGATATCGCTGAGCCGTTGAAAGTCCAGCTGTGGGCCCTGAGGGCCGTAGTCGCCGTGTATGTTGCCCACGGAGGGCGCCAGCATGTCGATCTCCGTGGCTAGGAAGTCTTCCACGTCTTTTGGCGTTGTGAGTAGTGCTGTTCTAGACTTAGCATTTGGCACCACGATTTTAACCGGGGAAGCCATGTGTTTGCCACAGTCTAGATCACACCACATACCCTCTAGATTGCCAGTGTCCGCAATCCCATCCTCGCCACCATTAATCCGCCCGCTCTCAGCCTCGACCGCAATACCTTTGGCATGACAGAAGGCCGTCAATTCCCTGGTCTTGCTAAGGTTCTCAGCAAGATCGTAGTGGCTCATATCGACCATGATGGAATCAATCGGCAACGACTCAACGGCGTATCTGATCTGCTGTTCATCCTGTGCATGATCGATGTGCACTGATATCGGAACAGTGGCAGTTTTCGCCGCCGCCGACGCCGCCCAGACCAATGATGGTAATTGGGTCAGTGTCGACGGGAATAGCAGCAGGATCAAAGGCGAGCGTTTTGCTTCGGCGGCGCGGACGAGCGCTGTTATGTGTTCGACATTGTAGCTGTAACGAATGATGGGTGAGCACGGGTGTTCAAGGGCAGCTCTTCGAGAAATATTGGGGTCTAATGTGCTTACGCGATGGCTGCAAGTACTCCATAGCCTCCTGTCGCTGCAGCTTGGAGGATTTGCAGTGTCTTGTTCTGTCTGGGTGCGTAGATCATGTTGACTGGAGTATTGCTTCACCTGAGGTCATATTGATCTTACTAGGTAGTTAGAAGACTGGGAACATTAAGACAAGTAATATTGTCTTGAAAGTTTTCTGGTGACTTGAAATGGAAACTACTTAGGTATGTACAGAACAAGTCAGATGATATTCGACGATCTATTCAGGCCAAGTCTTATGGCAAATCCGTGCCTTGCTGTGGAGGCAGGAAAACCTCCTTGGCCGAGGCTGAGTGTCAACAGGGGTGGCCATTACCTCGTTACGAGCAAAGGGAACTGTGGAACTTACCCCGCATTCGGGTTTAAACTCTTCGCTCCTTCCTCGATGCGAACGTTTCTTCCTGTGCCATCTCTCGCTTTTGTTCTTGTTCACGCAGTTCCAAAACCTATGGCGGCCGATAAAGTAGCAACTGGAGTGCTTGCGCCTCACCGCGTCCAGAAACCGCGCCAATCTCGTGCTCGCGGCTTGCGCACTTCTACAGGTTGGTATGCTCGCTACACGGGTCACTTTTCCGGCATTCTAGCTGACTGTGAAAATTAGCCTCACGTGCCGCCAGCGCCGAGTCAAGTGTGATGAAGGTCGGCCTGTGTGTGGAAGGTGTATCAAAGCTTCTCGTGATTGTACCTTTAGCCATGAGCTTGGTACGCGCCCTCCTGGGAATGTTCACAGTGACGTGAACTCCGGTGTAGCTCCGGATCAGCATCCTGCCGAGGCGGCTCTGGACCCGTCAGTTCTGGACACTCTCAATGCTTCAGAGGACCATGACCAGTCTAGCGATGCTTCTTCTGAGAATACTGAGGACCAGGCAGTTGAGCTTTACCACGACGGGAATGGTTTCCAGGCCTTGCAGGCTTTGTCTGAAGGCAATGAACCTGTAGTCGACATAGCATCGACCAGCCAGGAGCTATTTGTCGATAATGGAATGTTTTCAAATGGCACACCTTTTGCAGATTTTGACACCTCTTCTTTCACGTTTTCTTCGGCTGTGTCTCCTGGAACTGCACCTTTCCAATGGTATGATCTTCTCGCCCAGGATGCGTTGGACAATCTGGACAAACACTCGTTCTTGAATCAAGACACCCAGTGGAATTTTGACCCAAGAAGTCTGTCTCGAAGACCTAGCATTTCCCAGATCGCCCAAACCAACGTGGACTCCGGTAACGTAGGTCCAGGAACTGGGACACAACCTGAGACCCATATCGCAGCCGTGCAAGACCTTACGAAAGTTACCAACAATTTGAACCCTGCCTGGAACACTCAAGAACCCATTATTCTCCAAGCCGATGAAGCTCTTTATATGCAACACTATGTCAGAGAGGTGGCTCCTGTTCTTGACTTGTTTGACCCGTCTAAGCACTTCGGCAATGTTGTCCCACATCTAGCACTGAGAAATATTGGCTTGATGAAGGCACTTCTTGCGGTCGCTGCCAGACACGTATCATTGGACACGATACACACTGTTTCCAATATGTCACCAACCTCTGGTGGAACAAGAGAATTTTTCGATTCCCATAAAACCCACAGGCAAGCTGCCACTCAGTACTATTATGAGACATTAGGTTATCTGGCGAGATCAATGCAACTACCAAGTTATACCCGAAGCTCGGAAATACTTGCCACAGCCATCATGATCAGTACCTATGAGATGTTCGATGGCTCAAGAGATGAATGGGATAGACATCTTCGTGGTGCTTTCTGGATACAACGGTCCCAAGACAATGATGGGGAATCGCGGGGCATCCGAGAAGCAGTTTGGTGGGCTTGGGTGAGACAAGATATCTGGGCAGCAATACGGGAACGAAGACGTACCCTGACAATTTGGAGGCCCAAAAAACCATTAGCACACCTGAATTCAGATGAGCTTGCGACAAGAGTTGTTTACTTGTTGGCAAAGGCAATCTCCTATGCATCCAAAGAGGCTGCCGAATCACAAGATCTAGGTAAGAGACTCGAGGAAGGTAATGTTCTGCTTCAGACCTTAGAAGAGTGGTTTGCTGCACTTCCAAAGTCCTATCAACCTATAATCAGTGCCTCGGACTCTGACGAAGTATTCGAGTCGATCTGGATTCACCCACCTTCCCACGCTGCAGCGATTCAATCATACTGCCTTGCCAAGATCCTTATTTCGCTCAACAAGCCCTCTGCGGGGAGTTTGTCTTCCTATCACGAATGTCAAAACATCCTCAGAGATGCGTCAAAGACGATCTGTGGTCTAGCTAAGGCTCCACACGCCAGTGACCCTGCATCAGCCTTTATTAGTTTCCAGTGTTTATTTGGTGGTAAGTATTGAATTTTATTCGTTTGAATCTTCACTGACTAGAGCAGCTGGTCAATGTTTACGAACAGCCACACAACAAGAAGCTTTTATTGAAATTCTGCAACTATCTATGGATAATTGTAGATTTTCTCCGAAATCGCTGGTGGATGATTTGCGAGCAATGTGGAAGGAATTTACCTAAGTGACTGATCTTTCGGCAAGTTTTGACATTTCTGCATGCATTGACCCATTCACGCCTTTCCCTTTCTGACCAGTATATGCATCACGATGTATACAATCACTCCAAATCCTAGGAGACCAGAGATCACGCCGAAGCCCATGGTGTACTGAGGGCTGTCTGACGAAGGGAACAGGTATGCTCCATATATTTGAGCGAGGTTTCCCATTGCGTTTACCAACGCCAATGCAACAGCTCGGACTTCTGGTTCCATTGATCCAAATGTCGATGAAGCGAAAGAAAGGGAAAGTGCGTTCGAGGCCCACAATCCTGCCGCCATCAAAACAAGTAGTGCATATCGAGCAGTAAAGTTTCGAATTAGGCACACGACGATCGAGGTGATCATTGAAAACGTCAGCCAGCTGGATATAACGACTCCTCTCCATGTTGGGATGCGATCTGCAAAGTATCCAGTCACAGCCGTGCAGACGAATGCAACTGCGTAGATGGGGACCTGTGGTAAGAACATGAGCATGATACAAAATACTCGCTGCGAGGTTCACTGACCGTCATATACTGTGCCTGGACTGTTGAAGTATACCCCAAATTATGTACCAAGGTAGGATAAAAATAGCTCAGTGTCGAAGATCCAACGATAACTGGCATAGGTTAGTGACGAAACTAGTGCGGTGTTGAGCGCCAACCTACCCATATATCCCAGTATAAAGCCCCAAGTTCTCCAGTCCTTCAAGGCTAACCAGAAAGACTTGGCTTTGGAGGTTTTTGGTCCATCCTCCGATCTGACTGTGACCCCTTCGTCAAGGAGCCGGGCAATGGCGATTGCACGTTCGCGCTCGGTCAATCTTGTCGACGTGGCAGGAAAGTCAAGAAGGATAAACCCCGAGATACCAGCCCAGCCAATTGTTGCAACACCTGATTGCACGATCAACAATGTTGTATCATAGAGGAATACAAGAGGACACACCTTCAACGATGAAAAGCCATCTCCAGCCTCGGAGCCCATGGGCTCCCTCCAAGCCGCCTGTGATCGCGCCAGCTAGAAGGCCACCGAACGCTCCGGAGAGGATAGCAGCACTGATGAACACCGCAAATCGCTTAGACTGCTCTGTTCGCTTGTACCACGAGGAGATGATGAGAAGAATGCCAGGGGCAAAGCCTGCTTCCAAAATACCGACGAAGATACGAAGAATAATGAGATGATGGTACGTCTTGATTGCAGCCATCGCGCAGGTCAGGCAGCCCCAGACGGCCATGATTGCCGGCAAGTAGCGAGATGGACGGCTTCGAACGAGGATCATATTGCTTGGAGCCTCGAAGATGACGTATCCGACAAAGAAAACCACCAGTGCCACAGAATATTGGCTAGAAGATAGTTCCAAATCATGAGCCATTCCGGCGATTTTGGCATTTCCGATGCTATTAAATTGTTAGAAATGGGCTGGTTAAACAATCCTTTTAGATTCCTCTCACTTGGTGCGGTCCCTAGTGTAAGACTGCATTAGCCTCTTGAATTTTCCTGAGTGTTCGAGCTATTGGAAGAATACTCACATGTACGAGAGAAGATACATCAGCCAGATGGTCGGCAGGAGAAACAAATCAATCTTCCGGACCAACTTCTCTTCTTCCTCCTTAGTGAAGGTGATTCCACCGGCACGTACTTGTTCGACTTCATTGCTCTCTACCTCGTCAACCCCAAGGTCGGCTTTATGTTCGGCTTGTGTGGCGTAGGTCATGGTGGCGAAGTTTTCCTCTTATCACAAGATGTGGTGGCGGCTTTCTGTTAATGCTGATCGGAGTTGAGGTTGAGTAGTCTCTGCATGGCGGACTGATGGACTTCATATAGTTGCCTGGCAAGGCATTTGTTGAAGACGGGCAAGTGATGTTCAGGAAGAGACGTCTGGGGCAACCCGGGGGCCCTCAAACGAGCATTGTTCGTGTCCATGCAATTCCTGCCAACCAGATATGAGAGCGAGCACTCTACGGGAGATGCAATTGCCGGAAATATCTCGATGCGATAAGCGAGCTCTCGCTTCAATCTCAGTTCCCCGCATCTTCTCATGATTTGTGGGCGAACACTGGGGTATGATGCGGGCTTGAGCGATTTCTGGCTCGACGCGAAGCCTCCTCATTTGCCGACCCCTGCTCTCCCTCTGAGTTGGTGGTTGGATCGCATCGACGTCTAACTTGGTCATATGAAAGCCAGTCTTTGGCCAAACTCTCTGCGAATGCTCATAAATACTGGAAAGCTCAATATTCTAAGCCATTTCTTGAATTAATTTGCACTCTACGAGCAACAGTTCCTTCAGTCCTCGTTTCATGTCTTATCTAGGTTCATTTCCGGCCCACAGAAGAGTTATTGTTAGGCGACCCAAGAAAATGTCTCCTATTGCGATCGAAAGCACGCTTGTCACTCCAGTGGCCCAAGAGAATACTGTCAATGGACTCAGTGCACTGAAAAGCAGCCAGACGTCAACAGAATCAGCAACAATATCCACCCTCCCAGGCGCCGACCATCACTGGAGAGTGACCTTGGAGCATAAAGTAATAGCGATCACTGGGGCTAATCGTGGTATCGGTCTCGGTATTGCCGAAGTATGCCTCGCAAATGCTGCCTCGGTGGTATACTCGCTCGATCTGCTGGAGCCCAGCGAAGAGTTCACAGCGATCCAGAAATCCCACCATGGGCGATTACGATATCTTCGATGCGACGTCACCAATGAAATCAGTATCACCAATGCAATAGATGCCATCGTCTCCGAAACAGGTCGCATCGACGGTCTCGTCGCAAATGCAGGCATGACAAAACACCAGCCAGCACTCGATTTCGATCGCCCACAGCTCGAGAAATTGTTCAATCTGAATGTCTTCGGTGCATATTTCTGCGCGACCATCGCCGCGAAGAAGTTCATCGAGCTGGGGATCAAGGGTTCAATCGTCTTCACGGCCTCCATGACGTCCCACCGACCGAACCGTGCTGCTCCGTCCGCGCCCTACGGCGCCACGAAAGCCGCCGTGCGGAACATGACGCATACCTTAGCGATGGAGTGGGCAGAGCACGGTATCCGTGTCAACAGTATCAGTCCTGGTTTTGTGAAGACAGCCATGACTTATTTCGTGGACCAGTCCCCGGATTGGGCTTTGAAAACCAAGTATTATGGTGGCATGCCGAGGTTGGCAGAGCCAAAGGAGCTGGGTGGTGCTTATGTTTACTTGCTCAGCGATGCTGCAAGTTATACAACGGGTATCGACATCCCTGTTGCGGGGATTGTGGGCGCTTGGTAGACTGGAAATGGTATAAATAGTAGTCTTTTACTCAGATCGGGGTTGTCAATCCAGACACCAGTATGCCCATTGTTCTGCAGATATTCATAGAGTGCCAAATAATGAAACTCCTGGTTCTAGAAGACAGGTGCAGTCTCGATCCTTGACTTCGATAACTTTGTTCACCCTTCCCCATATCAAGTACAATGCTACCTCTAACGCGGGGAGCTGCTCCTCCATAGCCTACCGAAACGTTAGAAGCCAATTAAATAAGGCCCAGGCAGTAGAAGAGCATACCAAAGCTTCGTCCCTTAGAGACGGGTAATAGTGGTGTCAGATATTCGTTAACGAGTTTGATGGAACCCGGCGATACAACTGCTCCTGCCAGAAAGGTATCCTTCTCCATGATGTAGGATAGGCCATGCTCCTTTAGGGGACTGTAGTCGTGGCCCTCCTCATCGGGCTTCATGGTTTCACGTGTGCATATCTGCACGTTGTCGGAACCAACCACGGTCACAATAGCTTTGAAGGACTCTACAAAAAGTTGCTGTTGACACATCCGGCGGAAGGATCAACTAGTCGTCCTCGATTGAATCGATTTAAGCAATGGATGCCATGTCTGTACCTTCAAAATCCTGCTCACATGCATAAGAATGTCAAGTTTTGGTGCTCTACCACCAATAGGGGACATTCTCGAGGTCTGTTCTGCATCCATAAATGCTTCATAATTTTTTCGCCGCTCAACGGTAGGGTGGGAGGTGGGGCTTTCTGGACTGTGGCGCTCCTCATCATGACGCCAGTGATCCCAAAAATTAGTGATTCGAATCTACATGCCGAAGATCTCGCACCGCAATGTTGGCGCGAGATTGTACCTGGTGGAATGATAGATATGCGCATGCAGCCGCAGCCGGGCGACAACGGCTGCCAAAGCATCGGGACTGAAATGAAGAATTCCGATTCACGCCTCTGCCTAAGAGCTCTGTCGCAACGATGGGGGCCTCATTTGGACAACCTTCCTGATCTGACGGATCATCCCCACATGCCGAGGGGTGTGTCTTGTCACGGATACCACCAACCGAATTTGGACTTGGAAAGGTTGTACAAGTAGGATCCCATTAGAACGTACGATATAAAGAAGCCTATACTGTTTTCCGACTTAGAAGAAGCCAAAGAAAAAGACTGCCATACTTCTTCCACGTTACTACAATGGCAAAGAATAATGACACGGTCAGATACCAGGAACCTCCACTTTGGCCTCCGGCATCTTAGATATAGGCGGGGGGAGGCGAACTGTGGGGTGGGCGCCCCGTTCTCCAGCGCCACCACATTTCACCCACACTATTTACCATGTAATTCCCATCCCCGCAGCAGGCAATTCGAGACCGATGCATTCCATCGGCCTTACTGATAGTTTCAACTGAGCCTCAGTAGGTAATAGGCCATCGAAACGGACTCAGCGGCTTGGAGACCCCAGTCCCAGGGAATTTCGTCTCTCAAAAACTAAAGAGTCCATCCTTGCGGCTTAAGAATCTGAAAGCTATCTCTTCTGACATTGTGATTGCTAAAGATGAGCCAGCCACAGTATGCTCCAGGAATCCCTGGTAAAGTCACCGAGTATGCAGACAGCGTCAAACAGAAATTCATCAAGAATGCTACAACGTCATCCGTACGACCAAGAACAGAACCACCTACAGATCTACCAGTGCTGCCACCGGGAGTATCCAGAAATGATTATCTGGATGGAATTGAGGAACTAAGAACTCTCGTGGATGGAGACGTTCAACTGTTTGACGGTCCATTGGACGATGGATGGTATCTACACCGCCCCTTGTCGCATGATGCATACACGCTGGACTCAGATGACTATTTCACCAACAGTGCCGTATGCGCTCCAGGCAGCGTTGAGCAAGTTCAATCAGTGGTGGTCTGGGCAAACAAATGGTCGATCCCAATCTATCCTATCTCTATGGGACGAAACCTCGGTGAGCGACCTCTCTACTGCATTTCTAACTGATATTGATGATCCTTAGGCTATGGCGGCGCTTCTGCTCGAGTGAAAGGTTCTGTTATCGTCGATATGGGAAAGCGAATGAACAAAGTCTTGGAGTTGAACGAGAAGAATGCGTTCTGTCTGCTTGAGCCTGGCGTATCTTACTATACCTTATACGACGAAATCCAGAAATCCGGCAAAAACTTGTGGGTAGACGTGTAAGTATCGTCCTGGTGAGCTACAAAGACAAGCTCACATATTTGCAGACCTGATCTGGGTGGGGGAAGTGTTATCGGAAACGCCTTAGACCGTGGAGTCGGGTATACTCCTTATGGAGGTAGGCCCTGATCGCAATATTTGTTTAGTGTAGTTGCAGTGCTGAAAACTTACAGATCACTTCGGTATGCACTGTGGTATGGAAATTATCCTACCAAATGGCGAATTGGTTCGCACAGGAATGGGCGCCTTACCTGATGCAACAACAGAACATGGTAGCGCAAATACTTGGCAGTTGTTTCCCTACGGGTTCGGGCCTTATGCCGATGGAATCTTCTCCCAATCGAACTACGGTATAGTCACAAAGATGGGCTGTAAGCAAACTCTGTCATATGAGTATATCTCCCTACTGACGTGTGCTCCAAGTCTGGTTAATGCCAGATCCCGGTGGTCATCAAACACTACAGATTACTTTCCCGCGTGAGGATGACCTGCATCAGATTGTCGAAATTATGAGGCCCCTCAAAATCAACAACATTATCTCGAATGTCCCTCACCTGCGACATATTATGCAGGAAGCGAGTGTCTATGGAGACCGTAAATCGTTCTGGGATGGTGATGGTCCGATCCCTCACGATCGCATTGAAGATGTGATCGTTCCTAAGCTTTGGATGGGCAGTTTTAGGTGGATACTGTACTTCTGCGTCTATGGGCCAGAAGTTGTCCGCAAAGCTCATATTCAAGTAATCAAGGATGAGTTCTACAAGATTCCGGGGGCGAAACTTACATATCCCGAAGATACACCACCTGAATCCTATCTTCGGAGCCGAGTCAAGATCTACTCAGGGACGCCTGATCTGCGTGAGCTCGACTGGGTAATGTGGCTGCCAAATGGCTCTCATACGGCCTTCAGTCCCATTAGCCCGATCACTGGTGACGATGCTGTCAAGCAATACAACATGACTAAGAGGCTTCACGAGAAATGGGGGTTCGACTACTTCCCGACGTTTTGTCCGGGCGCTCGTGAGATGCATCATATCGTCATGATTATTTATGATCGCTATGATGCAGATTCCCGAGCTCGCGCGAGAGGTATGATGCAAGAACTTGTTGAGGAGGGTGCTAAGCTTGGAATGGGTGAGTATCGGACCCACCTGGCTCTACAAGATCAAGTCATGGCAACCTATAATTATAACAACGGAGCACTTCTGAAAATGCATAATACTATCAAGAATGCATTGGACCCCAACGGTATCATGGCACCAGGGAAAAGTGGAATATGGGGAGACCGATGGACTGCACCTGAAGAACATAAACTAGCAGTTAATCGGTCTCCAGTTGAGAAGCAAGTAACAAACACGATTGCTCAAAGGCAGGAGACCAAGCTTTGATGTGTTCCTGGTCAGTTGATCGTTCGGTCTATGTGCTAGAACAATGGATTACACGATCGAAACCATAGCTAGCATCCAAGCTCACGGCTTTGCACTGGGTCATTTTTGCTCTTTTGGTGGACCTCGTGGAAATCACCATCGATCGAGTCCCACTTAAACTCTCTAAGCTCAATGCCATAAGGTTTCTGATGTTAAAATAAATTTAGTCGCACAGTTCACAGCAATACTAATGAATGGAATGGAATGTGACTTACTGGTTCCAAAAGGTACAGTGTATGTAAAGGGATCTCGAGCCTGCCCAACTGTATTTGACTCACATCGCGAAAATATGCCAGCAGAACCCGAAGGACAGCGACACCGGCGATGAGAAGTACATGGTCATGTAGTCTCTCAAGCTCCAAGATCATCCACTGAATACGGTGAGCGATCTCACTGTGACTTTCTTGATTATCGTCCGGAAGCGACAAGACTTTTGAAGTGCTGGAGCCTGACTCGTGATGATCTCCCGTGCTTTCTTGACCGTTGAACGAGTCTAGCATATGGAGATGCTTGACCAAATATTCCGATCTCGCAAAGCCAGATGAGGTCTGGCGACTGCGTGCTGTCCGCGATGTCCAGATCTGGAACTTGGGGGAGGAAGTCGGACATGATGTCGCTTGCCCATGTGTGATGGAGTATACCGCCGATGAAGGCTTTTGCTCATACCCCTTGGTCCTATGTTTGTGAATGAAAGTGGCCAACGCAGTTGCGTACTCTCTGCCTCGCTCGCTTAGTTCAGGGTCCAAGGTTTCTATCTCAAGCGCGTCGTCTGCTGACTCCCCTCTTCGCGACAACCAAATCTGACGAGGCTGCAAGTGGAAATTCTGGATGTACTGGACGGTTTTGAAGGCTAGATAGCCTTGGATGTTGTGCATCACAAACTTCCGCCCAACGTCAATCATCTGGCAGAAGGACCAACCGAGTGACTCCTCGGCACTACCAAGTGAAGTATACTTCTTTGAGTACATCGATACTCTCTCTTTAAAATCTGCAAGCGATGCTTTCGGATCATGGCCCTTATAGTCTGGTCCAGAAAGCTTCAACATCATGTTGGACTCGAGCAGCTATTCAAAGATCAATCAGTTTGTGAAATTTGGGATCATGTCGTCGAGGGATTATCAATACTTACCTCTTCATCAAAGCACTGGCTCTCTAAGAACAGAATTTCAGTCTGGCTGCCTGTTCTTTGCTTTACCCGTTCGACGATAGCACGCCTTCTGGGCAGGGTCGTGTTGGTAGCATCGAATAATGCCACTGACCCTCCTCCCAGTAGCAGAAAATCGAGAAGCTCTTCCAAGGTGGCCATCGCTGCCACCTCTCGAATTTTCGCAGCTTTATGGTCGGCGGGGTCGAAAAAGTTGGCATTATGTTGGGTATATAAGTTTTTCAGATGTCTTCGTTTATCACCGACGTTGAATATCCTCGTGCCATACTGCAACCAGTTGAGATATCTGCAAAGCTTGCGGGCGATGTAGCTTTTACCACGGGCTGGCAGCCCTACGAGAACGATAATAAGCTTCGGAGGTGAATGGCAAGACCATGGTGTCGAAGAGGAACTTTGTGATAAATTCTGTGTCCGGACCTTCGCACGCTTTTCTAGCTTTGGGGAACCATAATCAGAAGGATTCTTTCTCTTCGACCTGTTCAAACTTGGATCTGCCTTATTTCTGGTGGGGTTCGGTTGAAAAGACTGCAGAGCAGGAAGGTAGCTTATGGAAGACAAGGTCATTTTCGATATGTGATCAAGTGCTCTGCGAACCGATGCACGCAATTTCACACGCCCATAGAACGATGCTCGGGAGTGGACAGCAGCACCAATTGGGCTTAACTTCTACAATATATTGATATGTTGCAGAGAAGACTCACTCTCAAATTAACACTAACACAATAATGCGAACCAGCTCATTGACGACATGCGTTGTGGTACTGGCAGGCGTGTGGTCACAACTCGCGTTGGTTCTTCAGGTTCGCCTCGAGGAGTGCCCTTTGGCCATCCTCTCGCATCGCCGGAGGCAAATTCTGAGAAAGCCGACATTGAGGATCGGGTTCGGTACGAGCTCACTGCTCGTGTCGAGGTCAAATGCGGGGATTTGGGCAACGCCGGCCCCGGAATTCTGGTTTCAATTACCGCAGGACTCTTTGAGATCTCGGGAAACCCCTCGCCCTTCTTCCATGAACATGGTCAATAGGTGATTAGGTACCAGCTGCAATTGCCTTGTTTGAACAGCATCATCTCGGTGTCAAGCATGGGTCCCATGGAGGATGAACATCGCTCTTCCGAGGCTCGAAGCGAAGTCACGTTTCCGAGCCTCCATAAGATATAAGAAGAGATGAAGTTCAGGAAAACTGCATCCTATGGCAAGCGGTCCATCGAGTATTAAAGATCTATCACTACTTTTTCAATTCTTCAGTTATCGACGGTCTTCACGAAATGGCGCCATCTTTAGAATATTACGAGGATATCTCTTCAGGGGAGCTCCCCATCAAAGCTATCCCCACCAAGATCAATGGCGTCGAGGCTATCAGTGGTCTTCAGCTGGACCAAACTGATAAACACGACATCGTGCTAAAAACTTTCAGAGCATTTATTGCAGATCTATGCCAACAATTCGGAGGTGGCCATCCTGGGTGAGCAAACGCCATGAGAAAACTTAGAAGCTATGACTAACAACCACTCAGTGGTGCTATGGGAATGGCTGCTATTGGCATCGCATTGTACAAATATGTTATGAAGTACTCTCCTACCAATGCTGGGTACTTCAATCGGGATAGATTCGTTTTGTCCAATGGTAAACAAGTCACTCCAGCTGACGCTTTTCCTCTGTGGCTTACCTTACTATAGGCCACACCTGCCTTTTCCAGTATCTCTTTATGCATCTTGTGGGCTTCAAGTCGATGACCATGGAACAGCTCAAGAGCTATCATTCCGATCGCACCGACTCTCTTGCTCCTGGTCATCCAGAGATTGAGAACGAAGGAGTGGAAGTCACGACAGGTCCACTCGGTCAAGGTGTAGCGAATGCTGTCGGTCTCGCTATGGCCACTAAACATCTTGGTGCGACATATAACCGGCCTGGGCACACTGTGGTAGATAATATGACTTGGTGCATGATTGGTGATGCGTGCCTCCAGGAAGGGGTGGGACTCGAAGCCGTATCTCTAGCAGGACATTGGAAGCTCAACAATCTGGCGATTCTTTACGATAACAACAACATCACCTGCGATGGCTCGGCGGACGTAGCCTGCACGGAAGACATCAACACGAAGATGCAAGCATGTGGCTGGAATGTCATCGACGTCTATGACGGAGACCACAATGTTACAGGCATCGTACAGGCCCTACTAACCGCTCGAATCAGCCAGAAACCCACATTCATCAATATCAGAACCATTATCGGCATCGGTAGCTCTGCAACCAATAACGCTAAAGCACATGGTGCTGCTTTTGGAGTTCAAGACGTCGCCCAGATTAAAAAGAACTTTGGGCTGGACCCTGAGAAACATTTCGAGATCTCTGACGATGTTTACAGCTTTTTCGACGATGTCAAACATCGTGGTGAAAAGCTCGAGGCCGCGTGGAACACTACTGTCGAAGACTATGAAGTCCAGTACCCTGCCCTTGCTAAAGAGTTCAAACTCCGAGTACAGGGGAAAATGCCTGAGGATTGGACTAAATTTATTCCTTCAAAGGATCAACTTCCCAGCAAACCTACAGCCTCGCGGAAGTCAGCAGGCATCGTTTGCAATTCACTTGCTGAAAATGCGTCGAATTTTCTAATTGGAACAGCTGACCTGACGCCATCGGTCAATCTAGCATACAAACAGCAACAAGATTTTCAATCGGTGAGTACATGGCGCCCATTAACCCCATTACCCTTGACTGATGAGCGTGTTAGCCTGATTTTGTCGCTGCGTGTGGCATGACTGGTGACTACACTGGTCGATACATCCATTACGGCATCCGTGAGCATGCGATGTGCGCTATCTCTAATGGTCTCGTCGCTTTCAACAAGGGTACTTTCCTCCCAGTAACCAGTACATTCTTCATGTTTTACATTTATGCTGCTCCCGCCGTTCGAATGGGTGCACTACAAGGCCTTCAGCAAATCCACATCGCAACTCACGACAGTATTGGCACAGGAGAGGATGGTCCGACCCATCAGCCTATAGCTCTGCCCGCGCTCTACCGCGCCATGCCTAATCTTCTATACATTCGACCCTGCGATAGTGAAGAAGTTGCAGGCGCGTTCATCACTGCCATCGAAGCAACGTCGACTCCGAGCATCATATCCCTCTCGCGCCAAAACCTCACACAATACCCACAATACTCCAGCCGGGAAGGAGTCCAAAGAGGTGCATATGTCTTCATCGAAGACTCTGCAGCAGACGTCACTCTGATTGGCATCGGCTCAGAAATGGGTTTCACCGTCCAAACACGAGAATTGCTTCAAAAGGAATACAATATTAACGCCCGAGTAGTGAGTTTCCCATGCCAGCGCCTGTTCGAGCAACAGTCTCGGGAATACAAGGAGTCGGTTCTGCGCTATAAATCTGGCAAGCCTATTGTCGTGATCGAAGCATATGCGATCAATGGATGGGAACGTTATGCAGATGCCGGTATTTCAATGAAGTCATTCGGAAAGTCTCTGCCTGGGGCCGTCGCTTATAAGCATTTTGGTTTCGAACCATCGGTCATGGCTCCAAAAATCAAAGGTTTTGTTGATCATGTGAAACTTGAGGGAGTCGAGAGCCTCAGGGGTGATTTCAGAGATCTCAATGGCTCGATGAGTTATGGCTTGGAGCATTGAGTTTGGGGCATGTGTTGAATTGCGGATATCTACACTTTGGCGTTTTGATGGCAGTACACACGTACTAGAGGAGGACGGTCTGCACGTTGTCTGAAGAGGACGCAGCTAGAGAGATACGAGAGATAAGATCTTGATTATTTCCTAAGCCATTTATGAGTTCTATTCAGCTACTCTCCGTATTGACAGAACTTGCAAGGACTTTTCAGGTTTCAAGATGCTGCGCTCTATTCAACTCTCGATTGTCTCTGGTAACAACGTGACTTCGCGTTCTTGTCGCGAACCTTCTTGGATCACGAAAAAGACTCCAATTGGTCGAATCGTGACGACGCCAGGCAGCAATCCCTTCTCAGCCAATCATGGGTCAATATGGGGAAGTTCAACCTCTTCCCTGGCGTTCGAGCTTCGTGAATACGAAAGTCAGCAGGACACGCGTGATGGAAGGAACGCAGAGCTCTCAATGATTGTATCCTTGCGTAGGGGTATAAAAGTTATGCTCTTCGCGTCATCTGTTGCTGCGGAGTCTTCTCAAACGATCCATTCTATCCGCTCAATCACACAATAAAAAATACTATATTATCCACCCTACAAGCTTCTCACACCATGGCTGATACCTGCTGGACGCCACCCAAAGATGGAACTCCATGCTGGATTAACGTCTTGGCGACTGATGTGCAACGAGGTTAGTGTCTTGTCCCTACATTTCATTTACACAGCATTGTAGAGTGCTTCCAACCCCTGAATAGCCTAACACGATTTCTGACATAAATCGATGAGTTCTTTCGTTACTTCAGCTTTTGGCCATTGGTGCTGATGACTACTCCTCTCTTGCTAAATAGCCAAGAAGTTCTACTCCGAGGTCTTCAATTGGGGTTTCCCACGCCGTGAAACCCATCATGGAAAGCCACTGGATGAAAATGAGATCGCATTGTTTGAAGTTCCAGACAAAGGCTGTCCAGGCGGGGGCATCACACGGGTCTCCAAAGAGGAATGGGCTGCCAATCGGCACGGAGAAAGTCGGAAGGGAGTCGTTCTGTACCTCTATGTGCATGATATCAATGCGTGGGAGGACGTGAGTCTGCTTCCTTTGTCCTCCAGACTTGAGAATATGTCTTGACAAATGGTCAGAGAATTGTCGCAAATGGCGGTAAGAAGATGACGGAGATTCAGCCGGAAGGAGAAATGGCACTCATGCAGCATTTTGAGGACACTGAAGGCAATTACCTTGGGATTTATAGCATGAAAACTTGACGAACGGGTTTGTGTCTTATCGGACAGTACGCCTGATTTGGGGCGTGAATTCCTGACTATCAAGATTGATCAAAGGACAACCGTTGCAATTTGCAAGCACATTCATTCTTTATACCCAGGGCGCGATTTTCGCTTTGCACCAACTCTCAAGTTGGCAACCAGGATCCCGAACCCTGCCTCTATCACTTCCTTGCGCCTAACATCTGCTGGACCTTCCAAGACTCTAATAAGTGAAGTCTCTGATCATGCCATCTCCTTTTCCATTTACAAATCTCATGTTCCTCCATCTATAGTAGAATCTCAATGTCAAGCAGCCGGCAGCGACGAAGAACAACAGTGCAGCATTCGTCCAATGACCAGTAGGGTAGCCTCGCGTCTTCTCATTGGCTTTGTAGATCCACACACCTACAATTTGACCAGGGGCACCGAAAGAGATGTTCATCGCGATTGCTAAGCCCACCGAGGCAGTCGAATGCAAGTTACTGCTCAACCACCCGAGAAGTGGTGGGATGCAAGCAAAGGAACCCGAGGCTGCAACGATGAGGCAGCCGTATCGCTCTTTGTATGCTGTCGGTGGGAGAAGAGCCGAAGCCATGAACCCAGCCGCACCAATGGTACTGAATACTGTAGAGTGAAGAGAGCGGGCATTGAAATGATCAGCAGACCAGGCTGTCGCGAGTGTCACGACGTAAGCAACTGCGTATGGTGGCACAGTCATCAGTTGTGCTCGCAGCGAAGTGTATCCCAGGCCGGCGGTAATAGTAGGCGTGAACAACGACAGGGACGAAAAGGGTGCCGAGATTCCCACGTAAATCGCATAGTGACCGTAAAGTCGCCAGTCAGTCAATGTTGCCTTTGCTGTCTCCCAGTCCAGAGGCTTGGCGTTGCCCTTTGAGCCTTCTGTCGCCAGTCGACGCACGGCCAGCGCTTTTTCCTCAGCACTCAGCCATGAGGCTTCTTCTGGGTAGTCGGGAAGGAGGAACCACACGGCCACAGCTGAGAGCATGCTTGGAAGTCCCTCCAATAAAAACAACCATCTCCACGCGCTCATGCCAGAGGCCCCGTTCATATGTCCGACCCCAAATGCAATGGCTCCACCAAACGCACCGGCCAATGTTGCGCTCGCTAGGATGATGGCAACTCGGAGACTTCGTTCCTCGCTGCGATACCTGTGGACAAGGTTAGTCATGTGGCCAATCATTCGATGCTGGGATTTCCCTGTATTACTTACCAGAACGTCAAGTAATATACCAATCCTGGGAACAAGCCGGCTTCAAACACACCAAGCAAGAAGCGAACTACCGTCACGGAAGCATAGTTATGGGTTCCACCTAGTCCCATCGTGCAGGCACCCCATGAAACCATAAGGAAGGCAATCCAACGGCTAGGCTTGAACTTCTTGAGGAAGTAGTTCGAGGGGACTTCGAAGACGGCATAGGCAATCAAAAACACCATCAATGCGATGATGTACTCATAATTCGTCATCTTTGTGTCGGAGAGGAGATCATCCTTGGTTTCCGAGTTGAGGGTCTTCGCATTGCCGATGTTGGAGCGGTCGAGATAGCATAACAGGTAGATGGCGGCAGACAGAGGAATTATCCTCAAGTCCTGTTTCAGTACCAGTGCGGAGTTTTCTGCTGCCGGTATGTCGTCCGTGGTATCGTGTTCAACGGGAGCATTTTTTTCTGATGATCGTTTCTCGATGTCGTCGCCATGGACGGACATCTGGTCACGTTGCTTGAGATCGGCAGACATATTGACGATTTCAGTGAAGTCCGAGCTTTCTGGGGAAGTCTTAACGGAGAAAAGACTCCAGGATTGTGGGCATTGGGTCACTTTTGTAGTTTGTGGGATTTTTTGTTGACAGACAATCTGGGTTCCACTTCATATCGAAAATGGTGGATATTTTCTCCATGTCGGTAGTGATTGTAGGGGACCTGCTCGATGGTCACTCGTCTCGGTGATTGAAGTACACCGGGCAGCGAGTCGCTTCCCTGTGAGTAAGTTATGGCGTGGGTTGTTACATTGAAAAAATGTGAAGTATCGTTGCCGATAATCCCGGTTGGACGAATAGTGAAGCTTCGGGGGGCGGAGCCGTAGACCGAAAATCTGTTGGCCTCCCACTAAGTGGAGATCTCCGGCTATTGAGTCCGATAAGATCTCAGGGTTGCTCGCTTATGGCATCGTTGAAGGAAAATAAGGGCCAAGAAACATACCCCTACTAACAAAAGGGGGACGGAGCCTCGTAGAAATTTCCATCAACATGATTTCGGCAATTGATTATGAGCATCGACGTTGAAATCTGTTGCAAGAGCTCAACCAAGGGGAAGGCAATATGCATGTTGCCTAGGCTGTTTCCGAGTACCAGATCAGAAGGCGCCGACTTTGAGATTATCTGAAGGTGGATGAACGTGGTACATTCCAATGTACACGAACATGGCAGATGCAGCCCCCGGTAATTCCGATTGTCTCTGGAGGCCCCAGTACAGATGGTTCTTCTCCGCGTTCCAAGGATCAACTTTGTGGAGTTCGGGCTTATCGTACGGCGGTTTGCAGCAATCTTAATGCGCGGATTGCCCTGGATTCCCCACGAAAACCACTGAAGAGATGGGATCTGCCTTCGAAACGCGTAAGTTCAACCTGGCACTGAATACGGAGCCCGGGAACGCGCCCGAAGCGCACTTTCGGGAAGGAGCCCGAAGATCACTCACCCCTGTTAATTGACGAGTTCAGAACCTCGGCGCATATCAAGCAACGCTCAGCTTTGTCAACTTGGTCTTTCTGTTGGCATACTTTCTTAAATGGTCTCCTGTCCTGCACAACTTAACAAGAACAGACCTAAGGACATGGGTTTGTTAATCCGGGGCAACACTGGTAATATGCACCGGCCAAAGCTACTGAAAGGCCAACCAAACCCGACGCTTGACTCCCCGGATCAAAGAGAAGAGAGGTCTCCTTGTTGTTGGCATTACTTGAAATGTTATGCTTTGTTAATTGACAGACAGTTTCCCTGGTACATGAAGACCGGCATTTTCTCTGACATAGGTAAATGGGCTGAACATTTTGTGAGAGTGGACGCCCATGAGGTCAGATAGAGATTAACTCGACGTCGATGTTGTAGATGAGGGTAGGGGACTTTTTAGATTCTCTCATGCATATGATATGAGGTGGTCAAGTCCACAAGCGTTCATAGTTCCCAGCTTACCTTGTCGGGCCATCATAAAAATGGAGATGTTGACACAGGAGGTGGCTGCAGGATATTCAGTTGGTTAAGCAGACTCAGTGCGGTCAATCAACAAACCTATGACCATACTGAATGTTAACAACGCACAGTTACCCCGTTGACCTTGAAAGGATGACCAGCCAGTAGCATACACCGATTCAATTGCGACCACGACATCCACCAAACAATGAAGACATTCGCTGCAATGGTTGCCTCAGTGCTGCGACCAATGTCATGAAGTTTGATGAATAGAATCCATATCATTTATGATGTAGATCATGAATATGTGACATGCCATTCAAGGTGTGCTAGATTGGTTGTGTGATGGCATTACTGAGATCGAGGATACTTGGTGCACGTTCGAACCAAGGTGGACCGAGCTCAGTGCACGAAGACGTCATCGCCATTGATCGACCATTTACCACAACGAATTGTCATAGTTCTGTTCCTCCCGAGGTCCAACCGCTTCTGGGCTCCAACCAGTATTGACGTTATTCTTCTGAGAAGAGAAGCTCAGACTACGCATACACAAGCCATGGAGCGCCATGAAGGACTCAAAATCAAAACAGGCTCCAAGCAAAACCTCCAAGCGAAGGCGAATTGCGTCTGCGCCCCCGTTGCCAGTTAAGGATTACCCCAGGGCACATGTGGGAGATCGTCGGAGCGGCACATGCCACCCGATGAGGCAAGTGACTAATCCCAAGGTCAAGTAGCCGGTCAAAACATAGTACGACATTGGGGTCTTAGCCTCGCCCCCAAATCTTTTGCCGTCGGGGATCCTTGATGTACTTGGTATAGCAGACCCAAGTCACTAACTAGGTGCGGTAGCCTTTACATACTACCTATCATCTCGTTTTAAAATGGGTAAGTAAAAGATCTTCCCAGGCATCGATAGCAATGCATCCTCTGAGCGGAGGAAACATCTATTTCAAGCCTAGTGGTGTAAACCGATCTCTTTCATGGTTCTCATGATCTTGGAAGCTGAACCAAAGGCGGAATGTTTCTGCCTATCCACTACCGAATTCATCGCCATAGCCACCGATCATACCATTGACAACAGGAGGTTCTTGCACTATAGGAAGGAACTTTGCTATTTAGAGCCCCTCCTGGTCGGCTGAGACCGAATACGCAGAGATCATACTACTTTCGACGTCATTGTGTCCCAATGCCATTCAGCATGGCTATTGAACTAATTTTAAAATTCCTGGCACAGTGTTCGGTCGCGAATACATATAAGGCACAACCCACACCTTTGCGTTCTGGATAGCATTAGCTTTGAAATCAAATCCTCACTCAAGCTCCTTGCAATGCAGTTCTCGAAGCATACATTACCCCTTCTTTGCCTTTATGGCACGGTTGCACTTGCCGACTTTCTGACAGGAACCTACCCAGCTCCTCTGGATCTGAGCAGTAACAAAAGTATTGTGACTCAAAGTTGGAAGAATCTTACTACGGCGCTTGACGGATATCTCAAGCAGAATGAGACTGCCGGTCTCGAATCTCTTTCAGGAGTTGAGAATCTCACTTTCTCTCTTGGCGTGTTTTCCCTACACGATCCTGCTGCGACAAAACTACAATACCACTATGCATCTCCAGAGACCGTCAATGCTGTCAATGGCACCAACGAGGTCGACGCAGATAGTATTTATCGAATGGCGAGTGTGACAAAACTCATCACGGTTTTTGCTGGGATGCTAGAGCTGACCGAAGCACAATGGAATACGCCACTGAGCGATGTTTTCCCAATTCTGGGCCAATACGCCCAAGAACACGCTGGAGAAACGGATCCTCTTGCAACAACTCAATGGGAAAGTGTCACTGCATGGTCTCTTGCCAATCAACAGTCTGGAATCGCAGGTGGAGGTATCGCTGGCCTTGACAACCTCCTAACCCTCATTGCGGCGGGAAAACCAGAGGCTCTGGTTGATGCTTACAGCTTCTTCCCTGTGAACATCGCTGAACTAGGTCCATGTTGGACAGGGACAGATCCTTCTGCCTGCACTACCGATGCCATCATCAAGGATGCGAGCTCTTTGTCACCCAACTTCTTACCATGGACCAGTCCAAGCTACAACAATGCTGGATTTGTCATGCTCGGTTTGGCGATTTCTGCTCTAGCAGGGAAACCCATAGATGATATCTACAGCAATTTAATTTTCACGCCTCTTGGGATGAATTCATCGCGATCAAGTAACATTTTACCGACCAGCAAAGAAGAAATCGACCGTTCCGTCGTGGTTGGTGATCCAACGCAATGGTTCACTGCTGGAGGGCCAACTACACCGTCCGGTGGTCTCCTGAGTACCATAAACGACTTGTCAAAGTTTGGCATCAATCTCCTCAATTCGACCCTCTTACCCAAGACGTCAACTCACAAATGGATAAAGCCTTCTTCATTTACCTCAAGTTTGAACTACGCAGTCGGTGCACCATGGGAGATATATCGTTACATCCATCCGTCGACTGGAAAGATCACCGATCTCTACACCAAGCTCGGTGATTCTGGACCATACGGTGGTATACTAGTACTGATCCCCGAGTACGACGCCGGCTTCTCCCTTCTTGATGGTGCGACGAATGCGACACTACGAAGTAGTTCAGCACTCAAAGTCCTAGACAGCGTGGCGGAAGTGTTGATTCCCGCACTAGAAGCACAAGCCGCCGCCGAAGCAGTCCTCAACTTCGTCGGCACCTACGTCTCGACTGATCCCAAGATCAACTCCTCACTGACCGTCTCCTTCAACGAATCGACCGTCCCAGGCAGCGTATCAGGCCTTAGCCTGTCAGGCTGGATCTCAAATGGCACTGACCCGACGGAGATCTTCGTCGGTGTGGTCCCGAGACTTCTCCCCACAATCTCCAACCGATCGGACGGGCCAGGCCAGGTGACGCTGAGAGCTTCAACAAGCCCACAGCTAAGTACTTACGCCGCCGCAAGTGACCTGGGTATCGGGATCTTCACAGGTTTTGTCGAGACAAACGGCGATTGGCTGAACACAGATTCGTTTAGCCAGTACTACGATGGAGTTGCTATCAACCGGTTTGTCTTCGATGTGGATGCGGATGGGAAAGCTGTGGCGGTGACGCCATCTGCGACGAAAATCAAGCTGGAGAGAACAGCTGAGAAGTGAGACTGGAAGCATTCCAGTTGGGCAGAGGCACTCGGTGGCTGGTCTAATAGGAGAAATGGCCACCACAACCGCATAGTCTCGCACCAGGACACGAAGGTCACAACTTAATAATTTAAGAATGAATACCTTGCAATTATCGACTTGGAGCCTCTGGTAGCCATCTGTGATATAGCCTGATAGACCAGATGTGCCTTCAGTTTGCCGTAGAATCGAAGCAGTCGTCATTCCAGAGTTATAAACCCGCAAGTGGTAATCACATTCACTCACAAACATGCAATGCTATACTACTTCGATTATCCATAGATGGACACACTGCTATCCAGTATGTAACACCAAACCCACCAGTCTACAACAATGAACCAGTATTTCCGAAGGAAGAGGTATCGGATCCCGAGACGCCCGCAAATCCAAAACACGAATCGGCGCCTCCGAAGCGTCGCGTTTGACATTGCTGGATAAATAACATCCCAAAAGAGGTGGACTTGGCATCCCGGGTAGGCAATGCTTCTGGGGGTCAGCCCACTCATTTTCCTTCAAGGGGGAAATGGAAGTATATCTGGCTCTCGAGTGGCTTCTGCAAGCAAGATGTAGAATTCGATGAATGGAAAGGGAACTGAGGTTGCTGGGAGGAAATCTGATGGGTAACAGGGATGTTGCTACGCCTTGAAAACTGAGGTCATTGGTGGAAGCGAACTAAGAACATTGCCATCGCCTAAGGAAGGCTCCTGGATACGGAAAAGGCTTGTTTATAGCTACGTCTAATGATATCAATTCTCCTGTGAATATCTGAACGGGAGAGCCAGAACGGCAGTTTGGGTCCACCAAGAGTGCTAACATCACCACTCAACCAGATTTCTTCTGAGCCTTCTTGGCCATAATCTTCTTGAAAGGATTCGTTCCCTTGAACCTCAGGTATGTTGCAAAGTACACCACCGCATAATTGAAGATGATGAAGGCGCAGAAGATACCAAAGTCCCGCCAGATGTTCGAATAGTATACACTGAATCCACGGGCGAATTGATCACCATTTGCAAATTGGCAGAACTCGCAGAGTCCGTCTGATGCGGTTTGAACATATCCTCCTGCTTCGTCGATGAATGGTTGGACGTAAGACTGGCAGGTCTGGCCAGGTGGTGCCGGAAACCGTGCGAATTCCTGCTCGTTACATTGGACAGGTTCGGCATGGACAATAGCGCCAAGCATAGCCTCCAGAATATATGTGAAGGGTGACAATTTGTACATCCAACTGGACCAGAAATATGGAAGCTGCATTGGTGGAACGACCACACCACAGAAGGAGACCACGAAGAGGAAGAAGAGCGGCACTAGCAAACTTGCGAGAAGCTCATTTGGTGCGAATGCGGCGATGGCTTGTCCGAAGCTGACGTAGTAAAGTTCGAATAAGAGAATGCAGAGCAAGACAAACCCAGATGTGAAGGATGAGGTCGAACTGCGATAGCCAATAATACCGAACCAGAAGCAACAGTAGTAAACCGTGCCTGCCATCAGCGAATATGGTATTTCGACCAGGACCGCACCAGTCGTCCATGCAAACCATGAGTATATCTTCGCATTATTTTCTCTGGACTGGAAGACATTTCGACTGTTGAGAAAGACTGGCTGAAGCTGTTGTATGAGTGGTGGTGAAATAGTGAGTGTCATGAAGACGGCGAATAGGCGAGATTGAAAGTCGATGCGAGCAAAACCTAGATGATAGAATGTGAAAGTAGTGAAGAGACCGGTCATGATGTGGAGAATAAATTTGCCGACGATGTAATTTGGCGTACGCTGGTGATGAGGGAATTAGCAGGCCTCCCGTGAAATAATTGGAAGAACTTACCCAGTATGACACGAAAGCTCTTTTGACCACCGCCATTGTTTGGACACCTAGAGGCATGGCGTATTCCCTGTCATCCTTAAGATTCTTGCTCATTTCAACATTCTTCCTTCTCTCTATCATGTCTGCGATCTCATCCGTTCTCTTTTGGTGGTTTTCTGACTGCGACCATATATCACCCCAGTCTTTTCCCTTGTAGTTCGGATCACCAGCGCCAATTGCCTCGAGCATGTATTCTGCTGGATTAGCTTCCGGTGGGCATCTTGAAGCCCCATTGTTCTGGAAGTACTGGATCAACTCTTGTGAATCGTGGCCCAATGGTCCGTGGTAGACGACTCTGCCGCCAGACTTCAACAGCAGAAGTTCGTCGAAGTGTTCAAAAAGTACAGCTGAAGGCTGATGAATCGTGCACAAGATAGCTTGGCCGGCATCGGCCAATTTTCTCAAGAATCGGACGATGTTGAACGCAGCTGCTGAATCAAGGCCAGATGTCGGTTCATCTAGAAACATCAATAATTCAGGCTTACTTGCAAGCTCGACTCCGATTGTTAAGCGTTTTCTCTGTTCCTGATTCAAACCTTCACCAATAGTGCCAATGGTTGCACCGGCAATATCGTTCATCTCAAGAAGGTCAAGGATCGTTTGGCAGTATGCATACTTCTCCTCAACGGGCACTTCCTTGGGCTGTCTTAGCAGTGCTGAAAATTGCAAGGCCTCCCGCACTGTAGCTGTTGCCTCGTGGACATCCATCTGCTCTGCGAAACCAGTTGCTCTTTGGAAGGATTTGGGTAGAGGGCGGCCGTCAACTAGAAACTCGCCCGTGACCGTGCCGAAGTTGAGACGCTGAGCAAGGGCATTGAGTAAAGTGGTCTTGCCAGCACCACTGGCACCCATGAGAGCGGTAAGTTTCCCGGGTCGGACATAACCTTGGACATCTGCTAGCAATTTTCGCTCACCCTTCTCAACTGGAATGGTGTAATTGATACCTCGGAACGTGTAGACCGTTTCGTTTTGGGCAACCTGATCTGTGACGTCGCCTTTGCCGGACTCAGATGATTCGTGAGAAATTTTTTCCCGTCCACCCGAAGTTCCCTGAGGTTGCTTGCCAGTCTCCTCGTCATCCTTGAAACCCTTTTCACGGCCACCGGTTGCGATGGATTCCTCCACTCTTTTCGGAACCTGACCACGTTTAAAGACTGTCATCGCTGCGCCACCAGCATTCGGCTTCATCATTTCCATTCCGAAGCAGGTCAATGCAAGGAAGAAAAGAAAGAAGGCCCAGAGAAAGCCAAAATTGCGCCACAAATGAGATCTAGAATAGGTGAACGATTGTAAGATGTAACGAGCGCCGTCAACATCTGTCACTCCGGGCAGACTTCCCGCAAGCGCACATGATTGGTACTGTGGAGATGCATCTCTTGTTTGGGGTACTAAGTTCAAGCCATCACATTCCATGATCAACCCAGTGAATTCGTTCGCCATCAGGCATTCGAAGCCGTATTGGATCCAATTGATCCAGCGTAGCCAGCTAAACCATGGTTTCATTTGGGCGGGTGGAATGAGATATCCCGTGTAGACAATCAAGATCTGTATGGCGATACCAGTGAATTTTGTAGCATCGTCAAGCGTCTTGCATAATGCAGATATGCTCCTGAAGAAGGCATAAGTGACCATTGTGACCAACCAGAGAATCATGCAGCTGATGAAGAATTGCGAGGCAGATGCTGCCAATCCACCCATCCAGTAGATTATCACATTGAAGAGAATGACCTGGATGAAGACGAGAGGGACATCGACCACAGTTTGAGCGAGGGCGAAAGCCGCGGGACGGTGAAACGAGAATGACTTGTGCTTGAGTAGGATGGGTTTCGACTGAAATGCCGCCGTCATCTCAGCAAGGGCCAACAGAGCATTGAAAAGTAAAACGAAAAATATCGCACCACCCCTGGGAAAAGCTCCAGATGCTGTTTTTGGCATTTGAAAGAATAAGCTTCCAACAATGAGGCCCTACATCAGTCAGCGGTAAGTCTTACGCCTGGATTTCATGTAACCTACCTGGAAAACGATGCCACCCCATTTACCAATAAGTGACGCTTTATCCCCCAACATGATGAAGAATTGCCGTTGAGTGCAAGCAATAACCTGCTGGTGGAAGGGGATGGTGTAATTCTTCTTCTTGTTCTTCTTAGACCGATTTTCGAGACGAGCACGACGCTGATCTTCAAGATGAGCTTCGAAATCTGTGATATCTTCCAGATTCATTTTATAAGCATCGCTTTTGCGGTAGAACGCATCAAAGTCTGCCGCGCTTCGTGGGATACGGTTTTCCCAGCCTTTTCGGACGGATCGCTCATGTGTGTCACTGACAGAAGTGAGGAAATCCGCTGTAGTCCAACGCTCCGGACAATCAAATCCCAAGTCAAGGAAATATTGCTTTGCGTTATCTGCTGGGCCGAAGTAGAGGCATTTCCCTTCATCGATCAGTAGTACCTTGTCTACTAAGCGGTAAAGGTTTTCGCCTGCCTGGTAGAGGGATACTGATCATTATGTCAGGATGCAATAGTTATATTGGGATAGATGAAACTCAGGACTTACCTGCTGTAGAAGTATCTGCCATATTTGTAAGTGTACGAATTGACTGCACATATTCAAGTGCTGTACTGGCATCCAGACCCCGACTTGAGTTATCCCAACCTTGGACGGAAGCTCTTGTGATCATGGCTTGGTATGTTAGTCTCGAGCAATTGGTTTCTGGCAGAAATGCTTACCTTCTGCAATGCTTACACGTTTCTTCTCTCCACCAGAGACTCCTCGCACGAACTCATTCCCGACTTTCGTGCCCAAAGTATGTTCAATCCAGAAAAGCTTGGTCACAACACGCATGAACTCAGACATGTAATCTTCTCGGCTTTCTCCTTCAAGCCTAGATTCTTTCCCAGGAGTTCGCGTCTGAAGTGCAAACTTGAGTGTTTTTTGCACAGTCAAGGTCGCATAATGAAGATCGTCTTCAGGATTGTAGATCACTTCTCCACGGAAGTCTTTCTTCATCCTGGACGCATCAGTGCCGCCATAGGTCACATCACCTTCGACTGCCTCATAGCCATCTCTCTGGTTGCAAAATGCTTTCAAAAATGTTGAGCAACCTGAACCAGGTCTTCCTAAAACTAGAAGCATCTCTCCTGGCCGGACGCAGCCATCAAAATTGCTTAGAAGTTCTCTGATCGGAGGTTTCCCAGATGCAGCCTTTGCGCCGCGGGTGAGAAATGTCTTAATAGTTCGCGGGAGACCAAGAAAGATATCGCCAACCGTAGGCTGTAGACTAGCACCCAGGCCTGCTCCCTTGACTGTCAGATTACGGAAGACAACACCACTATGCCGTGTTTTTTCTTCTTCGCTATGTTCCTGGCGTGCCTTCCCGAACATTCGCGACATCAATTTTTCGATTTCTTGATGCTCTTCCTGGAGGTCGGCCTCAGACTTACCTGAGGCGCTTTGTCGGCGTTGTGAAAGGACTTTGAAGAGATCGTCTTCTGATCGAATGCTTTTGCGCTGTTGGAGACCAGGCCGCTTTTCCTCGGCCGTTGGAGCAGCTTTGAGAGGTGTGTATCTGGAGTCTGTTCTGTTCATGGGGACTTCGGTGAATGATTCTGACTGGGAGCTGCTTGATGACTGAGCAGTCTTCTCGTGTCTCCCAGTTGGCGTCTCAGGACCATCGGGTGGGGGACCGGCATTAGACGACCCACCGGACACCAAGGTTACTTCTGAAGCTGGTAGGCCATGTTGCTCAGGTGTATCTGTCGTCACTGCATTAAAATATGACTGCTGGCTGGAAGTTAGCTGGGTGGGAGTTCGACGGTTCTGATCGCTTCGAACATCATCAATGGGGCGGCTTTCGAAAACAGCAGCTGGTGTTGAGCGGTTCTCCTTACGTACAGATGGCGTGACTGGAAAGCCTCCAGGGACATCGGTGTCTGCTGGAGTGGGCCGTTCGTCCATTGTCGTAAAGCTCGATATCGATGTTGTGCTAAAAACCGATGTATTGATGTATCACAATAAGTGAAATCAGCAAGTAAGATTACAACATTAGGATAATTGCAAAGCCAGTATGGCTCCTCTGTAATCGAAAGTCGGATGCTACACAAGGATAATAGCAACTATGTCGCAACGAATACAGATTTCGTCTAGAAGAAGGGAGAATATTGAATGCTTGATCGGAAGGTGTAGCCCTCAGCCGTCAGGCGGCAGCCATGACCATGAAAGCGCCCACTGAGGAGCCCACTGACTGTGAGCCGGTAGAAGAGTCCGCATTATGACAGGCTCAATCACGAAATCCATTCGAATTGGAGAGTCCATGGAGTGATTGATGCGACACGGGTGGTAGTGATGATGTTGTTGAGAGTCCCAGTCAATTTAAGCATTGTCGATGACGACAGGAGGCGCGTTCGGATCTTGAATGACCCGCTTCCGACTTCAAGTAGCCTAACATTCGATAGTTTATGAGATTGAAGTTTCAGGGCTTCGTCGAGGTTTATTATTATTCCAAAAAATTGAGTTGTTCTGCTCGACAACATAAACGAAATCTGCATCGAGTTCACGAGTACTCAAGCTACTACAAACTTGAGTTGACTATTTGCTTGTGAAGGATAATCCACGTCAACGTCTCGAGCCTCTTCTTCGAAGATTTCAAGGCGTCCATGATTTCCTCAACAATTCAGTGTCAGTTTTTGAGCCATCAATCTGATCATCGGCCTATCCCATAAGGCGTTCCCAGGCCGCCGACCACAGTCGACACTTTGATCAGTAGAAGTATGCACAGCATCATTTGTGGCGTTTGGCCATGCTGTGTATTAATTAATACAATTGCTGCCAGGTATCAATCCGTCAGTGCGGTTTCGATGTGGCAGCACCGCTTCTCTATGGCAAAACCTGGTGTCGAGGGAAGCATCGATGATCAAGAGAATTCCCAATGGTGCTTATCGAGTGCTTGTCCCTTGTGATTTGCCCCTGGGGAGCGAGTCGCCATCTTCATCCTCAGCCGTGATGTTCTTCCACTTGTGTGCATGGTGTTGGGATTCACAGTCCCTGGCTTGCCGAACCCTCTTCGTATGGCTTGATTTGGATCTTCCGAGACCGTTGGTCTCGCAGTGTGAATTGGAGCAGGTGCAAGTATACCTAGTCGGCTTTCTTGTTCGCCAGTCGCGTGCAATTGTACCCATTTACCACCTCAAGTGATTGCTAGATATTTTCCCATCAAGGAAATATATTCATATAACTTGAAACCATTTTAGCCTCAAGTTTTGGCCTTTGCTGTAGGTTTTTTCGCAAAGAAATCGCTCATCTTCTTCATGCCCGAGACGTTAACCTTTTTGAGGTCTCTGACTCCACGGGACTCTCCGGCTTTCTTCTTCTGTGCTGCTTCATCCTGCTTTCTCTTCTTTTCTTCTCTCAACTCTGCTGCCTCATCGTCCTCGAGTCCTCTCTTTCTGTTGAAGTCGCTAAGTGACCTCGATGCGGCTGCATCGGCCTTCATTTCGGCAATTGTTTTGAGGTGCTCCTTGAGAGGTTTAAAATTCAAGGGGGAATCTGCAGCGGAAAAACGAGCTTGCAGGCGGTCAGCGACCGATAATGGTACATATGAGGTTAGGATGAATTCAAGCACAATACTTTGCTGTTGGAGTCCATGAACCTTGCTGGGCACGGTTTCGGGGGTTATCGTGGTCATCGAGCTGCTCGCAGAAACCTCTGAGAAGACCAGTGAGGGTGCTGAGCTGGCAGCAGATGATTGTGACTCCAAATTTTCGGAGGGTGTGTCACAATCGTCTTGTGATGGGCTGTCTAGGTTTGTAGAAAATGAGCTGTTCTCTCGCTGGATGCTGAGCACTGGCATTTCCAGTTTTCTCTTCACAAACTTGTCGTCAAGACTCGCGGGTAGTCCGGCCCGAATTACAGCATCGACCTTCTGCATGACTAACCGTAGCGTTTTCTCCTCACTCGGTCTGTATAACTGCTCGTCACCACCCTCAATCTGATCACAGAACTTTGAAATTGCGTCGTCAAAGAAGCTTCGACCATGACTGTATAGATATCTCAAATGCTTGTCTTCCTGGATGTGATCTTCAAGAATATCGTCCAGCGGTTGGAAGAGTGGCTTGGAGGCTTTGATTGTTGCCGGCAGTATCAGAGCGATCAGGAGAAATGCGAGGTCGAATGGTGTCGCAACAAAGAGCTCAGGACTTTTGCTGATGTAGCCTCCGCTAATTGTTCCTCCTTCCTTTTGTAGGTCCATATTCGGCTGTATGTCTGTTGAGGCATCCTGCGCAGGCCTTGAAAAAAGAAAGCTGCGAGGGTCATCGGTAGGGGTGCTGACCTTCGTGAGTTGAAACAGGCCTTGTCCTGGGCAAAACAGGAAACGCTGTGTTTTAGAGGACCGTGGATGTTTTAGGAGGAGAAAGCGAGCGCTATTTGATAGACCTTTTGGTAAAATGAAATGCTTGAGTGGTTCTCTCTGTTGTTGAATGCGGTGGTGAGATGGTGGTGGCACAGCCTTTTTCACCGGACTTGTTGAGCTTGATCGAGTCGAGGGTGCCATTCTGATGATCGAATATGCTACAGTATCTCTGTCAAGCTCGATTCATAAATCCTCTCGAATATGTCCTCGAGTCAAGAATGGAGTTGAAACCAGAGTTGCGGGAGACGCGTCGGGACGCGTTGACAAATTATCCGACGCGTCAAAAAGTCAAACACGCGTTTATGAGACGATTTCAAGCCAGGAAACCCACCACTTCATTGGCGATTCACTAGCATGCCATCCACTACGGCTTACAACCCCAGTAGCCTCACACCATATCCCGTATAGCACTGCACCTTGATGAATTTCTCAACAATAAAGCGCAGGCGCTGTTCCACTCGGGCGCCCACCAGGAGGTGCAACAACGCCTACTTCATCCTCATAAACGACACCAAAGACTATGTCTCATGAGGCATCATGGCCACCGCACTCTCCTCACGCCGCCCTCCTCAGTTCGCCTAGTGGTCGCAAGAAATATGAAGCGATGCAGATATCACCAGTGAAACGATCGGCAACAACACCCAGCTTACTCGACCGACTCCGCGCAGCACGCAATGACAGGAATACCATGGAGGTCGATACCGATGACGACGGCGATGAAGATGATGAAGAAATACTTCAGCTAAAACTAGCCGCAATCGAGGCGAAGCTGAAGTTGAAGAAGCTGCAACAGAACAAATCACGAGCGGCGACACCGGCCAGGCCATCCTCACGCCCGGGTTCCTCACACGGTACTATTTCATCAAATGTAAATGCGAGCGCAAGGTACAGCCAATCCCAAGATGACCAAGATTCGATCGAGGTTGCCATGTCTCCTGTAAGGCGTTTGCAACCAGAACCACAACCAAAATCTCCTTCTCGAGTTTTGCTCGGAATTGACAAGGGGATACGGGCGGCAGATGTTTCGTTGAGGCGGGCAAATACTACCGGGGGCACCTCTCAGAGGTCCAGGAGCGCTCTATCAAGCAATGACAGACCAACTTCACGCTCATCGGCTTACAACTCAGCAAGATCTGCAACATCGACGAGGCTAGTGGGGGAGTCCGAAACGAGAAAGCCATTTGGCGAACGCATATCCGACGCGCGGAAGGCGGACAATGATATATCATCCCGGCGGGAGGCTAATTCTCGGAATCGCAGCAAGGGTTTCATCGTCGATCACGCTGAGATTGAGACCTATCGATCCTCCACCGAGCAATCAGCTGCCACCGCTGACCAAAGGTCTACAACACGGACTGGTCACTATGTTGAGTATTCTAGAGAGGATGTCCTGAACGCCGTTGGCCAGGCCGACTCAGGGGGCAGACCTCTCAAGAAGAGCCGTACCATGCCCAATCTTCGAGAGTCACCATCCAGACCAACGTCCAGAGACAAGGATGATCCAAATGGACCCCAAGGAGATTCTTCACTTTACGAAGGCTTCTCACAACTGCATCTATCGTCTCGAATTCTGCCACATTCTTTTCTGAAACGTACACTGCCCACGGATCGATACAAAATATACCGAATACCTGACCTATTGCGAGAAGTCACTGCGCCAGGCTTCGAATTACCAGAAGAAGTATGTGACTATGTGATTTTTGGTGTCATTGCCTCGAAATCCGGTGCGATGGACCACAGACAGCCTGCCCCTGACGATAAAACAGCTAGCTCCAAAGATTGGGAACGCAAGTGGGAAGATGGGTCGCAGAATCATCGTAGATTCATGGCCTTCACATTGACTGATCTCACTTGGTCGATCGACCTCTTTCTGTTCGGGACAGCTCTACCTCGCTACCATCGCCTCACTCCCGGGACGGTCGTTGCAATATTAAACCCGGGGATCATGCCTCCCAAGCGAGGCAAAGAGGATACCGGCGCATTCAGTCTCTCCCTAAGTATGGGCGAAGACACTGTACTCGAAATCGGCACAGCACGAGATCTAGGCCGCTGCAAGTCCCTCAAGAAAGACGGCAGAGAATGCGGCAGCTGGGTCGACGCGTCCAAGACCACCATCTGCGAATGGCACTTGAACGCCGAGCTGGCAAAAACTCAAGCAGGTCGCATGGGAGTCAACACAGGCTCTAATGGCTTCGGAGCGAACGGTCTTGGGGGCAACGGACGAAATTACTTCGGTAACGTAGCGGGTGGTCGAGGAAGAGGAAAGAATGGCCTCAAACAAGAAGGTCAGCAGTATGACCGCGAAACCCAGAGCCGTTTCTACATCTCCAAGTCGAACGTTACCGGCTCGGTGCCCAAGCACGACGACTCACGCTTCACAGGCTCAAATCCCTTCGGCGGCCATGGTCAACTCGACCGCAATAAAGATGAGCGGATCCGTAATCATTTTGCGCGACTGGAGCAGGAGCGTGAGATCTCGAAGAAACTCAGCAGCGCCGCAGAGTTAGGCTTTGGCGGTGCTGGCGCTGAATATCTACGGCAAAAGGCTCTGACTCCCCTCCCGCAGGAACCAAAAAAGGACCGGGCCAGTAAGAGGAAGAACAAACATGGACCGGTCTCCATGTCTGAGGCCCCCCCAGAACACGATAAAGCACAGCTGTCGACTCACCGGAGTGCGCTCTCAAGCCGCTCGAATTTCATCTTTGCGGCAGACTCGAATGAGAATGGGAAGCGGAGGGCTGAGAACGTGCGTCTTTCGCCGGTCAAGAAGACGAGATTCGTCACGGAAAAGGGCATTCGCGAGGCCGGGAGGGATAGTCTCGGTGGCGCTGTTTCTAAAGCTGGAATGAATGCTGGTGGAGATAGTGACGACGATGATGAATTGGAGATTGTTTAAATGCTCACATTGGAAGTGTCATATATTGTGGCTTTGGAGTTCAGCGATTTGGATGGAATGAGCGGGATGGGTAGAATGGGCTAGGATATGAGAAGGCAAACATTGAATGCTTTATTCGGTATGAAAAATTGGGAGCCTCCTCTCTGTGTTCGCCAGGGATCACAGGCGCCTCGTTCTTAGCTTATAAGGGTATGAAATCATGAACAGCATGTGGTAATGAAAGACATATGAAATCGACCCCGCAAGTTGCTTTATGGTTCGCTTATGGTATCAATTGTCCCGTTTCTAGTCACAGGCCGCAAAGGTCATTTCGGAGCCAGGAGTTCATTCTTCATGATTCAATTCACTACCCAACTATCGCCACTGGCAATAGGGTCACATTGCAGTCTGATCCTATTCAGCTCATAATAATCCAACAGAATTTTCAACGGCGGGTCCAGCCTTGGCCAATTTCTTCTCAGCCGTTCTTGGGGTCGTCACATAACAATTACATGCAACCTGTGAAATAGGTATCCATATCCTCAATTCTCATTTGCTGCGGTGGCCTTAGGAAGAACATCTGCCACGAAGAAATGTTAGTGCGAGGCAGTACAACCCATTGAAGGGTCAAATGACGTGACTCACACACCAGCATCTTTGAATGTCCGAAGACGCTCCATTGTCTTCATGGTTTGCTCGAGAACCTTGAGCTTTTTGGTCAGGTCTTCACGCTCGGCGATCGACTCATCGGACTCGGCAGCAATGCGGTTGATGGCGGCGTCATCAAGCATGGAAACTTGCATTGGGGTGAAGATGTCTCCGATCTTGGCCATCAGACATGCCTCTACGGCATACATTCCGAATGTGTCGATCACAGACTTCAAGGCGACCTGTAGCGGGTTAGCACAGCTCCGGGGAGAAGTGTGGGTGTGGGCAATCTATCTCGAGGGCGTTTTTTAAACGCAGGGTCGCACACACCTTGTAATACACCAACATCGCATTCATAGCATCAATCGCAGCGAAGCGGTCCATGTCAGCGTCTGTTTCAAAGGTGAGAGATTTCAGTAGCTCCCCAACATCAAATGAATTATCCTTTCCGCCAGTCCATTTACGGTCTTGTTCCTTCTCAGCCTCAGGGTTGATGAAGAAGAACGATTCGAGTCTGTCAGCCATAATCTTCTGTGTTTCCGCCTGTCGTAGTCTTTGTAAACTGTCCGTGAAGTAGTGATTGAAAGTCAATAAACGGCGTTGATGGTGAGGTTGCAGGATTTCTTGAGCCTTATTTTCTAGAGCCGTCTTTATGAGGTCAAAGTTGGGCCGGACAAGCAAGCTCATGATCCCATCGATTGTCGTTGCGTCAGTGGCCTCTTCAAGAACATACTTGATTGCGGTCTCTGCAGCTTGAACGACACGTTCCATGGTCGCAAGTATAATACGCTGCCATGGCTTTGCGTGGTCATAGAAGAGGTCATCAATGATGTCTGGATTGAAGAGCCCGGGGAGCTCTCGGCCTCGGTTCCGACTCATGCGAAGTTGAACATTCTTCAGATACTCATCTCTCAAGATATAAAACAATTCATCTTCAGAATCAGCCCACGACGACTTCGAGCGTTTTGAAATGGAGTTGACAATCTTGACAGCAGAGCCCTTGAGGTGCATTTCCTCCGCGAACTCTTTCAAGGTGCGTTGAACAACAGCACGTAGTCGCTTGCCATAGCCTTCGTCGCTCTCTGCACTCCCAAAGAAAGCCTGGCTGTACCTGCCATCGATTGATGCAGTCATAAGATTCACAAAAGTCTGACTTGCTTGGAACAAGTAACCACGCTGCTCAAAGACCGTAGCCCGGGAACCGCCGAGCATTTCAAGTTGTCGCTTGCATCGATTGAGGCCGGACTCGACATCGGCAATAAGTCCCGGAAGCTCTCTCAGAATTTGCCTCAGCAGAATCTTGCTGAGCCGAGGTCTTAAGGCAGATATACCGAGCTGAGAAGGTGGAAGTGCCGAAGACCAGATGTTTTGCTCAAAAAAAACTCTCTCTGCTAGATCACGCTCGGAGGTGCTGGAATTTCTGGTGTCATAGTCTCGGTTCTTGAGAACATGCCATCCCAGTTTGAAGGTTATGTTCTCATTCTTCGCAAGTTTGACAAACGAACTCTCGCTATCAGAGCCTGCGAAGAGCAGATCGGGTTTTGTGATGATTCCCAAGGTGCGTTCACCAGTAGGATCAATGTCGCGCGCAAGTTTCGTGATGATCTGCATAGCCAAGTCACTCTTTGCAGAAACAACAGCGAGGATGATGGATCGACTCTTCTTCATGTAAGATTCAACAAGTGAATGCACAATCTTAGCATCGTCGTCAGACTGGCTCTTGTCACCAGCCCAGAATATTCCAGGAAGATCAACCAGTGTCAGATGTGGCTGGCTTGGACCACATAGTTCGACTCGCAAGATGTCTTTGGCGAAGACTCTGGTCGACTCATTCAATCCCATGGCCTTCTCGGCTGCAGCAACGATATTTGCGAAGTCATCGATACTGGTAGAGGGCGATTGGAAACGTGTAAGCTCATCGGACTCTTCTTGACTACGGTCATCCCCAGGAGTGATCGTAACAGTGATGCTCGGTGATGTGGCTCGTCTCAGGATGAGTTCAGTTGCGAAACGTGTACAGAGATTGTCTTTCGTAGGGAACCGCAGGCCGGAAATAGCTTCGAGAACAGATGATTTGCCAGAGCTTTAATCACCACAGACGATGAGTTGAGGGAGGTCAACATAGCGGCTGATGCCTTGTGAGCGAAGGGTGTCAATGATATTCAAAAGCTCTTCGTGCTGAGCAGTTTGAAGACCAACTCGTGGCATCTTCATCTCTCCTGCGTCTCCCATGACGAAGATCAGAGATCAAGCTCGAACTCAAATGAATGTCAATACCACCGTTAAGAAAGATTGAGGAAGAAGTTTGGTTCCAGAGAATGGGTGACTCTGCTGTTGGAGAGAATTTGAGATCGAGAGGAATGACAACTTGAAGAGAAATTTTCGCACACGGTGACTGTGACAGACTTGGCACATGCGACAGTGAAGTCAGCAGAAAGTGAAAACAAAGAGTGAAGGTCGATTGTAAAGTGAATGAAGAGTGAGCAGATATGGCTGAGTGTGCTCAGCTACCCGGCCGTAGTCATCTCAGCGGCGAGCAAATATTCAAGGTTGAACTTAGCTTGGAACGCAACACCACCCGCAGCAAATCCTCCTTAATTTCTCCTGTTCGGCTAATGCATGTTGCCATTCTGGTTAATACGTCCCTGAAGAAAGCAGTGTACGCACGGCTGTGATCCGTACACATATCTGAGGGCTTGCCTTGAGTAGCACAGAGTCGAACTGACGTGGAGGTCTTCATTTACGAAGAACGGAGAACTACTACCTAGGTAGGTATCTCCTCTATCGCCCATCTATTAGGTAGTTTCTGGCAAGCTGGAAGACATCTGGAATCCACAGTGTTGGAAAGCACCTGACTCCCTCTGTTGCCCATAAATGCTGCTCAACGCTGTGTGGTTGAGAAGAGGCGCATGGTCTTACTTACAACCGGAAAGCACGGTCACAGTGTTCGCCGCCTGGACAGACAAATTCTTGGTATCCTTGATCTTTACTGACGGCCATCATTCGTAATCCATCTCTTTGGTAGCTAAATAGTATGCAAGTCCGCAATTTGGCTGCCAAAGCCGCGCTTCAACTTTGACTTTGGATAATTTTCATAGAACGCGTCGGCGTCGGCTTCGAAGATCGGCGTGTTCCGATGGTTTGATCTCTGACCTTCAGTAAGCGGCTTTTCGGGCATTCGGATTTCTTTGTTTCATGACTAGGCTAATGATGATTCGTGGTTCCGAGAAATGGTGTCAATAAGACTCCGATTCACTATGTTGTCGCCCTGCCTATGCATGCTTCTGGTGAAGGGTTGATGTCAAGTCTTCGAAAAATAGCTGGCGATTTTATTCTTCTGTGGACTCTTGTCAATAGTTTTCAACTTTTTCGTCTTTGGTTGGTCGCCGTTCTCCTTTTTCTCAGCCTTCTCGCCAACCTTGAGGAGTTTCATCAATTCTTCAAATGCCTCCATCGGCACGACCCCTCCACTGGCTTCTTTGTGTCCACGGGCGAAGCTCTCACCCAGTCTTTCTCTCAGGCCGTCGGTGGAGAGGTCAGCTGCGGCCTTCAAGCTCTCAATGATATTTACTAGCGGCTCTTTCGACCTTGCACACCTGGCGATTCGACATGAGAAATTGACCATTCCCGGAAGATAACCCGAGTTGGCACAGACAACAATTTCGAGCGCTTTCGAGTTGAGATATCCTGCCCATCGAGTTGCAATGACCGGGTGGACCTGTGCTGCCGTATTGATTCGGAGTACAGCAATTCTTCCGTCGGCGCTAAATTTAGGAGGCGTATGGGTGTTCAGCTCAACTTCGTTGTTGATCTCCGCCCTGGCACTTTGAAGTCGGCCATTGCTCAACAGCTCTTTCGGGTCCGTAGAGTTCAGTAGCGCATCCCAAGCCGTTACAACATCATATTTGGCAGTCCGCCGAACTGCATTGAGAAGTGAGACTGCATCATTTATAGATTTCTTGGTGTATGTCTTGAATGTCTCGGTCATGTCTGGAAATGGTGGATTCCATTTCAATGTATTTCCAAGATCGCCGTGTGTGCCAATGCAAGCAAGATATGCACACCCAGTCGCAATCTCCTTGGAGAGTGGTTTGCAGATTTCGTAGGTGAGTAAGGAGCTCGTAGCAACAGGTGGATAATGGCACGCTGAGACGACTTGAGCATTTTCCGGGAAGAGATCACTCAGATGATGGTCAATAATGAGAGATTTCGTCGATTGGTTCTCAACCACGGGTGGAGCACCCACTGAGCCTTGGTCGAGCACAATGATGTATCCCGGGTCTTTCGCACCCATAGACTGACGCTCAGATTCGGTATGGATATTTGTCCCCTTCTGCACAAGATGTACCTCGATCATAGCAGGATCCAAACCTAAGGTCACCAGTGTTCGATACATGATAACTCCTGACGAGAGTCCATCTGCATCCTTGTCTGGCACTATGAGAGTTTTCTTACCGCTCGTGGCACTAGGAATGTCAGCACTCTTTTATACACGACTACTAGCATGAGCGTAATACCATTCTTTGATAAAGGTTCGAGCCGCCTCGATCGCCAGACTTGGGGCTGGCCAAATCATGACCCCAGCATCGTCCCTCTGTGGTTCGGCATCACAGTAGTCAGGTAGCTTCTCTCTTACCTTCGGCTTACTAGCCCGCTTCATGCCTCGTGGAAAGGTGGCAATAATCTTATGAAAGTATGGCAGTGGTACGCGTTGTTGCGCAAGAAAAGGGGCGTTCAGTCCTGTGCCCAGTGCTAAGCCCTGAAGCTTCAATTCGGGTCGTAGTAATAGCCGGGACGCAGAACGAGCTACAAGCATACTAATCCGGCAAATTTCAAAGATCTAACACAATACATTGAGATTGTGCAAGTCCGTGGTTTCGAATCGGAGGCGGAAGCATTGTTCACCTGGGCGATTTCATGACGTATCGAAGTTCAACTTCATATGCGCTAATAACAGCAACCGTTTTTCCCGCTTATGGAGAATTTTGGCCGCCGCTTTTGTTAAGGGATTTTAAGTTCCTGAACGAATATCGAAGTCAATCTCTTGATACTAGCTAAGTATCTGCAAAAGTTGCATGCTCCTGACTCTTGAGTAATATCCAGCACAGAGAGTGCTATCATTACCTCACGGCATGTACAAGGACCTATTTGACAGAGAATGTTACATGGGCATCAAGTGTAACTCCGTTGATGACAGGCACTTGAGCTGGCAATAAGACACAAATCAGCCTTGCCCACTGATCACTCCTGTTGTTCCACCCATGCATCGTAGCTTGCTGCACGACGATATCTCCCTCGTTGACTGCAACTCTGGCCTCATCGTCCAAGATCAACTCGATGTTCCCCTTCTGTACCACCACATAATCCAGAGAAACGGAACGATGGACACTTCCAGTGGATTTCGGTGGAAGGTCTACGATTCGTAGAATTGAGCCGTGATTGACATGTCCGGTTGCAACTGTGCCCTTATCTTTCTTCGAAGTTACCTCGGCGGGAGAGGAGTCGCTTGACCAGATTAGAGCGTTTGCATTGCCATGAGGCTGGATTGCTGTGGAGACCAAATTATCATTCTTGATGATGGCTTTGGCTTCGTCGCTGTGGCCAGTGACGATACGCCTGATCGGTGGTAAGGAAGAGGTGTTTGTCATACTTGAGATAGGTTCTGCTTTAGTCTTCCCAGTCGTTCCCCAAGAGCGGCCTGCTGCTCGGCCATTTGTAGTCTCAAGCTCATGTTGTGATATCTATCACAAATTCCTTTGAACTTGATGCCCTCTCATTTCATGAATAAGCAATTCTGGCTGCAATTTGCCCATTGCAGTATTGTCGAGGTGTATATCCGATATGCCCGACAACTGTTTGACGGGCTGGCTGGTCCGACTTACCAATCGTTAGGGCCGCGGACCACATTAATTGATCACGGAGTCTACTGCTAGTCTGGATGCGGTTCGCAAATGCATGCTTTTTGAAGTGCAGCCTGCTCCAGCGCTGTAGCGAACATTATGGCATCGTTGGTGTCATGGCAGTATGTAAAGGTGGTGGAATGCAAAGCAGAGGTTGTGTTCTAAAAGGCCTTTAATTACTTATATATGGAATAAATAATCAGCGAGGGAACTCCCCTAGGAAGCGTACTCAACACAACATGATCAGTTAACAATCAACTATTGACTTCAACACGATCAGGCGCATTAGAGCATTTTAATGTAACGTTTCTGATTTTGCAACAGCAATCCTAGGGTTTATAGGTAGCAACGAAACGTGTGTGAAATAGATAGAGGGAGGATGAAGCGGTGGATGTCAGTTACTTCCCCTCCTCTTCCCCTCATGGATCTATGATGACTTCACTTGACGGTCTCATTGCCTACTCGTTGCACTATCACGAGTCCTTGCCTTCTTGACCAAGACCGTGTGTGCAAAAGTTGCTTGATTTCTTATAGCTCGTTCGTCCTTTGAGAATGCACTGGCAAAATTGCACCCATTGACCGATGGTGGGTGTCAACGCCTTTTGGCACAGCCTGGGCTGCTGCCTGTTCATTCATGCTGTCTTCTCAACACCAATACCCCTTCGAACAGGCCGCTCTACACAATGGCCTAGTAGCTACGCATCATTGGGTGACTCCTACGCTGCAGGAGCCGGTGCAGGTTCCCCCGTTGTGTTTAGCTGTGGTCGCTTTTCCGGGGCATATCCGGTCAAGGTCGCCGGTGGCAAGCAATTGAACATTTCTCACGAAAATGTCAGGTATCTGGCATGTGGGGGGAGTAATGGCCAGAGCGTGCTGTTCCACCAAGTCCCGTTTATTGGAAACTCAGACGTTGTCACCATAACAGCAGGTGGCAACGAAATTCATTTCTTCAATGTACTGAACGCTTGCGTTTACCACTGGCTTCCATTTGCCGATTGTGAAAAAGAAATTGGGGAAGCAAGAGCCATGGTTCAATCACGGAATCTCATCAATCAAATTGATACTGTCATTGCGAGATCTGCCAAATGCATGCATCCCGATGCGCTCCTTCTGGTCACAGGCTATGCGAGGTTTTTCAATGAACGTACTGATCTGTGCGATCACGTCACATTCAGCAGGACAAGACCATTGGACTATCTCACCAAGGAAAAGAGGAGAGCATTGAATCAGTTGGTTAGTATGTTGAATGATGTGATCCGAGCATCAGCAGAACTGCACGGCGTAGAATACATTGACATCGATCCCGTCTTCGAGGGTCACCGTTTCTGTGAGGATGGTGTCCGTGAGCCTGATATTGGGCGAGAAGCAACGTGGTTTTTCAACCTACCCGCTGCCAAGTTTCAAGGAGAAGAGCAACAAGACGAACTGCGCTCGGCTTCAATCATCGCACCAAAGGTGAACAATCTTCAGCACTTGGTGAAGTTTGGCCAGCTTCAGTGGGCGATTTCAGATGGAGAGGATACAGAAAGTCGTCACACTCTGAGCTTCCCAGATCTGGAAACAGTAAGAACATTTCATCCAACGGAAATTGGCCATCAAGCCATTGCGGATGTTATTGTCAAAGCGATCTTGAAGAGTAAATTGGTTCTCCCAAGTGACTGAGTTACTGGATGGGGTTAGATTCAAAAAGGTATCAGTAGCCAGTTGATGATAAGGGACGAAAGCTGTTGAGTGATAGTAAATATCCAGTTCGAAGATTGGTCACTTCATCTGTACCACAAAAAGCCATTCCTTTTTTTCTAATATTGTGAGTGTGAATTTACCCCTTGAGGTGGGTGCGAGGCAGCGAGGTCGAAAATGACGTATTTGTTGTGTGAGGCTCTGAAAGCGGCGAGCAATCACTTGAAGCGGCCACGGCCATCACCCGCGAAAGTCTTGGCGCGTAGCGCGTTTTGGTGTTATCTTCTTCTCCACCTGCGCCCTCCAGTTGTTTACTCTTCTCCATCCGCCAACAATCATGGCGACACCACCCAAAAAGAAGAGAGTCTCTGAGCTCTATCAGAAATTGACTCAATTAGAGCATATTATCAAGCGACCCGACACCTACATCGGCTCCGTTGAGCGCACCGAGAAGCAACTATGGGTCTACAACAGCGAGAAGGAGAGCATGGAGTTCCGCGAGGTCTCCTATGTCCCTGGTATCTTCAAGATCTTCGACGAAATCCTGGTCAATGCCGCCGACAACAAGGCAAATGACAAGAATATGGATGAACTCAAAGTCACCATCGACCGAGAAAAAGGCGAAATCAGTGTCTGGAACAATGGTCGCGGTATTCCAATTGAGATCCACTCCAAGGAGAAGATCTACATCCCTGAGATGATTTTCGGCCATCTCCTCACCGGTTCGAACTACGACGATGACCAGGCCAAGGTTACTGGTGGTAGGAATGGCTACGGCGCCAAACTCTGCAACATCTTTAGCACCCAATTTATTGTCGAGACTGCGGACGCTAGACAGAAGAAGAAATACAAACAAACATGGACCAACAACATGTCAGAGATGGGTAAAGCAAAAATCACAGATCACAAGGGCGAGGATTACACCAAAGTCACATTCTATCCAGATTTCGCAAAGTTTGGAATGACCGGGATTGATGATGATCTGGAAGCACTCTTCAAGCGTCGTGTTTACGATCTTGCGGGCACGTGCAAAGGCGTGGCTGTCAAACTCAATGGCATGCGCGTTCCTGCGCGCAACTTCAAGAAGTACATTGAGATGTATACCAAGGCCATCAAGAAGGAGAGAGGCGAAGAAGCAGCAAATGACGCTTCTGAGATCATCACCGAGTCAACTGATCCCCGTTGGGAGATTGGCTTCACAGTTTCCGACGGCTCTTTCCAACAAGTTTCCTTTGTCAATTCGATAGCCACAACCTCTGGGGGTACGCATGTCAACTACATCACCGATCAAATCGTGGCACGCCTGACGGATATTGTCAAGAAGAAAAACAAGGTTGGTGCAGCTATGAAGCCGAATCAGATTCGCAACCACATCTTTCTCTTCGTGAATGCTCAGATCGTCAACCCGGCATTCACATCGCAAACCAAAGAGCAGCTGACCACCAAAGCGTCCCAATTTGGTAGCAAATGTCAAATATCGGATGATTTCATGAAGAAAATTGTAAAAACAGAGGTCATTAACAATATCCTCACTTTTGCACAGGCGAAAGCCGACCAAATTCTCAAGAAATCCGATGGCAGCAAGCGAAGTCGAATGACCAACCCAAAGCTGGTCGATGCGAACAAGGCTGGAACGAAGGAAGGGTACAAGTGTACTCTCATCCTTACCGAAGGTGACTCAGCAAAGGGTTTAGCCATGGCAGGTCGGTCCGTGGTCGGTCCTGATCTATTCGGCGTATTTCCACTTCGAGGAAAGCTGCTGAATGTTCGTGATGCCTCCGTCGAGCAGATTTCGAAGAACGCCGAAATCCAAAACATCAAGACCTTCCTTGGGCTGCAACATAAGAAGGTCTACACTGACACTCAAGGGCTTCGATATGGTTCTTTGATGATCATGACAGATCAGGATCATGATGGCAGTCATATCAAAGGTCTCTTGATCAATTTCCTCCAGGTACAATTCCCTAGCTTACTCAAAATTCCCAATTTCCTGGTGGAATTCATCACTCCGATCGTCAAAGTTTGGAAAGGCGATATCAAGAATCCGTCATGGTCAAAAGCCTTCTACACCCTGCCTGAGTATGAAACATGGAAAGAGGCACACAAGCATGACAAGAAAAAACCGGACCATAAGTATCTGAAAGGATTGGGCTCTTCCACCAACGAAGATGCACAGCAGTATTTCAACGACATTGACCGACATCACAAGGAATTCGAAACCATGAAGGATGAGGAATCAGCCTTGCTTGAGCTGGCATTTTCGAAGAAGAAGGCAGACGAACGAAAGGAGTGGCTCCGCCAATTCAAGCCTGGCACCTACCTTGATATGTCCATCAACAAGATCTCGTACACGGATTTCGTCAACAAGGAATTGATTCTTTTCAGCATGGCAGACAATATCAGATCCATTCCATCCGTGGTAGATGGTCTAAAACCTGGTCAGCGAAAAGTGATGTATGCCTGCTTGAAGAAAAACCTCAAAAAGGATGTCAAGGTCGCAGAGCTTACGGGTGTGATTGGAGGAATGACAGCATATCATCATGGTGAAGCATCTCTACAGGGGACAATCGTCGGTCTAGCACAAAATTTTGTGGGTTCCAACAATGTGAACTTACTAGAGCCGTCTGGTCAGTTCGGTACTCGAAATCAGGGTGGCAGTGATTCGGCCAGCGCTCGATACATCCACACCCGTCTTTCTCCTTTTGCCCGGAAGCTATTCCATCCAGCGGACGACCCCCTTCTTAAGTCTCAGACAGATGATGACAAAATCATCGAACCCGAACTCTATGTACCCGTTCTTCCTATGGTTCTCGTGAACGGTGCAGATGGTATTGGAACTGGGTGGAGTTCTTCCATCCCAAATTACAATCCAGAAGATATTGTCGCAAATTTGAAACGCAGAATGAACGGAGAGGAATGGCTGCCTATGGTTCCATGGTTTCGAGGATTCAAAGGCGAAGTCAAATCAACTGCCCCAGACAGATTCCAGTTCAGTGGAATTATTCATCAGACTGGCGATACCGAGGTTGAAATCACTGAACTACCAGTGCGCACCTGGACTCAAGATTTCAAGGACAAGCTAGAAGAGATCATCAAGGCAGAGAAGGTGCCTTCTTTCATCAAGGATTACAAGGACTATAACACCCATGACGCCGTTCACTTCGTCATTCAGATGGATGAGAAGCATATGGCAAAGGCTGTCGAGGAAGGTTTGATCGAGAAATTCAAACTCACCAAGTCGATCGCAACCTCAAACTTGGTGGCATTTGATCCTCAGGGGCGTATCACGAAATACGCGAATGTAGAAGCAATCATGGATGAATTCTACAGCTACCGTCTTCAGATGTATGCCAAGCGAAAGGAATGGTTGTTAAATGATCTCCAACGAGAGTTGAGTCGTCTCACCAACCAAGCCAGATTCATCCAAATGATCATCGATGGAAAATTGGTAATCTCAAAGAAAAAGAAGGCAGTCTTGATTACGGAACTTCAGAAACTCGGATTTACTCCGTTCCCGAAGATCAAGGATGCTGAAGAGAGCGGAGAGCTAGAGCCCGTGGTCGAAGAGGAAATCGACGAGAGCGATGATGACTCCATTGATGCAAGTGCCTATGACTATCTTCTTGGTATGGCTCTTTGGTCATTGACTCAGGAACGTGTGGAAAAAGTGCGACGTCAAATAGCAGACAAAGAACAAGAAGTTGATGTCTTGATGAAGAAATCTAAGGAAGACCTATGGATAGCTGATCTGGACGATTTCGTTGCCGAATGGAAATTCCAGCTCGAAGATGAGCACAATCGCAAACGCAATATCCGCAAGGGAAGACGAGTCTCCAAGAAGTTTGCAACTGCAGCAAACTCAAAAGCTACTGTCAAGAAGCGAAAGGGACTTGGAGACGCATTCGACGACTCTGAATTCGAAGAGTTTGCACCAAAAGCAAAAAAGAGAGCTCCTGCTCCCAAGCCAGTCCAGCGGGCCATTACTGCGTATACGGCACCCAAGTCAAATGCTCTTAAGAACGCTATGGAACAACGCAAACTCTATACCGATGGGCCAACTGATTCGGCGGCAGAGTCAGAGTCAATTGCGAAGGAGATCATCGAGTTGCCCGAAAAGGCTCCAAAACCAGTGGCAAGAGGTGGGCGAGGCAAGAAGCCTACTAAGTATACCATCGACAGTGACTCTGAAAGCGATTTCAACAACTCCACAGATGGATTCGAAGATGAATCAAAGAAGAGTACCAAGTCAAACTCTGTAGACTTGTCCGATTTGGACGAAGTCATTTCTAAGCCTAGGCCGCGAGCAGTAGCCATCCGCAAGCAGCCCCAGCTTGACGATGATCTTGACAGCGATTTGGACCGGACTGCTACTGCCCCCAAGTCTCATGACAATGTTGAAGACGTCACCAATGTTATGGACGCGTCGGATGTGGATGAGGAAGTTATTCCTAAGCCCAAGAGCCGTGCTGCGCGTCCAGTTGCGAAGAAGCCTGCCAAAGCAATAATTTCTGATGATGAAGACGAGACAGAACTACCACCAAAGACCAATGGCAAGACATCTGATGTTGACATGTCAGACGCTGACGAAGTTATCCTCAAACCAAAGAGTCGAGCTGCTCGACCGGCTGCTAGGAAGCCTGTTCAAGCTCTCATTTCGGACGACGAGGATGAAACTGAAAATCCACCTATGACCAATGGCAATGCATCTGATATGTCTGATTTCGACGAAGTTATTCCCAAGCCAAAGAGTCGAGGTGCACGCACCGCTCCCAAGAAGGCTGCAAAGCCGGCGGATTCAGATATGGATGATGACGATGATATCGCAGTCAATACCAAATCGAAGCCTTCTGCAGCTGATGAATCTGATTTCGAAGAAGTTATACCCAAGCCCAAGGCACGAGCCACAAAAGCCCCCACCAAGAAAGCCACCAAGGCGACCAAAGCCAAGAACGATAGTGATGATGATGATGTCGTCACTAAGCCTGCTCCAAAGAAGACAACCAAAAAGAAAGCGGTCGAACAGTCTGACGCAGACGAACCTGTCACAAAGCCGAAGGCTCGAGCTCCTCGTGCAAATGCGAAGAAGACTCCCGCATATACTTTGGATACCGATAGTGACAATGGGGATGACTTGCTGGCTGATCTTGGTGACATGGTCAAGGGATTGCCAAAGACTGCGCTGAAGGATACGCAACCCAAAGAGAAAAAGCCGGTGGCAAAGAAACCTGTGGCTGCAGCAAAGAAGCTTGAACAATCACCTATTGCCAAAGCCTATGCAAAGCGTCTGGCGAAGAAGAAGGTGGTTGAATCAGACGATGACATGGATATGACATTTTGATGGGATGAGAGACGAGGTTTTTGTTATGGAGTATGACAACAAGTCACTAAAGTTTAGTGGCTATGGTTTCTATTGACGCCTCCGAGTATTGGGTGGGCTCAGAGCGAGACAGTTGGCGCACGAGGCGTTGAGGGATGATTTTAGTGCTGGGCTAATTCTTGCAATATATCTCTTATGCCAAGCAGCTTGTATTCGCTAGTATACTTCGGCAGGTAGCTATAACTTGATGACCAGACCATAGTTCTGGACTCCTGAATGTGATTTACTTAGGTTCAGTCGGTTTCGACTTCCAGTTTTCGATGGTGGATGCAGTTGACAACTCGTAGGCGACGAGTTGTACACGAAAGTTAAAGGTGGATCCATGCCTCCTGGGCCCCGAGATCAAAATCATGAAAGCAACATCTTCAGACAACACATACTGACCTCCATATTTACCGACACAGCTCGTGCAACCTCTGATACAGATTCTGATACCGAGGTTTCTTTGTCTGTTCATGGAAACGGCAACGTCACCCAATCAAAGAGGGTTCTGTACAACGTCAATCCTGTCCGTCGCCGCCAAAAACCTCGAGCTGGATCAAAATCTCAGGACTGGCAACGGTGTCCTGAACGCCCGTCGGCGTCTTCCTGCAGGGGTATCATGCAGTATGCTCTTGTTTGGATATATCTCGATGCAGATGTTTAGTGTTGCAATTGAGAGATATGCAAGTTGCTTCTGGAAAATAAAGGCATCTCTCGGGGTGTCCATTCCTTCCCGGATTTTATTTATCGCTATCGAGTTCATTGACTTTATCGAAAATTTCTTGTCTCGCCATCCATCAGCAGCTAAATAGTTATGATCAAAGTATACAGATAAAAGCAAGAGCTCAACACAGAAGATATGAAGCAGAAAGGGACTTCAAATCGGTGCTCGGAGCTTGATGATCTCCTCTCAACCTACTGCGCACTTCCGTCGACTCAAGGACGAACACCCTCACCGCTCATCTAGGCGGAGCTACTGATCTCCCACTCATTCGTCCCGTTATTGAGGAGTCTTGAAGGTCAAGGAGAAGAGCCTCCCGATATGCGTGGGCCTCAGAATGGATGCCTGCCTTAGTGATGATGCCTTTTGGCGCGTCTGGAACACGAAAACTCCAGTTCTTGGTTGCAATATGCATTATCGATGGATCTCAAAGAAAGACTTCACAGAAACGACATGCCTCACGCTTTGTTCCCTAAGAGCAGGCTCGCAGACTGAGTGTTTGCTATTGAGAACAAGCACATCGAGCTTGCCCGCATTTGCACTACTTCAACAGATTACGCGCCGGCATGAACCACTTTTGAATCTCTTCACTCTTCGATATTACCAGTCGAAATATCATGGCTGCTATAAAATCACTTCTCAATCCTATGATGGACACAGGTGACCAAGACAACAACAGCATGGACAGCAAAGACGACACATCCACAGTTGAAAGTGATTTTGGTGTCATATCAGATGCACTCGGTGACACTCGCAGAAAACAGACTCACAAGAAGCAAAAGATGTCCAAAGATGCAGCCATCTTCAAGCCTGGTCCAATCCGTGGTGACTGTCGTTACCCTCCACATGAGGACCACGACGAATTCACAGCGGCCAAGCATGAGGCACTGAGTGTCTTTCCCACGGTTGGACTTTCCACTTACGCAAGACACATTCCGTACAACAGTGAGAAGAAACTTTTCCTGGAGAAGACTGGCCGAGAGTGTTTTGAAGGTATTAGATAGATAAGCCTCGTTATCGAAAAAGGTGAGGTCGAAGCTAACAGTCACCAAGTCTTCCAATACACCTTCAAGATCCCCACTGAGAGTGCCACATATACCATGATCTGGGATTACAATATTGGCCTTGTACGCACCACTCCTCTTTTCAAATGTGGACAGTACTCGAAGGTATAAACCAAAATCATCGTCCTTATTCCAGCTCAACCTCTCTAATGTCGATAATAGACAACTCCGGCGAAAATGCTAGCACGCAATGAAGGCCTCAAAGAAATCTGCCATAGCATCACGGGAGGAGCATTGGTAGCACAAGGTGGCCTTTGCCGAAATAGGACCACTAGTTCATACCAAATGGCTGACATATGATTCCTCAGGTTACTGGATTCCCTACGAAGCAGCCAAAGCCGTCGCCGCAACATTCTGCTGGAATATTCGATACGCCCTAACACCCGTCTTTGGTAAAGACTTCCCAGCAACCTGCCTGCACCCAGACCACGAGGAGTATGGCAGTATGCAAATCGACCCTGAGATCACCAAGCGCTGTGCCGAGCAAGCCCGCATGTATCGAGAGCTCGAACAACAGCACGGCGTCTCTACCTTGACCTCCACGTTGAACATGACCTTGAACAATTCCCCAACCCTCATGTCCGTGTCCACGTCCACGTCTCGCAGTCCACATATCACCACAACCCCGAAAGGCAAACGCCAATTCAAGAAGATCATGCCCAAGCCTCTCGAGATCAGCTCCTCTGGCTTCGCAAGCGATGTCTCTTCTCTCAATGACTGTGATGGCGAAGCGAGTCAAGACGAGCGGGGCCGACATGACGATGATGACGACAAATACGTGCTCTCATCCCCAGCCTCTCAAGCCGGTGGCAGTGGTGGCGGTTTTGCCCAACCATGGTCCGCAATAAACAGTCCCAACTCGATGCGCTCTCCATCGCCCAAGATCAAATTCCGCAATCCCTTTGCCCCACCACACTCTCCAGCCAGCAGCACGCGCTCAGACTCACCCAATGGCGGCGGCTCGCGACGCAAGAGACATCGTGCTGCGAGGGTCATTCCACGCTCATATGCTCCACTCGACACACTCCCGCCTCCGTACAAACCGCTTTTTCCAGGTCTCGTCATCGCCAGTGGGGCTGCGTCTGGGTCGAAGGGCAAACATGGAGCTCAGACTGAGACTGGAGAGGGCGATGAGAGTGAAGCATTGCCGTCACCGAAAGCCCATGCTCGTCATGCTCACTATCATCATCACCACCGTCGCATGGATCTGGACGAGGACTATGACGCCGGCTCCGACGACTCAGATGTCCCTATGGATTCGACTGGTGTCGGACCACCATCTGCAGGTTCAGGTGTTGGTATTGGCAATGACAAGCATGGTGGTTCAAGCACAGCTCGCAAGAAGTCGACCAAGGTGTTCACGGACTTCAATGCTGCCCTTGTACTTATGCAGATGCGTGATGTCAGCACGACTATGACGACGGGGTTGAGACGGCTTAAGCGTCCTGCTTCGCTTTGAGTGCAATGGTATGGTGGTGAAGACGCAAGAGTGGATGTTGATTGGCTTGTGGTGCTCATGCATGGAAAGAAGGGGCTGATAGAGGGGCCTGAGATGGAGGTATTGTGGAATGGAACGTGTGGACTTGTTTTGCTCTTGACTGTCTCGCTGATGGGCCTTGTCATTGAGAAAATTTAAACTGTATCTGATCACGCATGACTATCACATGCCATCCATACAATGTTTTAGATTGCTGCACCCTCCTCACGAGATCACGAATTATGATGGCTTGTAAAGTTCGCTCTCTTGCTTCTGTTTCACCAAACCCGACAAACTACTTGGTTTACAAAGATATATGACTGTCTCTCAAGGCGCGAGTGGTTCATTAATCTCTCCACACCGCGCTCGCATGGCGTGCCGCGTAAGTTCTTAGAAGTAAAAAAAAGGAGACGTAACAACCAGGAATGGAACTCACGACTTTTCTTATGAAAAAAAGAGCCCAGACAAATTGCCTAGTAAACCTCATTTCGCACACCTTTTAATGAGACATCTGCCACAATCAAAGGTGGGATAGGGACCGATCTACTGTTTTTGTTCTTTCCTAGTACCCTATCCTGAGGCCTAACCAACCGACCACTTTACACCATTAGACCATAATGCAGTAGATTCTTGAAGGGACATCTTCCGATGCTAATGTGGTGGGAAATTGGGGGGCTTTGAGATCTATTCGTGTATTTGTGAAGTGAAGTGGCTGAGTGAAGTGAAGGGTTTGTGAGCTTATAGGGGTTTAACTTGGCCTCTGGTTCCCTGCTTCCTAGGTATTTACGTCTTCCAAGCTCCACGCTCTACGACTCTGATGTGGTCAAGGACATCTCACTTATTTTCACACTCCATATTTCTAGACGATTTCAAACTCATGGCATCAGGAATCGTGGACTGAGGGGTTTTTTCCTCGATAACCACGGAAGGCACAAGTGAGTGAACTAGGGACAAAGGCTTCCATGAAGGTCGAGCACATGTTCAAAGAATCGTCGTACAGCAATTCAAGTGGCCATTCTGGGAAAGACTCAGGGAGTTTGATGTACCCTCTCTGGGATTTCTGTCCGATGTTCATCAACTAGTAAGCTTGAACTCGTGTGTGGGTAACTGGTATTCTTACAAAAATGCTCGGTCGCTTCCGCGACGAGAAAAGCAAGGGTATCATCACGCCTTTCCAACAACTCGACTCTAGAGAATCTTCCGTCCTAGACCCACGACTCGTTGCTCCATGAAATCCAAGAACCATATCCGAGGATGTATGGCCGGGAGCTCCTCATCAACACACTTAGCCACGGGCCATGAACGCTCGACTGGATATCCAAACCATTATCTCCGTACTGGTGGTGGAGCCAAGACCATAGTCGGCACGCGCATTCCATTCACTCTCTGATTGTTCTGCATCGCTTCGTGATTTCCGTTGCTGTTGTCTGCGCCATAACCAAATCCATATCCAGAGCCATGTCCAAATCCGAGGCCGACTCCAAGACCAGCTGCTAGATCTTCCATGATATGCTCACGTTGGTTGGTGTTGTTGTTGATACCGCTGGGTCTAGGAGTGGGACTATCATCGACGACGGCAATGTCGGTATTGATATCTTCGTCATGTCTTGCCATTCGACCTCCTTGTTCGTTAATCGGAACCATGATTGGACCTCGATGTTCTTGATGTGGAGCCAGGCTTGATGGTGGGACTTCCGAGAAGCGCAGTCGTGAGTCACGGCGGCCTTGGTTCGCATGGAAGAAGCCCGGTTGAGGTGGGAGTAGGACTGACGTGGCTTGGCTGAGGCGTTGGTGAGAAGCCTGTGCATATAAATCGTCGACGTTGTAAAACTGTGAGGCGTTGCTGTGGTCACCTGCCTGATGAGCCATGGTGGACTGGTTTTTGTCAGTTCTTGCTAGACAAGTAAGAAATGGGAATGAATTCACCTCCCGATTCTTGCAGACACTCCATTCATCCCAGACTCTTGCTTCACCCTGTCGATTTCCTCCGAACATGGTGGTAGGTCTGAGTTCTCCAATCTCCAGTCTCGCCTGTCTGCCCCGTTCCCACGCATACATGTTGTTGATCCAGCGCACTTCCTTCATGCGTGCCACCTGACTGGCCGGACGTACTTGGTTCGGGTTGAAGAGATCCAAATCGCTGTTGTTGTCATCGAAGGCGTTTTTGTTTCCACTGCGGGAGTAGAACCGGAACACACTGGCAGCAATGATGACTACGACAGCGGCGGATAGGATCACAATTCCCACGATGATAGATGGTGAAATGGACGGGGTAGATGAATCGTCATCTGCGGAAGACATGTTGATTACCTATGTAGGATGATCGGCTTGTGGTAATACCAGAATTGTTGTGACCATGGATGAACGGTGATTGTCGAAGTAAGAAAACCCAAACTCAATTCATGAGGTCTGATGATTCTCTGTGCAGTCCACAGACAGAAGTCAGGGTAAAGCAGAGCGTATCCGTCGTTGTCATGCTGGAGCACAAGGCGGGAGCTTGCAGATATTCACTGCTAGGATGTGAAGTCCCAACCCGAGGCTTGAGATATGAGTCCGCTGCCTCGCTGGAGTCCTCCATCTCTAACGGGTGCCGTGTTTGTATCCTTCACGAGATGAGTATAGAGTTCACCTTCTGATGTTTCGGTAGATTGTTGGTTGCATGATGCACAGGAGGTTTCCCATCTGGTAAGCTAATTCACGAGGAAGTTGGAATTTCGAATATCGAGTGCGCGATTTGTTTATGATCCAGAAAGATTTCAGCTTAAGGGTGACGGAAGATGCATTCTCCTTCATATCAACGGACTAGTTTGAAGTACATCTGGGCAGAATGGTGAGCCGGGTTATCCGTCGGATCGCTTCGGTAGGAGAGGGAAGTAGTTCTTTTCGTAACATTTCTTGGGTGGCATGTACACAAGCGTGTTTGTCCTCACATAATGTCTCCCGAAGTAATGGTGTTGAAGTTTCTAGACGCCTTCTGAGCCTTTCTCTCCGAAAGGATAATTATACAAGAAGAGACCAAAACGTGCAAAGGTCGTACGACAGGGATACCTACCGAGAGGTCCAATTGTAGTGTAGTATGTAACCTGAATACTTCTCTGACTTTTCCAACGCTTCAAGAGAAATTCGGAGACTCTCCACATACTCGGAGGGAATTGCCCCAGACACGACAATCATTCTATTCGCAAATCGGAATCATGAAGAGATCCCTGTTTCAAAGATCTCATGGCTTTGATCTCTCCATCATATCGAGGCAGAGCATATGCCAAATCCTTTCAACATGGGCCCAACAATTATGATGGTCCGAATAGCCGGAATAAATGATATCCCATCGATCAGCCGTCGTGCCAAGGGGGACCCTCTATAGTTTTAATTTCCAAGCAACCAATGTAAAGAAGCTTTCGCGGGAGTTGGTATGCTGGAAATAAGACCCCAATCAGCGATCATAACCAGTGAAACAAATCGCGAATATATGCAAGCGACGTTCCAAGAACGTCTGTCTAGTAAGGCGGAACTTCTTATCAATTACCAGGCTGACAATGAATTAGTAAGGATTGTGCAGCGGGTGTTGGGCAGCTTACATAAGTGGTGTGCATTGAAGAGAAGGGTCTAGCCTACTGCGACAATGCGACGAAAAAAGCTTGACCTCGCCGTAGCCCTTACCAGAGTATTGGGATGTTGAACCTCAGAATTAGCGGGAGGACACGAGTGGCAGATAGGCGACACGACACATGAGAAGAAGCTGGCCAATGGCAAAAGAGACGTCTTTGTGGCCCCCATCAGGCTGGAAATTGAACAGCACACATGCGCAAACTTCGGTTGGCTATCATCGAAATCGACTGCGAACAAACCGGATCGAAGATCAGCCGGACGAGTTGACGTTCGTTGGTCTATGGGAAATCGAGCAACATTATATCGGTTTGTTGAGCGCGATACCAACAGTGTTAGTAGCAGAGTAATTTTGCTAGCACTATCTGTGTATGGATAGAGGTGAATTGTAGGTGCAGGGGTGGAATACGAGGGACTGAGTCCTTTGTACTACTGATCCTAAGGACACACCTAGTCACTTGACAGGTTAGTCGATGGATCAGGGAAATGGACTGAGCCCCAGGCCTTTGGCGAGATCGATTGTGGTGAGGGAGAATGCCGCAGTTAGCCAGCTCCCCTCCTTCCAAACATAGATGTCTTTTTAATCGATACGTGGGTTTGGCCGCAGTTTCCATAAACGAGAAGGCTGCGTAGTGACAAAAAGGAACAAAATTTGGAAGGAGGGAACGGAGGAAGAGTGAGGTGCGTCAGTCAGCGTGCACAGAGTTAGTTCAGTCGTCAGCCATATTCAGGATCAATCCAACACAATCGAACGCTAATATTACGAGGCGCATGATGGCTACATGCTATCACATTAATCTGACCAACCGCGACAGGCCAACGACTTGATACGAGGTTAAGGGTGTGCTGCCGTACGGGATATCCCAAGCCTCAAAAATGAAGTGTTTGGGGGCCAAATCCAAAAATACGACTTATAACTTCCTCAGTAGCACCCTCATTGACATTCAAGGCTCTTCGAACAGGTTTGGAGCCAATCTCTCATCTCTTCGTGGCTTTTTGGATCCTTCGATATTCCAAAGCCATATGTCGTCAAGGCAAGAACTTTTCCGTGCTGCGGAAGCCGGACGGACAGCCGAGCTGAAGACAATACTTGCACGAGGACAGGTTGATGTGAACTCCAGGGATGGCTCTGAGAATGGGGAAGGTAGAGCTGCACTTCATTGGGCCGTATCTTCGGGGAAGCGTCCTGCTGTGGAGGTGCTACTACAGTCTGGTGCTTCGGTCAAGTCGAGAGATCATTCAGGCAAAACGCCACTCATCTTAGCTGCCCAAACAAATGGAGCCACTGAGGTAGTAGAAGCCCTTCTCTCTGTCACAGACATCGAAGTTGATGCCTCGAATCATGTTGGCGTGACGGCACTCATGGAAGCCGCGAAGCGAGGCTACTTAGACACCGCGAAGCTACTTCTGAAGTCGAAGAAGATTGACATCAATAATCGAGATAATGAAGGCAACACCGCATTGCTCTGGGCGGCAAGTCGTGTGCATCCTCAGATGATCTGGCTACTTCTGCAGTATGGCGCATTCCGCGGCTTCAAGAACAAGTATGGCCAAACTGCTCAAGATTTTGGCCTACCTGAAATCGCAGGCAAAGGAGTCTTCAATGAAATGCCCGAGTGCCCTGAAGATCCAACGTTGTCGGAAACAGTTGAGCGAGACTCTGCGGCCCCTCAAGACTCGTTGAAGAGCAATATGATGCATGTTCTGACGGGATTGCAGTGGAGACGTGTGCTTGGTCCTCGTATCCCTATCCTAGAAACAGAGATAATCAAGGCCACCGGATTTTCTTTTCTGCCCAAAGATCATCTTTCCAAGGGCCAAATGGAGGAAGACGTCACATCAGCGCTCCGGTTGGCGAAGGAGATGACCGAAAACGACTTTGACGAGGAGCAGTGCATGTGGATCCATGTTCCGAGCAACAATGTACGTGCTTCTGAGTTACAGAAATCATTGTCCTATGGCTAACCGTCATTAGATCTTATGGGTCAGGGTGAGAGCTCTTGTCTTTCCTTGTCTAGAGGATCACAGAACGATGTGCTAACTAAGAGTGGACTAGTGGGCGGTCCAGCATTTACCAGTGTCATACAAAATGGTGGAGGGCACAAACCTCATCGGTGTCATCGATGGGGCTTTGGAAGAAGTCAGACAGTCAGCCAATCGGCGAAAGATCCATTGTGAATTAAAGGGAAAAGTGCTGTCAATTGTGGTAAGCTGGCGGATATCTTTCAAATGCCTCCTCGCGCTTACCTTCCCGTCCTCCTAAGATGCCGTATTTTGCCATCGAATCTGGTGCTTTCCTTGAATCCCGACAAAACGAACATAGTGGCAAACAGCTACCCTCATTCGAAGCTATGTCGGCTCGGAGCAAGATTGAAGCTTTGCGATTTCATTACATGTCGGAATTGGCAAAAGAATATGGCCCCGAAAGCAAAGTCAGGGAACAAACGAATACTATACAACTCCCCCAAACCTTGGATCAATCACACTTTGCAGCGGACCAGCCGCTCTTGGAACAGGACATGGATCAAGTCTTGTATCGCTACACCGTTAAAAGAGAAAAGGCGAAGGCCAAGCTTCTCATGGTGAATCAATTGTGGCTGTGGAAGATAGATAGTAAGCAGTGAGCAAATAATCGCTTCATTTTTTGGACCTAACACCATTTTTGTTTAGATCTGGTGGTAACAGCATTTCCAGAGCCATGGACCGATAACATCGAAAGCACCTTGCGCCACAACTTGGGAGACGCATACATCATCCTGCGCGAAGGTCGAATTCCCAGACAAGGAGATGAGGGAATGGACCCAGAGGACTTTGTAAGTCACATAATTCGACAATGCACAACTATTTCCGGCCAGCCAGGGTATGGGGGTTTAGGTGAAACCGAGACCTGGGCGACGATATTTTCGAAAAGTATTTCTGAGCACGTAAGATAGCACCCATTCTACGAGCGAGACTTTTCCCGCTAAGTTTCATAAGGGGGCCCTTGAAACACGAAGGTATAAAGAGTTTGTGGACTATGTCCACGACATCAGCAACAACAATAGCAACCCTGGGCAGTCTAGCGCGCTGTATGACATTTACCAGGAGACAGATGGGTTACGACAAGTCCGAGACGTGAGGGACGAGCTGAAAATGATCCGAGCGGTCTGGGAGAATCAAAAAGCTGTTGAGGACAAACTGGCTTGGAAATACGCTTACCCATTATTGAGTCCGCCAGATTGGTTTGCCTCGAATGTTTTGGATTTCACGAGATTGGATGAAGAAGCACAGGGTGTAGAGAAAAGAGTACGTTTCCTGTCCAAAGGGACAGAGAACCCCTTGGTATTATCATTAGACGATGCTGACATTGTAAACCAACCAGTTCAATCAGTTGCTCGATCTCAAGCAACAGGAAGCCAGCCTGAGCCTTGCTCGAGAGGCCGATAGACGCGACCGAGACGCGGAGAGGCGCGACAGGGAGAACGAGAAACAGTCCCAGCTGCTCTTCGCCTTCACCGTCATCACGGTCATCTTTGTGAGTGGGCCGGCCGATGTGATCCTTACCTTCCTGACTCACGATCGAGTTTGTAGACACCACTGAACTTCGTCGCGGCTTTCATGGCCATTCCGACCAGACAATTTCCCCATCAAGGGGACAACGTCAGCTGGAACTGGTGGCAAACGTTCGTCGGCATGCGTGAGATCCCGTTCCCTCCCCCTTGGCTTAAGTGATTTTAGAGGGAATGACGCTAACTCGACGAAATGTGTACAGTCATCGCGGAGATTGTTTCCGTACCCACGATTTGGTTCGCAGTTCAGTCAACACAGTTGCAGGAGCTGTTCAGGGCGATTTGGGCCAATCATGGAAATGCGGAGGCGCGGCCGGCTGAAGAGGATGAAGGATTGCAACCCTCCAAACCCGACAGCAGCCTTGTATGAAAGAAAGGTTCAGGCATGGGGCTGGCTCTCCGATGGAAGCAGGTAGAACGTGCGTAGAAAAGCGGCGGGGAGAAGAATTTTCATTTCCATTTCTCTCCGAGATTAAACACGCTATGGAGGATATGAATGCGAAGCAAATCCATCTCAAACCCTCTCCTCCATGCGCAAACAAACAATACAATGTATCTAGCAGCCGATCACCGAGACCATCACCAGCAGCCACCCACTCAGAAAGCTGCCTGATAAGGAGCGGAGGGAGGGATTGCGTCGAGGAAGAAGTTGGGAGCGGTACTTTGTTCGGTGAACTCGGACCTGAAGCCCTTGACGACGGCGGAGGAGCAGCCGGGCTTCGGGGCGGGCTTTCCCGCCAGGCGATCTTTGATCCACGACAGCCATCGCGCCGAACTGGCTTGGATCATCGGGAAGTGGTCCATGTCCTTGTAGGTGACAAAGTCAATGGATTCGCCCCATTTCTCCTGTGTCAGCAAGGAGCAGGTGCCATTGACAATCTCGAGGAGACTCGGGTAGTGGACGGCGGCGTCGCGCTCGCCGGCCAGCATCAGGATTGGGCCTTTCAGCTTCCGGTGGCCGTGCTCGGTGAACTCGGCGTATCTCTGTACGGTGGGGTCTTGGTACCAGCCGGGCTTGGTGGTGTTGAAAATCACGTCTTCGGTGCTGGTGGCCAAGGTGTAGGTGGGCAGACATACTTTGAGTGGCTCGACGACGTTCTTGTATCGATCGTAGCCGAGGGCCGTGAAGCCCGAGTAGTTGTAAGCGGGGAAAGCTGTCGTGACTGCAGCGACGAAAGCGGGCTGAAGTGTGAGGGCGGCAGTGCTCAAGATCTCGGGCAGTGCCGCCAACTGTTTCGCCAGAAGAGCAAAGTATTGAACAGCTGGTGCTAGCATGACGGAGCCTTTGTATCCGGGAAGAGGGTGGTCAACTAAACGTTCCGTGAAAGCCCAGATTGAGCCGCCTCCTTGGGAATGACCCATGCCGACAAATGGGCCATCCTTGGGTAGCTGGACAGGGAACGCTGCACGAGCAGCAGTCACTGCATATGCGATGTCAGCCGCGACAGATGGCCCCGCTAGATACGGATGTCCGATATGCTCTCCAGTTGGCAATTTATCGACCCCAAGGCCAAGGTAATCTGGTGCCACCACCACCATGCCCTCCAGGGCTAGCTTATATGGGACCATGAAGTGGTATTGCAAGCTTTTGTAGCTGCTAGGTGCGCAGGTCTTTTGGAAACCAGAGGTCCCATGTGCCCATGCCACGAAGGGAAATTGTCCGTCCTTGAGCTGAGGGCTTTGGAATGGTGCAAAAGGCCACAGGATGTAGGCGGATGTAGGCAATGTGGTACCGTTCAAATCGCTGGTTGTGTACAAGATTCGTGACATGGTCAGGCCACTTGGCACGGTATAGTTGGTGTAGTTGGTGACATATTCGACCTTGAGTAGTGTGCCTGGCTTGAGGGATTTCGAGAAGTTCGAGGGTACGTCATAGAATGCATAGTCGGTGGTGACTTTTTGACTGGCCTCCCAGGTCGATGAATTCGTTACTAGAGACGCACATAGTCCTGTGCAGGTAGTAGCGCTGAGATCTTGAGCCGCTACAGTGGGCGGTGAAGCTCCTAAGGAAAGGAGCAGGAGCGGAACGAGCTTTGTAAATGTAGAGAACATGGCTTTGACCATTGCGGGTGGTTCGAGGTGGTAATCTGGAGAAGTGAATCAAATGCCCTGGGTGAGGCCGAATCCAGTTTTATATCCTGTCATCCATCCGTTCCAGGAGCGGATAATTACGTCCATATTGATCATCGTAATCTCGTGAGGACCGCTGAGCCTCTTGAGCGGAGATGGTGACTTCAGAACTTACTCAAATTGTTATTTCGCGTATGCGCATCTGGCAAATAGCCGCTGGGCAAAACCCACATTTGAGTATGGTTCGTTCTTCAACTCCATTACATCTGTCCGACAACGTTTCGCAGAACGTGAAATACACTCGTGAAGGAAAGAGAGTGGTGGGATACCTCGAATTCACATGTCGATAATATGGGGGAAACAAGTCAAAGGTTGTATTGTCGTTGTTTGAAAGGAAGCTTATGAGGAGACATGGAGAAATCGAGATTCTCCAAACTTGCTGACTTACCTGATGCGTGGGAAGATAGTATCTAGCATGTCAGTTAGACTCCACACGATCATCAACCGTGGAACCTGCGTATGCGTATTGCGTATTCGGCTGTCAATGCATCTTGGGAGGCCTTGACTCGGGAAGCTTGGCGCTTGGATGAGATTGCAGTGCATCTTAGCAATTGAACAATTACTTCGACTTACCTAGGTAGTCTTTAGGCATGTCTCGTCTAAACCCGGCTCTCAATCAACGTTGAAGGGGAATAGTTGACGTTGCTTGAAGCTTCTGGTACGTCGGGGCTGAGAGGCATGTGACGTCATCTCCACCTCGAGCCCTTTAGAGAATGCTCAAGCACGTGCCATGGAATGTCAACTGTGACTTTCTCTCGAAGGCAGTGCCACGAAGACATCCTCGGGATGGGCTGTGTTTGGGGTTCTGCTTGGGGATGCAGTACTCATTTTTCCAGGCTCTCCTGTCATTGAGGGAGGAAAATGGGTTAAAAGCAGAATCAGCCTGCTTTTATGTGGTATTAGTCCTTTGCCTACTGCGCAATGGTATGCGCGAGATCGGCATGAGCGAGATCGGCATGAGCTGACTAGGCTTCACAATATTATGCCTGCTTCACAAAGCCCTGATGTGACGTGAGACAGTGGAGGTCAGGACTTTCTCGACGAAGTGTTATGGGGTGTGAGGAAGTTGCTCGCGGGGCGAGAATACGTCGATGGCAACTATAAAAGTCTGCTTGAGATCACTGGAGGTGATCCTGGGTCTCAACCAGTGCCGTACTCATGTGCAGATGACCTTCGCACTCACCTTACTCCTATGAAGGTCTGAAAATCGACGCGGTCGATATTATCGAGGCTCCGTAACCTCCACAGCCCGCGTACTTCTGTGAAAGTTTGAAAAGCGGCACTGCCCGGTTTCCCCAAGGTTTCATCACCTCCACAGACACCGTATTCTGGTGAAGGTTCAATAACATCCCATTTTGGGAGTTCGCTGAATATGCATTGTTAGTTGGAGGGGGCCACTGCAGGGAAAGAAGTAAAGGTGAGGCTTGGGAGATAGAATACCATTCAATCAGTACCACTATAAATATACCATGTCTGGGGAAATTTTGTCCAAGAAATATCTGAATGCACAAGGCGTGTCCATCTCATCTTTCGTCTCATAGCACCACATCAAATCTCGTCTCATTCCATCAGCCTGGTATTCACGATCTTGGAGAATCGCCCATAAAAAACAACAACAACAGAAAACAATCAAACACCAACAACGAAGTTGATATTGGGAGGATGTACAAGCCAAGTGGGATACACAAAAAAAGGGACGATGGTCAGTCCCAAAGCATTGATCCTCTCCAACACCGTCGCTAAAATGCAAAATGGTATCATGCGCAGAATGATCCAAGGGGGATCGTTGGTTCCCCAGCCAATAAACACTAATCGTCGCTCAGAGGTTGATGAATATTCTTGAATCACTTTTCCTCCGAGTAAACTCGAATATGTCCATCTTCTTCTCACAGATAGATCTCCTATCATTTGGGAGGTCCACTGAAGGTATCGTAAAGTCATCACAAACCACTTCAAGATCTTATTTATTTCAGAAGCCCTCCAATATCGGTGAAGGTCAAGTCGTCAGGGCCCTGAGGTCGTACGATGGGTTCTTCGTCCTCTTGGTGACTTGGTAGTCGACTCTTCTTGGATTCTCTTCGGTGATCGCCAAATCTCATGGGAGATCTTGCAGGCGAGCTCTTCCTTCGGGGTGCAGAGGTGATTTCGTCTTCTTCTCGAATATGCCTCGTCAGCAACCCGCCGATATCACTGAGGAAAGCCTTGGAACCAGATCTTGTCCCTGGATGGTTTTGAGTTTGACTGAGCCGTCTGGTTGATTCATGAATCGAAGTCTGACGAGATCGAATACTCGGTGAATCCAGTCCCTTCTCTACAAGACCACCAACATCGAAGAATCCCATTTTACTAGGAGTATCAGGTTCGGTATAGTCAGAGGTTGCAGGATCGGCCATTTGGGTCTTGAGTTCACGTAGTTTGATATCGGTGGAGGAACTGCTGACAGAATCCATTGATCCCTTCCTTCGATTTCGAGATGCGGCATCGAAGTTCCACTTGGATTTGAAGGTTGTATTGTGTGCATCCCCAGCTTCCAGGTCTTCGTGTGTATGGCCGGGTTCGGCTACTTCGGCCACTCTGGGAAGAGCGTCTGTCGTTGTGCCATGCTGCAAAGTCGCCGGCAATTGGAATGCGAAATCTCGAGCCAAGTCTTCATCTGAGCCCCAGTGGTGGTGGGTGACTGATCTGGAGCGTGTTCTCGTAGGTTGACGACCGAGGGAGCTTGTGTCATCGTTGAAAGAATTGGCCCGGAATTTGGCCTTCTTAACACCTTTGTCTCGAATGAAGCTACCAATGACAATGGCATTTGATACGAAAGCCGCTGCCAAAATTTCCAAGGAAGCCAGCAATGATCTGTACTGTTGAGAGGATCGACGGGAAATAGTGGAGGGGATTCGGTAAGCGGTGATGGCGATAAGGATAATTGAAAGGAGGAATAAAATGATTAGAGAGACTTTCTTCCGAAGTCGCATTGCCGATTGCCAGACCAGTGGAATGGGGTAGATGATGAGGACAATGTCAGTGACCATATCGCAGACGCCCATGACAATGAGTTGTACCAATCCTTCTCGACACCTTGGTCCCGGATCTGGAACCACCTGCCAGTAATGGGTGAATGGGTGGCATTCTGTGAGGGTGCTAATAACGACGCCGATGTAGGTGACGACAAGGAAGGCATAGATTAATCTCAGGCCCACTTCATAGGATTTGGCCCATGAGGCGCCGATCAGTCGTTTGAGGAATTCGAGGACGGTGAATTTGGCGATCCAGATGTAGGCAGCATAGAAGATGCGAGCAGCCAGGACCAATTTGCTCCCGATTTCGCGTTCTCGTATCTGGACCGCGCTCAGACCTTCTGTGACGGTATTATTGGTGCCCCAGAGGAGAATGACGTGGACGCAAGCCATGCGAGCGAGGAGGGGAATTGTGCTCCAAAACATTATTTTGTCCTCGAGGAAGAGCTTCTCTGTTCGAATCCATCTTCCAAAGAGTCTGATGCCGACGGCAGTCAGAGCAAAGAGCGTACACCACCATGAGACAATTAATGTAGGGTTTAAGTCTAGCTTGGTCTGTAGGTCGGGTGGCGCGCCATGATACATGCGGGAATCGAGATTATTGAGGTATGTCATGTTCACATGTAGTTATCGGAGGACTTCATATCCTCGAAGGATGGGGTAGTTGGAGGGGAGGGTATCTCGAGGCCTTTACAACGGCCATGGGCAGTAAAGGCTGGTGGTGTGGTACTGGTTCCCAAGCAGTGATGAGTTGGACGCTAATCGTCAAGGTCGGTCATAAGCTCAGAGCTGGGAATTATGATATGTACATGAAATCTGAGGCGGTCGCGGGTTGCTTGAGATCGCAAAAGACGAATTCGAGGTGGGATGGGAGCGCAGGTATGAGGTATTGAGATAGGCAACAAACAGGAAACAGGAACGACTAGATTAGCAGAAGGTCAAGAGACTGTGAATACGAAGTCGGCAGGCCTGTCATGACGGAGGAAGGTCGACTTGATGGGTATCGGGTTGGGGATAAGATGAGTGTGGGAGACAACGAGTCTAGACTGGCTGGGAAAGGACGATGGCGCAGGAAGAACGATAACGGGGATAGCATGTTGGGTGATGGACAGTGGTGGACAGTGGTGGATAGAGGTGGGCAGATGCGGCACTGTTGCCCACAACATGGGTGTCGCCCGGGGCCGGTACTAGAGATGAGACTGGAAGGGGAAAGGTGGGAGATTCGAGGTGGTGGCGTAGGAGACTTGGATGCATGCATTGCAGCATGGCGTTGATAAAACTGACAGGGGGGGAGGAGGAAAAGATAAGGCACGACTAAGTGAACTTGAACTTGAACTCGCTGGCCATTATTGATAGGGTGATTGTCGGTCGTTCGGGATCAGAATTGGGTGGCACCAAGACTGTCTGGGACTGGCACCAAAGGGTCAACCATTTAGAGGCCAACAATCAATCAGCATCAGCATCAGCACGGCCCCTGCCTGCCTGCCACTGCCACGAGTTTCTTGGTTATCGGTGTGGTTGGGATGGGTGGTCCTTGGGTCAGACATTTGGAGGGGGAAGCGCCCGAGAGGACTGAGGCTTCAGGGTCTTTAGGCACTTCGGGCGTCATACCGAGGGGAACAATGGGTGTTATTCGAGGAGACGTGATTAACTTCCAGGTGGCCAGCTAGCTAAGACAAGCTAAACTACCTAGGTGCCTAGTTAACGGTCTCTGCCGTTTGTCAACCTCTCTGCTCCTTATGCTTCTCCTCACATCCACCAGCAGATAAGTGACCTTGACCTTGGCGGTTCATGCCACTGAAAGACAAGTACTTTAGCTGCAAGCAATAATGGTTCGCATCTTTCATAGTACCTCGTACCTGATGTTTGGTCTCCGGTGATACTCAGGCATGTTCTGCTGCCTCTTCCTCAATACCTCGCGCTCTTTCAAACCAAAAGAACAAAGCACAAAGCACATGCTCAATCCCTCGGCTGTTCAATCCATGGACACACATCCTTATCCGACACTCCACTGTCGGGTCCACCTCTGGACATCTGCCGCCGCAGCCACTGGCATCGAAATGATTAATTATTGAAATACCTTGTCCGCTCTCCGTTCTCCGTACTCTATCTGGTTGCACTGCTTGACCATGTCTTAGTTCTTGGTTTATGCAAGCACCTGATTTTATGATTTCGCCTCTTCTTTCTTCTTTCTTCCTATCACCGAATCACGACATTAATTCCAGACCGTCACGCTTTATCATCCCCCAATTCTTCTCGCTCTTTTGAGGAAATGGCTCAAACATCAAACCGATAATGAAACAGTCATTCCAGCAACTACTGCAAGTTGTGCTGAAACGACCGACGATTCAATCCTGCAGATGATATAGAGTAAGTCACAAACATTGGCGGTTACGACATTTGACTCGCGCTCTGTGTGCATGTGCAGGTGCAGGTGCAGGTGCAGGTGCACTTGCCGCAAGCCAAGTTGAACGTTGACCGCTCGGCACACTTTCCCCGAACAATCTGCGGGTGTTCCGCTTACATTAGCACGCCGCCTTGAGTGATCACGTGCTCCACCCTCATGTCCAGTACGAGTATTCAAGGAACATGCATCTTGGTGATCAGCCTCTCTTGCCGAGAATGCTATCCAACCCTCTCCTCTCCATCTAGAGTTTTGATAACATGGGACAAGGTAAGCTTCTGGGCAATGATTGAGAACAGGCTCGACTCCGCCATGTACCTACCTACTCGGTATCAGTACCTTTTCATATTACCACACAGCTTGCACTGACTCACATCAAGTGGACCACTTGATTCCGCGTTTCTTCCGTGACTTGAAATCGATCTCTGTTGAACAAGGATGTACCAATTCTTTCCATCCAGTCAACATCCCTCTCTCTTCAAACATAACATCGTGTTCGGTGAAATGAATTATGCAGCGCGGCAGTGCACGTTCTTGACAACTCAAGTCTAGTCTTGCTGTGTTACTGGGCTCCAACGAATGGTGTCGGCAACTTCGGACTTCTTTGCAACCGCCGATGCCGATGCTTTGCCTTCAAGAAATGCAAAATACCAAGACAGGACAACGCTGTGGCAGCATGCGGCTGGGACTCTCTCATGCGTCCTGGGCGCACACAAGACGAACGGCGAACACGAGCCTGGACCAGAGCATGGACACCTGATGTTCTTGTCTCCATTGCTCATGTTTGATACAGTATCCTGCTTCACGAAGCCGACATCTATAATTCAAGCTTCACGCATTGCTCAGGTGCTGCCAGCCTCGCAGGATGGATCATTAATTGCGCGGGGTTTTCTGGAGAGCGGTATAACAAACTGTGGCACGAGTTGCTACGCGCAGAGAATATGGATATCAAGAAACAAGGCCGACGTTGGACGACGATTTCAAAGCACTCGTCGGACTCGGGCATTTTTATGGCCTAGATAGCGAGATCTAGTGACCGAACGATCTATTTACTCCTTTGTCCTGCATGGGAAGAAGACCTTTTAGTCGCAAAGCTATCCTCAACAACGAGCAGACTCAACGACATGTGAACAAAGTGACTAGACACGATGAAATGCAAAATGATGTAATGTTGCTATTAAAATGCCCCAATCTCCGGGGTAGGGCATAAACAAACTTCTATGATGCTTCAAAACAGCCAAAAGTTAAGATACATGTTGTCGCCATGCCCACATCGGACCTTCGCGAACATTGGCTGCTCCTCTCGAGAAGTCGGGCTTCGTCAACCAGCGCACATACAAGCACTTCGTTGAGGATATCACAATACCACGTCATAAAGGTAATTAGTATGTTTCGTTGAGCCAGGCCAACATCTCTTCCGAGACCTCATCTTCAAATGCTGCATCGTATCGACGTTTACCGAGGACTTGGATTTGGACTTGGACAGCACCACGAATTTCGGTTTGATACTCGCGAAGGGAGCGTGCATAGTTTGAATAGTCGATGGACGCCTCGTCGTCACTGTAGGCGGACTCGGACTCCCAGGCGGATTCATTGTCGGAGTACTCGGACTGGCTGTAGGTATCGTCGTCAACCTCTTTGGTGTCCCAGCTGAAATCGGAGTATTCGGACCCACTGTCACTGTCACTGTCGTTGTCGAACTCCTCGTATTCGAGACCGGCAAAGTTGGAGGCATGATACGGAACCAATTGGAGTCCTTGTTCGTTGTCCTGGTCCGTGGTCGATTGAGTCTCACTCATATCCTCGTCGACTTCCTCGATAGTTGACAGTGAGCCACGGCGGTAAAAAGAATGTGTGCCATTGGAGAGCGACCAACTCGATTGGTGGTCTGATTCTGAATCTGTTTCAAGATCCTCGATCTCCAGTGGGACTGATGGGTATTCGTCGTAAGGCGAGAGCGAGTTTTCGAAGTCGAATGCTGGTACGAAACGCTCTTGGATGATGACGATTTTTACAAGGAGAACTTCGGCCAGAATCACCGTCACGTTGCCGTGGCAGTCGCGGTAGAGCTCGACATAGACATAGAACCATCCTTGAATACTGATGATCAGGGACTGAGTGCAATATCTGAGGAAGATAGTCGTTGGGGTGAGCGTACAGCCGGCTAGAAATGTGGTCAATTCGCGACGGCTGCCTTCGGTACTGACGACCCAATCCCGAACGGCGGTGCCGATCAAATTCAGGAGGCAAGGGTGAATGGATCGGTCATAAGCTCTCGGATAGAACATCCCAGGTCCATGAGAAGACAGAGTGCACGGAAAGCGGCAGACTCGTTGCGATACTGGTAGAGACAGTTGCGGATGATGCACACAGCCAGATTCTTCAAGTATTTGACTCCTGGAAAGACGAGGTATGATTTGATGATCGCCAGATTTCGATAGAAACACCAGATGACGTGGCACATCAGAGTCAAAAGGAATCTGCTTAGAAAGACCAGACACAGATAGCCAAGGATCTCGGCTTTGACCATGTATGGATTTGGCAGAGCGAAATACACTTTAGTCAAGACAGTGTCGCGGGACGAACGCATTTCTGTTTCGAAGTGGTTGAAGATGAAAGCATAGAGGAGTGTTGGAAAGCAGAGAAGCAAATAAGAGTAGAGAATATGCTTCAAAACGGATCTGCAGACGTGGAAAATTGGAAGGAAGTCCATTGCGTTGATATAACTGTGGTGGTGCTTTTGAAGGAAGGCTAGAACTTGTAGGGTTTGTGGTCTTGGTATGATTGAAATTGTGTGAAGGTGAGTACACTTGGTTGCTGGTGAGCTTTGGATTTTGGTGATTGCTGCTAATAGTTTGGATATGCTTTTGGAGCTAGGTTGTTGATTGAAGGTTGAGATTTGTAGGAAGACGATCCAGTACAGTTCAACTCAATGTTCTTATATGCATTGCATAAGGATGGGCCTTGAGGTTGAGCTGGCGGCATAAAGACCAATTTGATATCACTGCCTCACTTTGTGACACCCCTCAGAAAGGTATTATTGCTCTGTGATCAACGTCTTGTGTTTTTGTCCTTTGTGTTCTGAGTTTCATGTTTCGAGCATCTCTAGATAAGTCCCCAGCCATGCCTGATCGGTGCGTATACAGTTCATTGTTCTAGAGCGCTGCCTGTGTCTCGGAGTCTGGAGTTTGAAACATATCTCAGTGCTCAATAGTACCTAATAGCACAGCGTTCAGACATGGATTCACGTCAACCAAATACCTAATGCCAATTCTCGAACAAGGCTGTCTGCCAAATCACCAGCAACAAAAGGTTCTGGCACACGACAAAGAAATCTTAAAGCGGGTTACTGCTAAGTACTGAAACAAATCAGACGAGAATGATGTCTTGGTCGCAGGCAGTGTTGCAGGATCAACTATATTCCCTACTTATTGTGATAGGTGTAGAAAAGAAGCTGGATTAGCAACAACCGGCCGATACTTTGTGAAGAAGGAGATCCTTGCAGACTTGTAGATAATCTATCTTCTAGTACATAGCAAAATCTAATTGGTCCAACCTAAAGCTAGATGTCTAGATGTAGGACTAATGGAGGGCAAATTGCGTCGATAACAATATAGGACAACTTCTATTGTGGTGGATATTCAAATCTGTCTCTGAACGATAATATACTTTGATGTTGTAATACTTGTTTACTTATAGTATCTAGACTTGACCTAACTCTATGATTTCGATGAATACATTCTGTCCTTATGCATCGTAAAATTCCTTACCAGCCTATCGTTTACGAAAGTACCAGTCAGGTAGCTATACCAACCATATCCTAGGGTATAATGCACAGTACACATCTTCGAGTGTAGTATCATTTCTCGTAAAAATGTGGGAGCGCTCTAGAATTACTCTTCAAATATCTTAGTTGATGCTTTGAGAACAAGGCTAACACTACTGTCTGTGTCCTCCTTAACGCCCAACTTGCTCCCTCCACATCTTCGCATACAAACCTCCCTTTCGTGTTATTAATTCATCATGTCTCCCTGCCTCCTTGACCCTGCCATCATCAACAACAAAGATCCTGTCCGCATGGCGGATCGTACCCAGTCGGTGCGCAATGACAAGGACCGTCTTGCCCACACTGAGCTCTTTCAACGTTACTTGTATTTGTGCTTCTGTGATGCTGTCTAAGCTGCAGGTTGCTTCATCAAGGAGGAGAATATCTGAGTCTTTCAGAATTGCCCTCGCTATCGCAAGCCGTTGTAGTTTGCCGCCTGAGAGCTTTGTGCCGCGCTCTCCAACCTTTTCCCTGTAGCCGTGGGTGAAAGTCAGGATTCTGGAGTGCAACCCTGCGGCTTTGGCAGCGCCTATTGCAGATTCATCAGAAGCGTTTGGGTTGGGGTACTTTATATTCTCCGTGATGGTCACTGTCTCAGGAAAAAGTCATCAGTAGCTGTTATGGATAACCGTCTGGTCTAAGGAAGGTTTTAGGTGATTGAGTCAAATATTAGTAGCCGTTGATAGTTCGTGCTGTATCTCTTTTGCAAAGTATTAGACTTACTGTTGAATACCTGAGGATTCTGCGATACCGTTGCAATATGTTTGCGGAAGCTAGCCATCTGTAGCGTCTTGATATCCTGTCCGTCTATCAATATCCTCCCCTGCTCGATGTCATATGATCTATAGAGGAGATTGAATATTGTGCTCTTCCCGCCTCCACTGAGTCCGACTGGTGCGGTTGTTTTGTCTGGTTCTGCGCGGAAGCTGATACCGTCTGTAACTGTTCTTTGACGGTCATAGGAAAATGTAACGTTCTCGAATTCGATGGCACCGCCTCTAAAGATAAATGGGTTGGCAAGTTCCTCATCACATACGGCTGGATTTTTCTCTAGCAGGACTAGGAGTTTCTCAGTTGAAACTGATTTGTTCCCGATATCTGTGAATTTGCTCGCCAGAAAGCCGAGTGGGCGTATAAGCTGTCCCCAATAAGTGATGAGTACGACAAAATCACTGATCTTGTGCTGATGGTGGATTATTTGAAGAGCTGCGATAGCGCAGGCTGCAATAAAACTCATGGTCGGGACGAGTTGACGGACTGCGCGGGTTATCATGCTGTAGAAATAGGATTTCATCGCCAGAACTTGAACGGCTCTGCTTTTATCACGGTACCTGCCGATCTCATATTGGATTTGACCGAACTGACTGACTGTATTCCAATTGATGAAGGATTCTGACATCTGATGGTCTGCATCATGAAACGCATCCACATATAATCGACGAAGAGCGGTCTTCTGCTTTAACGAGGTGAACATGATCCAATAGAACACCACCGTTGTGAGAGTAATAGTGTACAACATATATGGACCGAACATATATGTAAGAACCGATGCAGCAGCGATAACATCTAGGAGCATAGGGAAGATGACAAACAATACATCATTAAAAAGATCAATGACTTGTTGCCCGTTATGGATGATACTATAGGTGATGTTGGTCTTTTTCGAGTCGTGGAAGTCCGCGGAGAGGTTCATAATTGCGTTGTAGGAGTGTTGTGTAAGGTTGGTCGTCATTTCTATGTTCATTTTAGCTGAAAGCCAATCACGGACCAAGAAGATTCCAGCGTCAGAATTCGCGAATGTCAGGGATCCATACAGTGCTATTGCCCTCCACGGCATGTGGAAGCCGTCTAGCAAGTCAATCACACCCCCCAGGCATAGAGGTGTAACTGTTTCCAGGATCCCGCCGAGAAAAGTGCAAGTACAAATCCCCACAAAGTGGATCTTCTGCTGCCCGGAGCTTGGATACATGCAGGGTAGGAGGATCTTGAATGACGCCAGATATTGCCAGACTGGTCGATCGCGAATTTTTTCTCTGTCGAGTTCCTCTGGATATTTCTCCCTATCCTCCTCGCGATTTGCAGTTGGTTGTTCCGTACCCAGTAGGGGCTGAGCCTCCTCTGGAGTAACAGCCTCTCCTGAAGAGGCGATACCATGGTGTAAAAGACTGGTAATGATCAAGGCTGACTTTAGACATATGTAGCAGACCTGCAGCATCACTTTCAAGGAGAGAGGTGCGCTCGCTTCTCCGGCTCGTTCGATGCTGCAAATTCCGCAAGAACAGAATAGGAGGATTGACCATGCTCCATAATGTGGATATCCTGCCATGCCCCAGCAGTTGAATAGGCCAAGGAGAAGAATAGTCCATACTAAATTCGAGAAGAGGTATTAAACAAGCTCCGGATCACCAGTTGAATAAAGATTAGATGACTGAGCGGCCACGAAAGCCTCAGCAGCGGTGACCACAATCATAATGCAACTAATGCATATTTGGACCATCCACAAATTTGATCTTTTCTGATTGTATTCATTGCCGAATGTGAATGATCGAATGAGGGTCGTGGTGAGGAAGAATAAGATTGCTGCGATGATTCCAGCAATCTTGAATACTCGATCAGGGCTCCTAAGGCTTGGAAGGGCCATGATTTCCGTGGTGAGCATTTTGCAGTTCCGTAGTAGTAGATCTATCTGAATTCAGTGATAGTATGGCGGAGGCCTTATAGCACCTCGCCTATACTTCCGTCCATGTCGAAGCTTTGACTAAAGCATAATTCCATGTATACAACTTGATTGATGACAGGGGAGGGGTGTAGGTGGGAAAATCCTGATTCGATTGCCCTGTCTGCGCTGCTAGGAAGAGTTGTTTGCCAGATACTAGGTTGTTACCACTCAGCGGGCAGAATTGAACAAACAGGTCCTTTGTGATTGTAAACTGACTTAGGCATGTTGCTGGAAGGGCTCAAGTGAGCCTCGAAAAGTCTTCTGATCGACTCTGGTTCTCGGCCTATTCCCTAGAGAATCGAGACTGTCGCAATAATTCAACTATGTCAGTAGTAAGCATGTCCTGCGGCAAAAGTCTTGTGGATTTATTGGCAAGCTAACAGATGAACAAAGACGCTATAATTCCATCCGGCTTCAAAAGGAAGGAGGAACCATGAGTATCGCTTGCACTTGTCGATTCCAAGGCTCACAGTTTACCACTGGATCAGAAGAGGTGAAAGGCCCCTCAAAAGATTCCTGATAGCTGCTGCTGTGTAACATGCCCTACTCAGCTTGCGAGAGCCAGATCCTTCTGTTCACCTCCGTTCGTGGCAAATTCCGCCCCCGAATACGGATTTGTTCTTGCCGATTTTTACCAAAAAAAGAGCCATGTCACCTTGATAGTTCGAGTCAGCCCGAGCAAAGGACAACCTACCCCACTCATGAACGTATTATAGTTCGCTTTCATCAGCCTATCAGAGGAAAATGAGTGAGGAATATGCGATCCGAAGACAGTGTATCACACGCTAAAAGTAGGGGTTACCAGAGACCAAGTACGAGAGACAAAGACCGAGGGCAATATGTGCACTAAAGAAGTGGCATTTGCTGCCAGATCCGCGCCCCAATAAACAATCAAATGTATTAGTGAGTATCTATTCGAGCTAGATCTCCGACCCACTCTACTGTCACACAGTATTATGCACGATCCAATCCGATGGCCTCACACTCATTTCCAAAGATGAGTTATATGCAGGCGACCCTTTTCGTCCACGAGGCTTTTCGATCACCACAACGTCGTTTACCCTCGCCCAAGATCAAGCTGCCTGACCAACGGAAGATTAGACTTTTCGTCGACTTCGATACCAAGAAAGGGAAGTACTGCGGCGGCAACAGCCTCCTTGAACAAGCCTCCAACAATCTTGTCCTGCAGGCCTCGCCCAGTCTGCTTGAAATCCGGGTACGCATTTAGCTCCAGAAGCCATATGTTAGCGTCGGTGTCCACTAGAAAGTCGACACCAAAGATTTCAAATGCATTGGGCAATGTTTGAAAATGTACCATTTGCTCTCTGGCAGCCGCTTCGAACACATCACCCGTAATCTCACAGATCTGTTCGAATATTCTCTCTTTCGTTTCCGGCATGGTTTCCGGGAACTCGAGGCCCCAGAATGCATGAACAGACGAGCTCTTGGTCGACTCGTCCTGGAAGCATGTATTTGTCAGATGCTGTGAGAGGTCCAATAGGTCAATGTCCTCGGCTTTGGATGGCGGTTGGTAGGGAAGTGCTGCAAACAGCGCTAGCATTTCCCTGTATACATAGACCTTGAGGGCACCCACAGCTAGCACATAAGTTCGGATATGAAATTTTCTTTGGCCATATGCGTCGAGAAGCAGTGGTGGGTCGATGTATGGTTGGGCAATGAAATGTCGGAGTTGTGATGTCATGGCGTTACCGTCAAATTCATCGTGAGGTTTGTCCTTGTCTTGCCCTTGCGACCGAGCAGGACTGTCCTCGTTTTCAATCCCGTCTTCATCTCCCTCCTGCGAGTCTGAGTCTTCTTGTTCCTCCCACTCCTCGAAGATAGATTGAAGTTGTGCAATACTCGAGAATAGACGGATGCCATTGCCGCCATCACTCATCCCTGGCTTCAAAATCCACCATTGCTTATCCTTCGGAGACTGAGCCAGGTCATTCTTGGCCATACTTTCTTTCAAATCCCAAGCATCTACAAGTGCATCATCCAGGAACTCGGCATAGTCAAGCTCAAAATGCACACATGGTTGGAAATGCTTGGCCAAGGTGCTATCCTGGTGCTTCACGAGCCACGTGGATATCGTGTTTGACAAGTAGTGTTTACGGATCAAAGCCTTTCGTATGACGTAAGCACAAACAAGTGAGCTCTTGGGATATTGCAGGGCATGCTCGAAGTCCAATGATTCATAAGCGGAAAATTGGAGTACAGAGTCTGTGGCACTTGGGAGCTCACTGAGAGAAGATATGAAGTTGATTGATAAGCTCTCTAGAGCTTCAAGAGCTTGCACGAGTAGTGGTTGTACGTAAGCATCCGGGTATGCAACCACAGCATTTAGTTTTTGTGGTTGGTTCTCGGCCGAAGTGGTAGGTTTTCCGTCTGATTGAGCGTCATCTCTATAGCACATGTATCAGTTGCTATTGTGACCTCGAAACTCAAGCGGGCCATCTATGACAACTTACTCACAGCTTAATCTCGCCGGTGTAGTGAGGCAAATGCCAGAAGTTTGCAATGAGTGGTGTGACCCTAGGTCTGTTAGTCTGACAAGTTTGACAAAGTCACAGTTTGGACAAACATACGTGACATTTCCCTGTGAAACCTCCCAACCATCACCCCTTTTCGCATCTGCAACAAATCCGTGGACATCAGCAAAAGTGGGTGACCACTTGAATTTCCGGTGTGCCCGCCGTGGTGGTTTGCTGACGGTTCCATTTGTAGAATTGTCGCCGTCACGAATGGCCTGTTCTTCAACGTTTGGGTTAACGTCATCGGCCTCCTCAGGCAGTTCTTTGAATGAACTCCCATTTATCCACCTATTCTGCAGCATTTCAGTGTAGAGAATTTTAGTGTTCTCGACTCCTTTTCTCAGTGGGACATTGACACTGTAGAGGTGCACATCTTCAGGCCAATCTTTGACCAATTTCTCGATCAGCTGAGTGCTCAGTTTTGAGGCAGCAGAGATGATCTCGGGGTCATGTATTCTCGAGTCAAAAGCATAAGATAGAGCAATACTTCTCGTGCCGTTCATGGCGCTTTCCATTGCGCCACCAATAGTACCACTCGACAGAGCAAACACGGCAGTCGTGTTTCTCCCATAGTTGGGTCCACTGACGACCAAATCAATGGGTCCCCTATCTTTGAAAAGATAGTGCAGACCAATTTGAGCACAACTAGCAGGTGTGCCGTCTATGAGAATCCACTCTTCTCCGCCGTCGTCAAAAGGGCGCTCAGAAGTGATGCCATCATCGTTGTGAAGAGTTCCTGGCCGGAAATATGTTGGTGTCAGAGTCTGGCCCACAATATGGGCTTTGCCAATCCACGATCTTTGTACATGAGGCAGAACTACAGAAACTTGGTGCCCTGCTGCCTCAAGCGTACTCACTAATGAGTGGACGTATGGTGAGGACTGGTTAGACGGTGGCCCATCGTCATTTGTGACCTTGTTTGATCATGTAAGTTTATCATTACGATTTTCCCAGATATCAGTGTGACTGAGAGGCCTGGGATATGACTTACAAGAATATGCATGGTCTGGGGGAGGAGAAAACAAATCTATCGAATGGAAATGAACGCAGTAACAAGAACAAAGGATTAGAAAGTCTTTCGAATACTGCGCAATTTAATGATGGGAATGGAGGAATTTGTCAATGTCGATATCATCGAAAAACTTTGGGACCGGTCACATGAATTCATATTTCTTCCGAGGCTCGGAGGTGACGTGATGCAAGTCCGGAATCATTTATTTCATTCTCCCCGAAGTTTTACCCTGTCCTCCCCACTTTCTCACCCTCCACCTTTGGAGTTCACGTTCATCTCGAGACAAAAGTACCACTATCTGGCTCTTCTCGAACCGAAGCAAAATGCCACAAGAATCCCACCGAGCACGATCTCGATCTCCACATCGCTCCGAGCGAAGATCAAAACACAGATCTCGATCTCCGCACGAAAAACCGCGTCGAGTAAAACCTTCAATCGAACGAAAGCCACTTCCACTGGGTGCCCGTGAATTATCCCGCCATGACCTCTCCGCCTTCCGGCCAATGTTCGCTCTCTACCTAGACATACAAAAGCAGATATACATTGACGATCTCGATGAGAAAGAGGTAAAAGGGCGATGGAAGAGTTTTGTGGGGAAATGGTAAGACTGCCACCATTATGCTTCAATCCAAGCCATACATTACTGAGGACTGAGTACTGACATGGCAGGAACCGTGGAGAACTTGCGGAGGGATGGTATGACCCTCAGACTTTCGAGAAGGCGAAAACATCTGCCTCCGAACCTGTCTCACATAAAACTACATCGCACATGAGACGCAGAGCAACTCCGTCAGATGAAGACCGAGAGCCTAAAGACGCAGAAGAGGATGATGAGGATGATTACGGCCCTGCACCGCTATCATACAGTGTCCATGCGCCAAATACGGACCTAGACCATGGATCCAACCACAGACCCAGCGCAGGTGCATCAATACCCACGCTGTCCGACCTGCGCGACCGCGACGAAGACTCCCGGCTTGCCTCCTCCCAGGCCCGCACCTCAGAATACACAGCCTTCAAGACCCAAAGACAGTACGACCGCAAGGAACAAAAAGCGCGGCTGGACGAACTCGCCCCGCGCGCCGAAGCTGGAACGCGCGAACGCCAAATCGAGAAAAAGCGGGAAATCGCAGACTCGAACCGCGCGTTCTCGGCTGCGAAGGACGCAGGCGGCGACGTCGACCTACGAGACGCGGAGGTAATGGGCGACGAAGATAGCTTGGGCGAGGTGAAGCGGATGAAGAAGGAAAATGAACGGAGGAAAAATGAGAGAGAAATAAGGAAGGAGGAAATTTTGAGAGCCAGGAAAGCGGAAAGGGATGCGCGTTTAGCAGGGCTCAAGGAGAAGGAGGATCGTACAATGCAGATGTTCAAGGAGATTGCGAGGGCGAGGTTTGGTGGTGGTGGCGGCGAGGAGCAATAGAGTCAGGAATTGTTCTGGATTCTTGCATGGCATGTGTATAGAGTGAATGTAAATTCCTACATCGCCATGGCTGAAGCCTGAGTTTTATGGCAATTAATCGTCACCAAAATCCCAAAAATCCAACCACGATTACACTAGAACAACCTCGCCTACTCGCTTCATTAACTTGCGTTCAGCGCCGCAACAGCATCTGCACCATCTTGTTGCTGCGGCGCACTGCTGCTGGCACCGGCATTCGCCCCACTGGTATTCAGTCCACTGCTGAAATCCTTGGCTTTGTTCTGTGCCGCCATCTGCCATGCAGGTATGGCAGCCTTGTTAGCGGAGCCAGCGAAGGGGACCGCTGATGCTGGTCTTGTCGCTGGTGATGCCGTGGGAACAGAGGGTGTGGTAGCGGAATGTGGAAGTTGGGGGGCATTGCCGTACGATGAAGGTTGTCGGACCACTGGTGAAGCAGGTGAGGCAGAGTCGGTAGATGTCGTGGTTGTCGCAGTGGGATTTACGCTTCCGCCAGTGGCGGCGGCTACTTGTTGGCGGGTGATGGGCTGGGTGGCTGGGGCGAAACCGCTTGAAGAACCAATACGATTGCCCATAAGTAGTTTCAAACTCGCCAGTTCCGTACTCAGTTCCTTGAGTTGTCGTTCACTGGCGTCTTTGACGCTGTCGATCGATCTCGGGAGACTGTCTTTCATGCTCTTGATTTCAGATTCCATCCGGCGTGCATCGTCTTCCCGTCTCATGTTCGCGGCCTTGAGATCGGCAACTATGGATTCAATGTCACCGATGGCATTATCCAGCCGTTGTGTTCGGGCTTCTTCAGCTTCTTTCAGGGCAGTGGTGTCTGTAGATAGCGTGTCGAGAAGAGCAAATGCCTTATTGAATTGTTCATCGATGGCGGCCTTATCTTGTTCCAGCTGCTGCGGCGTGGGTGGTGCTATCAAAGGTTTGATGTACCTTTGCGCGAGAACATAAAGACCATAGCTCGCGCCTCCTACCACTGTGGCCATGATGAAATAATCTCGCCAATCACGACGAGGAGGTTCAGGTGGTGGAGGAGGTTGCCATTCGCCATATGGATTGTAAGGGTAAGGATATGCTTGGCCAGGAGGACCTCTCCATTGCTGTTGAGGTGGGGGATAGTATTGAGAAGCGGATGAAGGAGCTACTTGAGATGGGTCACCCCCAGCAGCGGCGGCGGCTCGAGCAAGAGCGACATCGACTTCTTCTTGAGTCAGGTTCCGGGACTTCAGGAATTCAATACGTTTCTCCAGGGGTGCTGCTGCGACAGATGGATCTTGTAGGAAGGTAATGGCGGATGTGACGAGTTCCTCTCTGGGTGCCATGATGGGCGGGGGAATGGACGACTTGGCTCAACACATGCGGTGTCAATAGGGTCACCAGCGATATAGAACAGAACAAAATAGAATGCTAATGGGAGATCTGAAAGCGGCCTGGAAATACAAGACGTGATGGATTGAATAATTGATGGATTTGCCGGGGATGATTTGATGGCATTGACCTGATCCATCATTTCCAGCCGCAGCCTTTTTTGCCAGGCCGAGGTTCATCGACATCACGTGGTTGGTGCTTGTCACATGATGACGGGGAGCACGTGCTGTGCTTCGCTGAGTCATCCGTCGTCGTGGTAACTACTCCCACTCCGCGGCAGGCTAAACCAATTCCATCATCATTGTTGACATCGATGTCAGATTCAGGCTCAACAGCATAACTCCTGCCCACCAGACTCCACCTTTCAAACCACACCTGATTTCTGTCAAACGCAACACCATCCACAGATAAACTCTTCACAGAAATCATCATAACGACATCAACTTCCCATCGAACTTCTGCTACATACCCATCGACGATCGACTGTACCTGCGCGACGCGCCCACCCTCAACATGTCACAACCGACTGGCATGTTCAGTGTGCGCCGGCCCCGCGAAACCCTTGGGACCATTCAAAACTTCTCTGGAATACCTCAACCTGCGTCTGCAGTCAAGCGCACTTCCTCCAGCAATGAAATACGCAATGTACAATACACAGCTTCTCACATCAGGTCTACCTCAATCAATCAGACCATGCAACGACCCGCTCAGCCAAACTTTCATCGATCATCCTCAGGAGGGAACCTGGCGGATATGGGAATGTCAACAGCACGAAGGTCTGTTTCTACAAATATCTTTGCGGGAGGTCACACGGGGAGACAAAGTCTTGCGCCAAATCAGCTATTTGGTTCTCAGACACCAGCCTCGCAGAGCCTGCAACGTAGGAGCAGCATCTTCTCAAGACCTTCTGGCCATGCGCCAGTTGCTCATCAATCATTCTTCTCTCAACCACCCGTTCCAGCTGGAATACCCAAGGATCCCCGACCATTGAGAGACTCGTCGTATAGGGCGCGACTAAGTCAAGAGCTATTAGACTATTTGACTCAAAACAACTTTGAGATGGAGATGAAACATTCATTGACACAAAATTCAGTGAAGTCTCCTACACAAAAAGATTTCACCCTCATGTTCCAGTGGGTATATCGACGTATTGATCCTGGGTACAAATTTCAGAAAAGTATCGACACTGAAGTTCCACCAATCATGAAACAGCTACGATATCCCTACGAGAGAGATATTACCAAATCACATCTAGTGGCTGTTGGTGGACAGAACTGGCCCCGTTTTCTCGGTCTGCTTCATTGGATGATGCAACTGGCGCACATGTTGGACAACTTCTCTCGTGGTGCATACGATGATGCATGTGCGGAGGCTGGAGTTGATGTTGGAAGTGACCGAATCGTGTTCCGATTTCTTTTCGGGGCATATCAAGATTGGCTTCAAATGGGTCCAGAAGACGATGAAGAAAGCGAAGAGGCAGCTCTACAGCCCCATATGTTGGCGATGGCTGACGAGTTCCAACGAGTCAATGCCAAACATATAGAAGAGCTCAAATTGTACGAAGCTGAACATGAAGCGCTGAGAGCCCAAGTGGAAGAGTTTGAGAGAAATGCACCTGACATTGCCAAACTCGACAAGCATTTCAAAATTCTCGAGGACGACAAGAAGAAATTTGAGGAGTACAATCTCAACGTGCAAGCCAAAATTGAGAAATACGATTCCCGAATTAAAATCCTGGAAGCCGAAATACAAAAGGTCGATGCAGATCTGCAGATGGTCGAGCAAGAAAGAAACAATCTGCAGCAGTCGGTCGATCGACAGGGGCTGAACATCCAAGATATTGATCGGATGAACACCGAGCGTGAACGACTGAGCAAAAGTCATGAGGATGCTCTTGCCACCCTGGACGAAGTGAATAAAAAGGTCTTGGAAAAAGAAGCCGAAACTGCGCAAAAGCTTGAAGACCTCGAAGCCATCGTCAAACGATATAACTCATTAGGATATCAAATGTCCCTGATCCCCTCAACGGCACACAATGCCAATGGAGTCTCATATGAGCTTAGCCTCAACATCGTCGACAGTGCGCCAGTCTTCTCGTCCTCGCAAAGCCGCCGCAACCGCGCGAGTCCGGACAGCTCAGCAGACCGACTCCTCTCCGACACGAACGTAGGCTACTCGCCAATGCATCTCCTAAATCTGGACTTACGAGGCCAAGTCCGCAATGCTTTCATTTCTCTCCGTAAGGAGATCAACGAGCGCCGTAAAGCAGCCGCAGACGCGGACCACGACGCCCGCGACTTCCTCGACAACATCTCCGAAGCTCTGCATGAGAAACACACCGAGATCGACAATCTCAACTACCGGGTCAACGAAGCGAGCCACAGCTATAATGCGCTGAAAGAGAGCAACAACACGATCTACACGCAACAGACTTCAGCGATTGAGAAACTCGAGAAAGAACTTGCACGCATGCGGGAGGGTCTGGAGCGCGGTGTCGTTGAGCTCGAGCAGCGTGAGATGGAGGTCGGAGTCGCGTGGGAGGCGATGCGCGAAGAGGCTGCCAGGGTCAGAGAGGAACTGCACTCCGGTATTGAGCGATGTCTGGAAGATGTTATCAGATTCAAGGTCCATGTTCAGAAGGGGCTTGAAGAGTTTGAGGGTTGGGTGGGCGATGAGGTCGAGTTGGAGTTGTTGGGGGATGAGATGGAGGGTGTGAATGTTGGAGATCGCGATGATGCTGCTGAGCAGTGAGTGTGTTGTGTACTCTGATTAATGAATGAATATACGAATGACTAGAGATGAATTGGTACTGGGATTAGGATTGGGCTTGCTCTGAAATGGGATTCTTGACCACCATATCAGTTGGTTGACTTCTTCTGTTGTCACGGTTCTTAACCTGATCTCTTGGCCAGGAGTATGTATGCGGTGAATATCATAATTCGGAGCGAATTGATCCAATCTTCTTTCTCTGTCCATGGCATTCATCCTAGATACTCAAACGTATCTCCATCGCTGTCTGCTACGATAGATTACGTGTATTGGGGTCAGGAACAGAACGACGTCAAACGACCGTCATGCCCACCTCGAAAGATCGATACAATACCGAAAGGCATGTTTCCACACTCGCTCAAATGTTTACTGGACGAGCTCGCCAGTGTTGGATCGGTCAACACTGGTACATAAGTACTACTCGACCCATCGTGTAGAGAGGACGTATTTCTCGGATGTGGTATTGCCGCGTGCATGGAAGACTTAGCTTTCTACCAGACATATTATTCTTTTACTGGTAACAGATGAAGGCGGTCATCTACCTGTGCAGTGGAGGGAGACTTGCGCACATCTCATGTTGGTCATCAGGGCGGTTTTCTTCATTTCCTCGTGTCATAAATACATACAACGTACATGAATAGGTCCTGGTCTTTGGTGTCTATTCTATCCATCTGACCCAATGGCATCCAGATTGTCTGGAACAAACAAGGCGCCACTTCCAGAAAGCCAACTTGCTGGTCAGAGATGCCTGCTTGCTTGCATTCGACATGAAGCAATCGCAAATGGAGATTCTGGGAGCGATGAGATAATGATAGCATCTAGTGTATGCCAAGTTCTCATGTGATGCGCAAATTTCCAGAGGCACATTCCAATCGTACAGTGAAACATCATCAAACAGTTTGTTTCAGCCTCCAGACCCCTCATCGGGCAACATCTCAATCTGTCTCACCAGAAAACTCTTTTCATCCAAGAATTGATCATCGTCCGTTCGGCCATCCAAGAGACTTGGTAGAAATTTCAATAGTCGGCCCTTGTTCTTGATCAAAATCCTTCTCACTTCATCACTCTTATTGGGGTTAGCGACAAAGACTTTAAACACGTGAAACGCTTCATATTGCACCATTTTCCGGTCGTCCTTGAGAAGATTCATGGTTAATTTGAGATTGTCCCCACTGGCAACATACTGGGTCATGATGACATAATTTGCGCGGTCTAGGAGGAGTTCGCCCAAGAGTTTTATCGACTGCCGTTTGGTGACATATGATGAGGACAGCAGTAGTTGGGGATTGTAATGTTGTGTGAAGAAGAGTTCGTAGTTGGTGGCGAGATATTGTGAGACGAGTTGTTTATGTTTTGTCAGGATTTCCTAGAATTTCTCAGTAACTCGTCTCATGTCTCGAGCCCTGGATACGTACCCTGAAAGTGGTGAAGGCATCGGCACTGACTTCAAATGTGCCCTTGTTGATCCAATTGAAGAATTGCCAAAACAGGCCCTTACCCGTTTGCTTCTGGCTGACATCAACATCTTTAAGTTGAACGGCCTTTCCACCAGGTTGTGACTCGTCGTAGAGTATAAGTGCAGCAATGGTGTCATATTGCAGTGCTTGTCTTAATATAGTCCCGCACGGCATGGCACTCTGAGGATGTTCGTAACCTCGACATAACTCCACAATGATCTCGGGTCGTTGTAGGACAAGGTAAGAAATGGCTGAAGGATCTCCTGACTGTGCATTGGCGGGTTTAAAGCGGAGGATGTGGGAGAAGATGATCTGAGCATCTTTTCGAGCCTCGAATGGAAGAAGCCGAACACTTTTGGCCAGTTCAAAGAGTATGTCTTCTTGAATGATACAGGAGACTAGTTGGTGGACTTGTTCGGGGCTGCAGTCAACTTCTATAAGGGTCGTCAATGACTTCCTAGTCAGACTTGTGCGCAGATCAACTACCTGGAGTGCCTTGGACAATCAACTTCATCTGCGACATATACTTGGCCACCTCGTCCTCAACCTGTCATCAAGGCGCTGTTAGCATGATCCTGGCCCAAGCCGGTAACCCTTGAGAATGCAAACCTTTGGGTTGTCCTCCAGTTTGAGAAGTACGTCCTTCAGCGACCTTGCGATTTCAGCAGGGGATCTTTGGCGGCCTCTCCCACCAAAGAGGAACGCCATACTGGCAAGTTGAATTGCTTAGGAGGCGGCTCAACCAAGAAGGGATGTTCGTATGTCTTCAGCGTCGAAGAAGCCTGCTCTCGAGACCCTATAGGTGGTGTTGACCGCGGTGGATGGCGCTGTGAAATGTGGGACAAAGTGCAAGTAAAGGCGCAGGCGGAGGATCGGTTCGTTCCAGTGGCCGCCTCAAATGTTTACCATTCCGTTGATTCGGTAACGCCCTGACACGTGACAGTGTCAGCTTACATCATAAATGACTAATCTCTGGTCTTGGCAGATCTTATCCAGGATCTCTTACCTTGGTAGGTACCTCACCTCGTACCACATCTCAAGTTGACCTGTTCTTCTGGGGATATCTAAGATTCATCTTTGACGCACATATAGGGTCTGGCGAACAGCGCTCAGTCAGTGCCAACATTAATGATGGTTTTGATCTCCGCCATGTATATTTCTGTCCTTCGGGCCAAATGTCTGTTTCTTGCCATGAGAGGCACTAGCGAGGCTACAGCCTACTTACAAGAAGCCCTAACCAAAGATACCTAGGCAGGGTACATTTATCCTGCCCCACTCTTTCTCAAACTCTCTGAAAGACAAGCTGGCGATACTGAGCAGGCTTGCCATTTATGAAGGAACACCAATGGCGCTCCCACTTCACTCGATGTTCCGCCTAAGGTGAATAGCTACAGATGTCTTCAAGAGTCGCAGGAGGGAGGTACGGTTACCTATGTGAACCTTGACAGGGTTATACTTTCCTCATCACCTGCCATTCTGTCCACTCTATCTCTTTCCAGATTGAAGCGAATCCGTAAGTGGCAGCGACAATGGTGAAGTCCAATGCAACAGAAGTCGTAAACAAGGCTTCGATGGGCCGAGGGTTCTGTTTTCAAGCTCCAGTCTGAATCCCAGCATCTTCTCAACCATCACGACTGGCGACTGAGGTTTTGGACTGCCCCAAATATCCCATTTCAAGATGATCCGCTTACCCCCAACAAGCATATCCCTTTCCGAAAATGATATCCAGTTCCATATGCAACAGGCTGAAATCTACCAAGGACTTGTCAAGCAAGGCTTCGATAAACAGGACATCAGCCGCTATCTCGAAGATTATCGCAGGAATGCTTTGCCAGCGATAGATTCTTCGGTCCCAGTCCAAGTCACACGCGCCCCAAGTACTCTCGATCTTGCATGCCGCCCCAGAAAAATTCGTTCAGCAGTAGATGCAGTCCGCAGGGTCGAGAAGAAGGACACCGGACAGCCCTCCGGTTCTTTTGAACCTAATACGTTCTCGGAGGATGCCAAAGATTCCTCTGCAGATTCAAATTATGACCCTAGCCCAAGTGACGGCGGTGATGATGCTGTCACCGATGGTGAATCCCCATCCATATCGCCCGCTGCAATTCCATCAAATGGTTATCCCCACATGCATGCCCCTCGCCAGAGCTCCTTGCTGAGGTTCGCAACCGCTGTTTCTCCTGATCGCCATTCAGGTACTCCTCAACCACCAGAGACAGCCCAAGTTCCTTCTTTACGTCTCACACGACGGTACAGGCCACGAAGCCAGACAGACCCCTACAGTTCGTCGGAAGTGGAACTTTCTTCAACAAGTGTATCAGGGCATGTTGTTGAAGGAGTCGCTCGAATTTCTTTAGAGGACAGTTGTCACTCGGCGTATTCTAGTGATTTTGGCTCGGATGGACTCGCTTTGCCCTCCCCTCCACTGCACCATTTTGGGAGTCTTCGTCGACGCCCTTCGGTAGCATCCCTTCGCACTAGTGTCGGCATCTCTCAAAGCTCTGAGGAACGTCTTGAAGACCCTCTTGTTGCGACTCAACCAAATTCCTCATTGCTTCGTACTCAGAGCAGCGACTTATTACCTATCCTACACTCACAAGTTGAACTACCTAGTTCGCCCCCTGCTCAAGAATCATCTCTCTTTGATCGGTCACCACCTCCTCGTACTGAGGATCCATCGATTTGGCCAAGCACGCCCATTACTGCAAGACGTACTGCTGAAGTGCCCCGAGCAGAAGGGGAAGACCAAGACCATGGACCACGCTATCTCGACGGTAGCGCATTTTCGGTTTACAACGATTCGTTGCCAAGCAGATCACAACCTCAAACACCTGCTGATCTTTCACGAAATCTATTGATCACGGAACGTGAAGCAGCATATACGGCGCCACCTGGTATGACCCGTTTTGGTCCAGTCTCAAATGCTGCGCGTGAGCCATCAGATGCTGGCGGGGCCATGGGACAGGAAAGTCCAACTTTACATGCTATCGCTATGCGTGAGAGACGGAGCAGAGAGCTCTGGAGGAGTATCAGAGTGGAGGGGGCCAGGATGAGGAGAAATCGGTTGAGAGATCAAGTATTGTTGAACGAGCAGGCTCCAGGTAGTGCCCGCGCACGACGAAGGCAAAGACAGGTAGATGAAGAACCGTGGAGAGACGAATTGGATGCCGATCGTGTTGGAGAAGAGAACTTCGAGACCAACTTCAGGGTCACGCCAGGAGGAGTGATGCGAGTCGTCAGTGGGAACGCGAGTCTAAGGGGCGACGGCTAAGGTTGCATAGTCAGCAAAACTGCGTGTTATGGTTGATCTTTGTGCCGTATCGATAAGTCCAAATATAGTCAGACCTCCGTCGTCGGAGGCCAGTAGTGCCTATTCTCGATGTATAATGATCAGGAGCATTTCCAAAACCTTACTACTAAGATCTTTAGTATTATGTTTCAATCTAAAAGGACGACAGCTATGATCAGAGGGACATAGAACAAGGCAAGCCGAGAAGTGCTCACGAATCCCTGAGGTAAGGCTGAAGGAAAGAGGGGTAGCAGGAGGACAGGAAAGTTCGACCAGTCTCGGATCGGGCTCAACCGAGGTGCATCATCTTTTTTGGGTTTTGTGGGATTCTTCCACGAGTTGGCATCCTTCAGACTTGCACGTGTATGCCGAACTCCGTGATGCGATTGAAGAATACGGATAGGTTAGGCTGTTGCACCGTGAGTGGAGACCCCACTGCTAAGTTGCCTGGTTGAGGAGTCCAACGAATATTCCGGTGAGGAGGTCTCAGTAATGGACCCTAAGAACTCACATTCACTGCTTAGTCAACAGCCTCATGATCTCCCGGTCCGAAGAGCCTCTCGAAAGTTAGGGAGGGACAGACGGCGGCAGCGCGCTCAAGGAAACATGGTAGACATTTTTCATGCCAAGGTCGAGCCATGCATACCCATAACACCGCTGGTGCGGAAAGATCGCAGTGCAAAGCATTCAACCACACTCCCCTCGGAGGGATTCCCATGTCCACCGAGGGATCTCAGGGACAAGACAATACCCCCAAAGAGCAAGTGAAATCGCCCCCCGCTCCCCGAAATCTCCAGAAATGCTCATTCACAGAGTAGGATTGACATCTGGAGTCTGGCATGTAGATAAAGTGAGACAGCCGCCTACCTGTGCCGGGGCGATCTTTTCTCGGGAGGTATAAACCCCTGCCTATCTCTGTTTCTGTCCAGCTTGAAGATGCTTCTATGCAGCTGCAAGATTCTCCCGCCGGCCGGAAGGAACGGCTCTCGCGCGTGGTGCGGATACACAATCTTTCTTCGGTGTCAGTGGCTGCTGAAACCCATGCCAACAATAAGACTGAGGTTCATCAACGTAGCTACCTCATGAATCACCTCATTGTATCTACAGAGGCTCAGAAGCTGAGGTCCCAAGCAGTGACGAAGTACAAGCGTGGGCAATGCCGAGTCATTGTAGATACATGCCATGGTATGCCCAGTTTGTGATAATGCCAATGTCGACGAATTGACGACAATTTATAAGGAGCAAAGTGATCGATTTGGCAGAGCAGACCTCAGGTCGTGGAAGCAAGGTGCAGGAAGATGCAAGAGCTGGAGGCAGCTTAGAACCACGGATCGTGCGGGGCTATCAAAAGTAGTATATTGTGATTTTCGAGTAGGCAAATATCCGTGGTTTAACCGATCCGTAACGAACTTTTTTGGCCTAGAAATAGCGGTGAGCTTGTTCCTCCTCGTTCTCGATAAGTATCGCTCCTTATTATTCTGTAGTTGTTGCATCGTAATCCTCGTCGTTAGTTCTCTATAGAAATCTAATAAAATGCCGTTAGGAGGGTCTCATTTGCGATATATAGATGAGGTTAGAGACCTCATCCGCCTACAGCTCGAAGCTAGTATTTCCGATAAAAGAATCGCGTAATTTAATAGGGTTTCCGCCTCCTTTGTCTCCTAGGTAAATATACTGCGTAAAACGCCTTAATTAATACTCAATTTAACGCGTAGGAGAAAGGGTTTAAGCCCTAAAATTTATGGAGAGGTAAGGGAGGCTTTAGTAGTATTGTTAGAGGAGGATAAGACTATTTTTTTAAGTGAAATTACCGATTATTTAATAGAGTATTTTATAATAAATATTAGTATTATAATAGTGAGTAAAACCCTTAAGGAAATAGGCCTTACTCGCAAGAGATTAGGGCTCGTTATATATCGCGCCTAGAATAAGGAATTACGAGCTTACTTCTATACTCGTATAGCGCGCGATTATAGCGTAAATTAGCTTATAATAGTGAATAAATTAGCTATAAATGAGAGGACGAGTGAGAGGAAATATAGTTAGATTCGTTACGATATACCCTATTAAGCATTGAGAGTAGGGAGGAGGAGTGAGTGTTAGAGTGTTTTGCTAGCTCTTTATTATAATGATATCCTTTATTATAAGGTTTTTCACGACTTATTCGATAGAGAGAGGTTTAAGAGGTTTATTGAGGAGCTCGTAAAGGAGATGAATCCTTTTTCTACGCCAAAATTAGTTATTCTACTTAATAATACGAGTATTTATTATTATGATAGGATTGAGAGGATCTATAAGAACGCCGATATTATTCTTAAGTATCTCTCTTCGTACTTACCGAATCTAAACCCTATTAAGCTATTATTTTATAAATTAAAGGATTAGTTATATTGTAATAGAGATCTAGCGAAGGACTTTAAGTATTGGTTTAAGGGGATTATTTATATAGCGATAAATTGCATTACTAGTACAATAACGATAAGAGGCTATTTTAAAAAATACGATTACAGCGTAAGTAAGGATTATAAGTAAATAATGATTTAATAAAATAAGTGCTAAATGCGTACTAGTTAGGGTATAAGACTAGCGAGTATTTAGTCTCTTAATTTAGAGAGTATTTTAGCACTATATATACGATTTTATAAATAACGAAGCTCTCTAGTTACTCTTTAAATATATTTCTATATAGATTACTACTAGAAAAGATTATTTAATAAGTGGTTTAGCTTTATTCTAGCTCCTCGTTATATAAATAGCTAGTA